TACTTTGCATGTATGATCTAATATAGAAAATGGACATATAACAGTACTGGTGGTTGCATTACTCACCATTATTGCATGTTGTGTTAGAGAACAGTGTAAAAAAGGAAAGTGGCCGCAAGCTGATCAATATAACCACAAATAAATTAATATCACTTTCATTAAAAAAATTAAAAAAAATTGTGGAAACTAGTTATTAGACTAGTATATGACAGTTTAGTAAGTACACTGGTGGGGGAAACAGACACTAAGTCAACAAAGGAAAAACACTATCAGAATGTTGAGATCATAAATATGCTCTTTATACAGTATGTCTTCCAATACATATATCCTTGTTTCATTCCTTCTTTGTTCTTTCTGTACCACTTAAACCTTTCCTCCAGTCCAATAGATCTCAAATAGATAAAGAGGGCACATGCAGATTTATATCACAAAGGTTTTTGCATAGATGCAACAGTTGGGGTCTTGCATGGTAATTTATCAACAATGTAGCCCTGCACTGTGGTTAGAGATATATTCACAAGCTTGGATGAATACCCAAAGCCCTTTCTCATTATCTTCCCACAGGGTATGATAGTCATGCAACTCTTTGCATGTGATAGATAAAAATTAAAACTACACTTTCCTTTCCTTAAATAATAATGTAGCACAATAAAAAAAACTGGAATTTAAGAGAATAATTAAACAGAAAAAGCAAAATAAACAGCCCTACAATAAAAAAAAAATAATAAAAAAAATAAAAAAGCTTATTCATCATCAAATTATATAATAAATTGTCACAATATCTATAACTGCAAATAGTGTTCTACCATGGAAAGAGTGGCAATCACACATTTTGGTAATACATAATTAAATTAACTTATGTCATATTATGTATCTTTCCTGGAAGAATACAGTGTTTGTTAGACGCTATACTTAAATAGCAACACTAAGAGCAAGACACTTTCAGTATTTTTAAAGACAACAAAAAGTGCAAAAGTTAAAAGGGGGTAAATAAAAGGTACGGTAAATTTTAAGAATGCTTAAAAATTTGATTTCACGTATTTTACAGAAATTTTTGGCTCGGATAGAGATGGTAGGAATATGTTAGATTTAAACAGTGTAAATATGCAAGATCTTTGGGACTCTTATTAATAAAGAATCTGATGTGGCATAAAAAACTAAAGTTATTTTCAATATGACTCATGATTCAAACAGAGCTTTGTTTCAAGCAAAATCACAGAAGAGAATTTCTGCTAAACGTTCTTTAGCAGTAACTACTCTCAACTACTACTTCTAAAATAGTAGTTCTAAAATATGTCTCTGTTCACAATAAGAGGAAGTAACCATCTAACATGTGAAGTTATAAAACATTTTGCAAGAAAAGTGGTAGTATATTATTATAAGTAGGTGGTAAAAAACAACCAGTGCCAGTCATGTCCCAACAGTGCAGATTATGTTGTTCAATGAAATAGAATTAGAAAGTATAATTATGTAGCATTGTGTAATATGAAAGCAACATAGTTTTTTTCCTTGTACTATATAGTGAACTAAAAATTACATTTGCTAAATTTAGGTCAACATTCTTGCAAAATGATTACCATCTATTAATGTTAGAAAATTAAAATGGAAAGATACATATACATTACACATATATAATAAATATGTATGCACTCATATTCTCTGTCACACTTTGGTTCTTTGGTATTAACACAAGCCAAAAAAACATTTTTTAATATCTTGATTATAAAGTGCAGACAATTCCACAAAGCTTTGACCTTTATCTTTTAAAAACAACAGTTATTTTCTTTTAAATGAAATGGTCTTTTCAGCTTCATTTTATTATATACAGCAATATTGCAGTTGCAGTATCTACCACAAATCTTTATTTATTAAAGATTTGTGGTAGATCATCTTAAAAAAAAGTTATAATATAACAAAACCATGTTTTAAATTTTAAAGAATGAGCTCTATGAGATCTCTAAAACCCTGTTCAGTATCAGATCTCATTAGTGTATATTGTAGAGATTTATTCTTCCAATATCAGCTTCTATAAAGGAAAAGGGGTAAGTGGTCCCTGGTTTTGCCACTACACCATTTCTCCCTTGTCTTAGTCACCATGGACTAACAGACACTCCTACATACATATGGATGCCAGTTTTTTATTTTTTTTATTTAGTGTTGCTTATGTTCAAGTAGCTTAACCCCTTAAGGACACATGACATGTGTGACATGTCATGATTCCCTTTTAATCCAGAAGTTTGGTCCTTAAGGGGTTAAGGATTGTATATAAATGTGTAATTCACAACAATTTATCTTTAGAATTCACGTTTAGAAGAATACGTGTTGAGAAAAGTTAGTTTGCATTAACAAAATAACTAGGCTTTGTGCTTTTGATTTTTTAAGTTGTAAATATATTGGTAGGTCATAAAATTAAAAAAAAACATGTTCAACAATAGCCCTGCACTATCATCTCACATCAGTTAAGCCATTTGACTTGTTTGAATGCTTATCCACTGAATATATCATTGGTTGATCTAAAGAAGCCATTCAGATTTAATTCTGATTAGTTAATTCAAGGACCCAGGGGATTTAGTTATTTACTATATTCATTTTAAACAGTTGTCCTGCTTAAAAAGAAAGTGATCAAACATCTTTAACCCCTTAAGGACACATGACATGTGTGACATGTCATGATTCCCTTTTATTCCAGAAGTTTGGTCCTTAAGGGGTTAAACTTGACAGCAAATATTTAAATTCCCAAGCAGCTCAGTGCCAGTTATGTGCTAAACAAATGTCCACATTCTTATTTTTTGTATGGCTGGTGGGGATGCTGGTGGGAGGGAGAATAAGGGGGCAGGTTCGCCTGTTCTTGCTGAATGGTTTGTTATGAATTCTAATTGCACATTTAGAGAGAATACCATATAAGTGTCCCCAAACTGACTTCATTGAATACAACAACGGCAATGCTAGAACATCTGTCCACCAGTTTCCTTAATTTCGCAATTTAGACACATTAGTATTTTAGCTACCGTATATACTCGAGTATAAGCCGACCCGAATATAAGGCGAGGCCCCTAATTTTACCACAAAAAACTGGGAAAACCTATTGACTCGAGTATAAGCCTAGGGTGGGAAATGCAGCAGCTAATGGTAAATTTCTAAATTAAATTAGATCCCAATAAAATTACATTAATTGAATATTTATTTTCAGTGTGTGTATAGAATGAATGCAGAGTGTGTGTTTGTGTGTGTATATAATGAATGCAGAGTGTGTGTTTGTGTGTGTATATATAATGAATGCAGTGTGTGTGTGTTTGTGTGTTGTGTGTGTATATAATGCAGTGTGTATATAATGCAGTGTGTGTAAACTGGATGAGGGGAGGGCGTTTTTATTTAAATTATTTAAAATTTTTAATTTTATTATATTATTTTAATATTATTATTATATTATTATATTATTTTATTATATTTTAATAATAATATTATTATTTTAATATTTGCATTATTGTCCCCCCTCCCTGCTTGTTGCCTGGTCAGGGAGGGGGGACAAAAAAACCTTTTTTTTATATTATTATTATTTTAGTATGTGCATTATTTAAAAAAAAAAAATGTTTTTTGTCCCCCCTCCCTGGCCAGGCAACAAGCAGGGAGGGGGGACAAAAAAAACATTTAAAAAAAATAATGCAAATATTAAAATAATAATAATATAATAAAATAATATTAAAATAATATAATATTAAAATAATAATATTATTTTATTATTATATTATTATTATTTTAATATTTGCATTATTTTTTTTTAAATGTTTTTGTCCCCCCTCCCTGGCCAGGCAACAAGCAGGGAGGGGGAAAAATTTTTTTTTAAAAAATAATGCAAATATTAAAATAATAATAATATAATAATATTATTTTAATAATATTATTTTATTATTATTAAAATAAAATAATATTAAATCCCTGGTGGTCCAGTGGCATTGACAGTTCAGTGGGGGGGCTGGCAGTGAGCTCTTATTTACCTTCCTGCAGCTCCTGTCAGCTCCCTCCTCCTCCGTGCAGCTCCTCGGTCAGCTCCGTTCTGTTTACAGTGTAAGTCTCGCGAGACCCGCGGATCTCGCGAGACTTACACTGTGAGCAGAACTGAACTGACCGAGGAGCTGCACGGAGGAGGAGGGAGCTGACAGAAGCTGCAGGAAGGTAAGTAAGAGCTCACTGTCAGCCCTCAGCAGGACCGCCGGGCTTGTAATGAGCCCGGCGGTCCTGGTCTGTATTATGGCAATGTAAATTGCCATAATACAGACTGACTCGAGTATAAGCCGAGTTGGGGTTTTTCAGCACAAAAAATGTATATACGGTACTAAACAGGATAGACACATAGGAGCTAATTTTTCCTGTGCTACAAGGTGGACAATCCATTAATGAGTAATCACACTGCCAGTTTCATACCTCCCAACTTCAGCATCCAGAGAATGGGGATGCTGGTGGGAGGGAGAATAAGGGGGCAAGTTTGCTCGAATTACAGTAAGGTCAGCTAGGCGTCAGTGCTCAGCAGGCTGCTTAGCCATCATTCAGGCCAACCCACTAAAGGCAGACACACTGTTTTAGTGATCTCTGCATGTTCCTAGTACCCTAAACATAGCGTGAAATTGCCCAATGATGAACTCGCACTATGCTTTTTGAGGACAGCTCCCTGGTGAAATTAGGACAGTTTGGAGCAGTTTTGTTTTCTAGTGTTCAGAAAATATCCTTGTACAATAGATGGAAATATTTTACAGTTCAAAATTGATCTCTTGTGATGTTGTGGTAGGGATTGTTGGCCACCTGCTGGTTCAACCAAAACAGGAAGTCTGAATTATTGAAAGACTGGGGGAATTTTAAAAACACAACATGTTAAACATTGCAAGTCATTTTTATTTATGTATTTTACATGAAATTTATTCATACCAAAGAATTAAATTAAAAAATGCAAATAACTAAATAAATAACCTACCAGTTCTTGACCATCTTCGAGTAATGGTAAGAATGTTGCTTCTAAAATGGCCACTTGATCTTTACTTAGCTTCTGCCACAATCCAATCAACATAATAACCAGGTGTGTCGCACTCTTGAGCCTTGTGAAGCCTTGGGACAAGTTTCGCTGGCCTTCTTCTGCAGCATCTGCTATACCAATTACCTGCAAAATGAAAATACAAGGACATGTTTCTAGATATAATGTATTTTTTTTTATGACTTACACACTCTGCAATAATCCCTATTAGTCTACAACGGTCTCAATATGTCTGGTGATTTACAAACTGTCACCTTTAAACGAATTTTCTTAGGTGAATATTTTCCCCCCAATAATTTAAATCTAGTATCATGTTTAGGATATAGAAAACATATGGTGATCATATTAAACAGGCTGCTGGATAAATTAACTGTTGGGATAAAACTGGATGTCAGTGCATGATACTGTTTAGTAAATGTGTCCCTATACACCTTTTACACAAAGGAAACATTATTAGTGCACTGTTGTAAGCCTCCAAAGACAGGTTCTATAGAGCTGTAAATCATCTGACAGAAAGAAATGCATAGGTTAGCTGCGTAGAGTAAATCCTTTATTAAAATTCATATGAAATGTATCCATTGTATTTATGACTGCTATGAGATGGAAGGAAATGGGTTACAGGAAAGAAGTAACATTTTGCAGGCTAGTGACACAATACACTACACCCGAGAGGGACAGAATTGCATTCCATGTCGTTCCATTTTACTGTGTGTTATATGTTAGTGATATGCCGAGCAGTATAAATCAGGTGAATGTTCCACATATTATCACTAAAAATGTTGCTATGACTTAAAAACACACAAGTACATGCACAGAGGTCCACTCTTTTTTGAAACTATATCAAATAATTTTCCTTCCCCTCTTTTAAATATACATACCTTCTTCTTTATGCTTGATTTTGTCGTGCAGAATAAAGGTACACACTCTTTGGATTAAAGTGCACTTGTCATGCCATCTATAACCTAGTTTTATTAAAAAGAGACCACAATTTCACCTATACAGTCATGTTCAGAGATGCCATGTGCATCATTTGGGCGTAGGAAATGTCAGAAGTACAATGCATGTACCGTGTGTTTGGTGGACAGGCTAGGGTATAGACCCAATTGCATATGTGGATTTAGTCACTTTACCTAAGGAAATTATTTGTTATTTGAGGAAAATTAAAAACGTACTGGGTTAATCCATTTTCTCAGGCAAAAGGTACCGTTACAACTTATTGAGTGAGATACAATTAACTCCAGGAAAAACACTTAACATATATAATTAGGAAACAATACTAAAATCCATTAAAAGGACATTAAAGCCACCCAGACCACTTCATCTTAATGGCGCCTCTGTCATTTTAACCCTGCAATGTAAAACATTGTCTATTTGAAGAAACGGCATGTTTGCAGGGTTTAAGACACCTCTAGTGGCTGTCTTCCAGAAAACCACTAGAGGTGCATCTGCTGCAATAACCTAGTAAGACTTGGTTCTTCAATCAATGCTTCTCAAATAAAGTATCCAGATCCAGAGCACCTACACCTGAATACAACCAAGTAGATTTTAGAGCTTTTAGAAACAAACATCCTAAAAAAAAATATTCACATTAATTTCAGCATTCAAATAAGTGAATGAAAGTAGACAGTCAATTTTAAGGTTAAATAATTCGTTAGCAATATAGGATATTATAGAGCATAATAATTACCATATATTCCCAGAGTCACATATAAGTGCATATACATTCACATTTAGTGGTGTCTTCATATATTTATGTTTTAACATCAGACTTTTTTTTCTAAAGGCTAGCACTTTTAGTTGCTATTAACAAGGATTGCAGTACAACAGCCAAAAGTTGAAGGTGTTTCTGAGGATGAGCAGAATTGAGATTTCCAGTGTAGTTTATCAGTTCTTACATGAGTCAAAAAAAAAAAAAAAACTCTCACATTTAGTTTCAACATTCCAAAAACAGAGATAACATATCATTGTGGCACAATAGTCCCTGTAAAGTGTATTCACAAGGTAGCTTCTAACTAAATACTTTTGATCCCGGCAAGAATAGGTTCATCTGATCTATACCTGGCTGTGCCTGAATGGCCTGCTTTGTTAGGAGAAAATTGTCTCCTGCATAATATGTCCACGTTTTGTAAGTAATATAATGGCGCCAGTATGACAGTGCAGTACAATATGTCATAGTATAAACACATTTTTTTGTTACAATGTTTTTCTTTCTTCTGATAGCACAGGATCTGTTGAGCTGAAATTCCGGAGGCCAAATGGGCACAGATAATTCTCTGATAAAACACCAAAAGATTCAAGGAATTTTGATAAGACTCCGAAGCTCCATAATTTCATGTGTGCTTAACTGGTGAATTTGTATTTATTAAAACCAATGACAGTAATTGTCTTACTTACAATAAATTTTAAAAAAACAACATTCTACACTAATTATTTCACATCCACTTACAAATACAATTAGTGCATTTAAAATCCATAACATATCAACTGGCTATTATTTAAATAAGTGACTGTATCAATATTAATTGTGAGTAGTAATTGAATTATGCATGGAATGATAAAGTTTAAAATAAACAATGCAGGTAAATGTTTTAAAGCTAACAGTGTTTCAGACAGGAATTTGTATTTATAAAAATAAATAAATATATATATAGCACCATTACCATCAGAGAGAGCATGGAAATTATATTTTATATTAAATACAGTGTTTGCCATTTTTTTGTTAATCTTTCTTTTATTTAAAGCAAACATGAAAACAGTACAGAATAAAGAATAAGGAGTTAAAGCAAATAGACATACCTCGTGTATGCAGTAATAATTCTATATAACTAGACTCCAGAGTAAATCAGCCTCAGGTTTTTTTTTTTTTTTCATAAACAATATTAGTTAGTCAAACATCAAAACATAAGCTAGGTTAGGCATGTCTGGCTAAGAGTCATGATAACGACTAGGCATATTCAGACTAAAAGTTTAATCTGATCATGTGACAAGCCTGCAGACTATGAGAGTACTGGCTAGCTAGAGGAAAGATAAGTAGGTTACAAGATGTGTATCTCAGATCAGATGAGAGATGAGTGTTATAAAAAACTAATGAAGAACGTGTTTAATAGATAATGCTTACTTAGGGGCGCTCATTGTTTTTTTCGTTATGCTCCTGTTGCAATCAGGGGGTGGGAAGGGAACACATAAAATAGCAGTAGTAACACACAGCATGGCACATGAAGGCAAAGTTAAAAAAAGAAGCCAGGGCCCACAGAAATGGTGCAAGCTGTGGGTCTAAGTGAAAGTATAAGGACCAGAGGGCTTAGCCCACACCTGTCAATTAATGGGCACTACCCCGACATGTAAAAAGACCCATAACCCGTGCATATGTACGCCACCAGCCCCATAAAATCACAAAATTAGAGAAGTTGTTATACCGGACAAGTTATACCCAACCAAGCATTTGTGTTGCCTTGTTTGCTACATTGATGATCTTGGCCTTTGCTTTTCATACTTTCCAATGTGGTACTAAATTGGAATTTGATGAAGCAGATCTTTTAAAGAGAGATATGTAACCAAGAAAGGGAAAAAGTGAGAGGAAGAGTGTCTATGTATACAGTTGTAATCAAACTGATGTAACCCCCATTGAAAATAAAGTTTATTTTAAAAATTTACAGACTTTCAGCTGTTTTCAATTAATTAATCAAACAAAAGCAACTGAAATAGCTGGCCTGGGAGAGATAAAGCCAAGCTCTCTGTGCCTCACCCGCGTGCCTGGATCACACCGAAAGGTTCCCCCACCCCGGTGGACTGGTGGGGGTTCTCCCAGTCCTGGGAGAACATCCCACTTTGCCATAAACACATGACTCAGACCATGCTTCCTGACACCCAAGATGGCAATGGTTGACTTCAGAGGGACATTGCGACTACACTGTCCAAACTGGACTATATTTTTGAGGAGTTCCTATCTCACTTAGCGGCAAGACAACAAAGTATGCAGCCCCCTTCAAACAGTAGCCAACAGGAGGAGCAGCCACAACCATGCCACCTACAACCATGAGTGCTCCTGCAGAGGGGACTATCACTAAGCCTGCCAGCAACCCATTGTTCCACTCCACCTGGTTATCACAATCGGATCTTAATAATGCAGGTACCACAGGAGCTGAAAAGTACTGGACTGGGTCTGGTGGTTAGTGGAACCGGGCTTGGGCCCAGAGTTGTGAAGATGCCTACTACTACCCATTCACCGCTCAAGATGGTGGCTATGGCCTTTGGGAAACTCCATGGCACCCAGAAGCAATATTGCAGCATGTTTTCCTGTGCTAGAGGCGTCACGTATACTGGGACTACCAGGCTTTAAGCCAGCTTCCGGCCTGCAGACTCGGCATTGAATGACTACATGAATCATTAATGGCAGATTTCAAGAGCCATTAATGATTCATAATGTTTCTTCATGATATCTCTCTTCTATATTAGCTATGACTTTGCGTATTTACAGCTACTTATCCTCCTAAACTCTCTTAACTCGTGTATTAAACTATGTCAGTTAGTACAGTCAGACTTTTCTCCTATATTCTTGAATTTCTCTTCTGAAATATTTTTCTTCATTTTGACTACACAACAGTATTATCGTGTCACCTATTGTCCTGTTCGGTCATTTGTGTGATAATTTTAGATAAACTGCACTTGGAACACAACTGCAGATAAAATAATAAATTTGATACTGTCGTATGCACTTCCGGGTTCGAGAGACAGCACTACACACACCTGATTTGGTAAGTGATATCACTTATCTTGTATATAAGCAGTTTTTTTGCACTGTATTTGTGACCTTGAAAAAGACCCTGAGGGGTCGAAACATTGGGACAATTTGATTACACTGAGTGAATAAACAACACTTCTTGAAAAGACCTGTGTATATATTTTGAAAGCTGGTAGCACCAAGGCGGTATATGTTTAAGGAAGGGTGCCAAAGACAACTTGTGTATATATATATATATATATATAAAAATTAATAATTAATGTTAAGTATACAATCCAATGCAGGTGCTAAAATGTATCCCATAATGTAAAATGTATATATACATATATATCTTATCTGGTTGATGTAACAGCTGTTACAAATTATACAGAAACTAACATGCCAGGGAATTAAAATGAATCCATTGCAGATGCTTCAAACAGAAAACTGTTATATTAGCTGAAAGATGTGCCAAGCACAAGATAAGCAAGTCTAGTGGAAAACGAACACTGGGAAAGTGTAACTTGCACCTTCCCATTATCCTCTGCTGGATGCCTGCCATGGACATCAAAATTGATGTTAGATTATCAAACACAGAAATGTGTGATGTTATACAGCACTATAGTGAGCAATTTTCAGAAGATGGTGACTTGTTTAAAATAATTTTGACATACTACGGCTGTGAGAATTTATTTTTTTTGCAGATAGAGGTTTAAAAAGCACCTGTAAAAAAAAAACAGGTATATTTTTTCTTTTACAGCTTGAATCAAGGTCTCCCCACTGATCATCTACTTCTTTTAATAGAGTGAGAACATTTCCAGATGTTTTGCCCCTTCAACTAGTTAACTTAACTTAATTATTCTTTATCCTTTTTGTAGGAGTAACAAAAATAAAGTTTGCAGCCAACTCAGGATGAGCTGTATAACATAATGCTTCCAAGGATTTGAACATACTGTATAATAAATAACAACTAAACATAGATAGAAAGGCGTATTTACTAACTGCAGAGAAATTCTATCCATGAAGACAAATAAAACAGTATAACTCTGTATGTAGGAAAAAACTCTCCCACAAATTATAGTAGTCATTACAACTGGGAAGAAATGACCAGTGACCTAAGCTTTTAGGCCATCTTTTGTACCAACTAATGGAACTTAAAGGACATCTGTCATAAAATCTTTACTTTTCGTTTTTTTAAAATGTATTATACACAATGACTGTTAATGACTATTAAAAATTAGGTATTTACATTTTTTGAGAAAATTTCACCTTTTACTTGTATTGGAAGCCAAATTGGGTCAAACTTGCAGGCAAGTTAGATTAGTGTAAAAATTTTATCACATCTGTCCTATAATCCTTTAAGGCACATTGGTAACTACCCGCTCTGTGCAGCCATAAATGCTGGTGACAATTTCATTTATATGTCAAACACACAAATTATTTATAATATTTTAATGTACAAACATGGATTTAACTTTCACAGGTTGCTCTTTAACCCAGTACATCGATTAAACTTGACATTACACAAAGCATGATCAAGGTTAAAAAAAATATATATATAATGCTTTACAAAATAATTAAGATGCTTTTCTATAATGCTCTTCTAATAAATTACACAAGCCGGATAGAAGTAAATAGTTAAAGAGGAACTCAACGCAACATATACACTACAACTCGGTGTATCAAATATAATATAGACTCGCTGGACACTATAGCATATTTAGCTTTTATTAGCTTATTTCGTCAACTGCATCTTATTCATCAATCCCTCCTTCACTCTCACAAACTGTTATTCTTGTGTATTTATTTAAATACCGTCCTCACAGATTGTAAGCTCATTTGAACAGGGCCTTCTTCACTTCTTGTCTATGTTTTTTTTTTTTTTATCTGTCAATTACTTGTCAGTTATCCCCATTTGACAATTTTAATGCACTGCAGAATATGTTGTAACGAATAATACTAATCAAAAATGTAAAAAAAAGCAATATTCGTTGTTAGAAATAAATCCCTTTTTTTTTTATTATTGACAATTTTTCTGATGTTCAGTACACAAGCAGTTATGCAGCACATGATAATTAGGTGTCAGTGTGAACTCCAGTACATTGAGGGTTATGACATTTTTAGCTAGCATGTACTAGTATTACAGTACGTTGCTGCATCACTCAGTACAGCATTGTGGGTGCGTCTTGACATAGTGCTTTTACATCTTTTTTCCAAACAGGGGATAACGGAACTGGGTTAACAAGTGGTTGGAGGGAGGAGAAAGGGAGGGGGGGTGAAAGCGTCCCTGATCAGTGCATTATGGTGAAGTGTTATACCTTATAGGAAAATACAATATGAAAATGCAATATGAAAATAATTGCAATCATGAGAATACTATGGCATCTTGGTGTGTGCAGTCCTGCACGTTTCTAGTTTTATCCACTGTTACTCCACGCCGACATCCAGATTCTCTTGTGGCATAGATTCGTGCACAGAACATACACAAAACTGACATGGAAACTGTTAGGTACATGACCAGATAGGCATTGGTGCAGCTGCCGGACCCAGACCATGTATTTTGTGGAAACGCCGGGCATGTCTGCCCTTTTACATTAGGGGTGGCGTGGGTGTCTCATAGGAGATGTACTGGGTTTCCCAAAGCTCCCAAGCTTCCTTCCAGAAGCATTTGGGGGGCTGGTTTTCCTGGCCATGATTTCATAGTGTCTGGTCTTGTTGATAGTTTGGGTGCATATTTCAATACTAGGCGTGCCTGTGGTCAGCCAGGCTTTGCTGGTTGTGGACAGAGCTGCTATGATAATGTGGTAAATCAGGTATTGTTTATGCTTTGGGATATCTGTTGGGAGAAGCTGTAGTAAATATACCTCTGGGTTGTTTGGCAGGGTTGTGTGTGCTATCTTTGAAATAAGTTTTGTCACTTTGTCCCTAAATGGTGTGAGCTTATGGCACGACCACCATATCTGGTGCATGTTTCCAGTCTCCAGCCGGCACCTCCAACAGAGGCCCGCAGTTCCCGGTTTCATGTGTTTCAGTTTGGTAGGTACCAGCGGTAAAGTATCTTCCTGGTCAGTTCGAGGTGTGCTGTGCAAAGAGTGAGCGCTTTGTTAGCCCGGAAGATTTTGGTTTTCCTCGTCTATGGTTTGCCTCGTCTATGGTTTTCTTGAAATCTGTCTCCCAGGCTTTAGCAAAGGGGGGTTTTCCACTCCCCTGTCTCTGGGTTTCTGCAGTGTAGAGAAGGGAAAGGAGTTTTGTAGGGGTTGTCTGTTGGATGCAAAAATTGTCTAAGTCTGACAGCTGCTGCCCATTCACAGGATCACTGTTGGAAGTGACATGTTTGTGAAACCAGGATCTTATTTGGAGGTATGCGAATCTAGCTGAATCTGGTAGACCATAAAGGGTTTGTAGATGTGTGAACGTGTGTAATCCTTGTGTCTGTGTCATTTCATGGAGGTGTGTGATCCCACCATAACGATACTGGAAAGTTAGGTATGAGTATCGCTAGTGCTTTTAGTGGCATCGCTTGTGAAGCTGCTTGTGATGGGTGTAAAATGTGTCTGTATTTGTCCCAAATGGAAAGGGTCAATGCGGTCGTAGATAGTATGTGCTGGTATCGTTGTCTAAGATGTCTTGGCATCCATGCCAACGTGATGAGGCGCTGGCCTTCGGTGTATGTGGCTTCTATTTGAAGCCAGGCCTGTTGGGCTTGGTGATGGTGTGCCATGATCAGTGGGCAGAGTTAGATGCTGTATAATAGTCACGTTTGGGGCACTTGGTCCGCCTCTCGCATAAGGCCTATAGAGTATGGAGGCAGCAACTCTAGGTCTTTTGCTGTCCCATATGTAATTGTTGAGAAGTTTTTGCATGTTTACCAAATAGGGTGGTGCGATTTTGATAGGTAAGGTGTGGAATAAATATTGTAATTTAGGAACGAGAATCATTTTTACAGCCACTATGCGTCCCATCCAGGACATATATTTGCCCTTCCAGCTGAGAAGCTGGTGTTTGATATCCTTGAGTAGTTTAACATAATTCGCTTGGAATAGGACATGGGTTTGGGCAGGGAATTCTATGCCTAGGAACGTGAGCCTGTCGTTTCCCCATTGGTATGCATACTCTGCTTTTAACCTATTCAGTGATGTGGTGTCCACATGTAAGTGCATTGCCTTTATTACGTTTAGTTTGTAATATGAGCAGTCGCTGTATGTCTGAAGGATGGCGTTAAAGTGTGGTACAGATGAGGCAGGGTCTGTGAAGGAAAGCATTATGTCGTCAGCAAACAAAGTAAGTTTATATTCAGTGTCACCCACCTTGATCCCGTCTACCTGAGGGTCTGCCCGTACGAGGCTTGCCAGGGCTTCTAAAGTTAAGATGTAGAGCAGAGGTGACAGGGGGCAGCCCTGCCTTGTTCCATTTGTGATGTGGAATTCTGAGGACATAAATCCACTATTAGTGACCTTGGCTGACGGATTAGAATATAGTGCCGACCCTAGAGATAGAAAGTTTGGGGGAAAGTGGAACCTCTCCAGGATGGTCGTGAGGAAGCACCAGTGCACCCGGTCAAAGGCTCTCAGCGTCCAGCAACAGGAATGCACTAGGCTCCCCCCAAAAGGTCAAAGAACTTCCCCTCCCTGTCTGCCTGTCCCGAACCCCACCTGATCTACATGGACTAAGGTTGGTAGTATGGGTGATAGCCTATTGGCGAAGATTTTAGCAAGGATTTTTTTATCAGAGTTTAGAAGTGATATATGCCGCAGGTTTTGGGGTATTGTCGGTGGTTTCCCTGGTTTTGGGAGTGTGGCTATGTGGGCTGCAAGCATCTCTGCTGGCACTTACCCAGTGTTCATGATTTGATTGAGTGTTTTTAAAAGGTGAGGGGCTAGAAGAACCGAGAAGGTATTATAGTCTTGGTTCGTGAAGCCTTTGGGGCCAGGGGATTTCCCCGGGTGAAGGATTTTGATGTTATGTGTGAGTTCCGTCTGAGGAATTGGTGGCTGTAGCGATCTGCATTGTTTCAGGGTAAGTGAGGGAAGCTGAGCCCGCGTGAACAGGTTTTGTATGTCTTGTTCCTTTGGCTGGTGTGTGCCTTTATCATTGCGCAGATTATATAGTGATTCATAGAATTTCGCCATTGTGTCATTTATCGCCTGTGGATTGAATACTTTGGAACCGTCTGATAAGCTCAAATATGGGATTTGGACTGACTTTGTTTATGGCGTAGTTGTGAGGCCAAGGCCTTCCCAGCTCTATTTCCCTGATTACACATTTGTAATTTCTGTAGCATTAGTGTAGTTTTGTTAAACAAGTATTTGTGGAGTTTTTTGTTGGTTTGGTCTAATTGGAGTTGACCTGCCAGTGTAGGTTTAATGAGCTGCGCATTGGTTTGGTCTCTTAGAGTTTTCAATAATGTTGTGTATTCTTGCCGTGAGGCACATTTAAGAGCGCTGACACTTCAAATGCTTACTGTAGGGACTAGAGAGAGAACTTGGAATGGGGAGGGGGTGTGTGAGGGTGGGTAAACTCAGGTGGGCATTGTGATGAGACCAATCTTGCCTCCCGTAGCGACCTCACCCTTGGTCCAGTCCTCCCTCCTCATATTTTTTGTCGGCGAGTCAAGAGACATACGTTCATATACATAAAATTGTTGTATTTTGTCTTTGAGTTGTGTGAGCGAAGGGCAAATAGTTGTCTTCCAATTATTGGCAATGAGGTTTCTGGCTGCTAGCATCGTCATTGCCTCTAGTTGGCATTGCCCTGGGCTTAGGCTTTTGGGGAACAATAAAAGAAGACGTGGTCCCCGTAAGAGGTGTTTTTATGCCAAAGGAAGTGAGAAACATTTTATGCAACCGCACTGGGGTTAGATACCACCTGTAAAGCAATTTTCTATGGGCTTCTATGTGGGAGTAGCAGTTTGTCCATTTCTTTAAGCTGTTCAGGGCCTGTAACCAGTTCTCAGTCGTCAATGTTGTCTCTATGTCTCGGTCACAGTGATTTTTGCATTCTGGGTTAGACTTGGGTGTCAGCTCTAGCCAAGTTTTGTAACATAGCGACAGGGCTTTGGGTTTCTTAGGTGCTGTTCAAGGTTGGAGGTAAGTAAATTGATGGTGTGCAGGGATGTTCCACATATTCTGCAAGTTGCGGAAGGTTCTAAAGGTATATATAGCATATAATTGGGCAATATGGGTGACGTTGAAATGGCTCCATGTATGCATGGGAAGATCCGGAGAGAGAGTTTTGAGCACTGTCAGTGGGGCTTTGGGGTGGATATGTGATTTCCAACCTAGTGAACCGATAAATTCGTCCCATACCTTTAGTACTGCTGTGGTAGTCGGGAGAAGTTTAGGTGTTAGGGTACATAATGTTCTAGGTGTCCATAGATAGTCAGTTAGGGATTGTGTGCGCGGTTGACTGCGTTCCATGTCCACCCATTGGGTATCACCTTGAGGGGGATGGAGCATTATTCCTGCTGCAAGAATAATAGCTTTGTAATAAAGCTTGATGTTTTGGGAGGCCAATTCCTCCTCTGCTGGAAGGATTTTGGAGTAAGCTTAGGGGTAATATGGCTTTTTTCCCATCCCCGATAAAATAGTTACCAATAGCTTGGAAGGATTTGCAATATGATAAGGACAGAGTTATGGGTAGCATTCTAAAACAGTATAGTATGCGTACACATTTATAAACGTATATAAATTATAAACGTACGGATTATTGTTAACGTAACATTGCAGAATAAGATACATCCCTTTATTGTGCCAAAGTTTCAGAATTAGTGAGAAAGTAACTTCTTTACTGATTATATTGGATACCCTCCTTTTCTTAGCAGAGTAGCAAATATAATAGTCAATTGGAACTTGGGAGAATTAAATTTGGGTCTATGGGCCCATTTAAAATGCGTCTCTAGAAAAAAAAAAAGCTATATGTGCCCCTTTTGAGGCTGCGTCCTTCAAGGTTAGGCGGCATTTAATGGGCGAGTTAAGCCCCTTCTCATGTTTAACGAATATATATTAAGCGTCATTTATCTACAGGGCGTGTAGACTGCCATGCTTAACTGGCCACAATACAACAAAATATTTGTCTTCTAGATGAGACACCGGTCTTATGACCTCCCTCTGAGCGCCAAGTTAGTGTGCCACCCAGGGGTGTAAAAAATACAATGGATGTACCCTCATGAACCTCTTGGTGGGGGGTTAATTTTACCATTTGTCTGTGACTTCTAATAGGATAGGTAATGAGCAATGTGAGCATTTGCAAAATAACACATCTAAAAAAAATAACATACATGTAACTATATACAATATTCCGTTCATTGTGCCTATGGGGTATGATAGTATCAAAAATGGTCTTGACAGTGGCTCAGGAGATACAGTCACTACTAGGGCAGAAGAGTAGCCACTTTACTCTGTCGGTAACTATTTAAAGAGCAGGGAAGATGAGCTCTGTGTTGCATGGGATAGCTTATCCCAGCCCTAGGTTCATTAAAACAGAACATACTAACTTTGTCAATTAACATACAGCCTAACATTATGAATGCCTGCATAAATCAGTCTATGAGTGTGATTTATAGACGACCTGGTCTTAGCGTCAGATGCCAGGTTGGCGATGGTAATTCAGGGAGGTCAACAACAAGCTATCCTTTACCGTGAAATAATGCACTTTTGTTATAATATCTATCGGTATGGTCGGTTCCAAGTGTTTGGGTTATGGGAGGCGATGTGTGCGGTCTAATAGGAGGTCTGTGTCAGTAAGAGTTGGTATTAAAGCTCTGAATAACTCTTGTACATACTGTGTGAGATCTTGGAGTTTGACTGATTCTTATGCGTATATTGTTATGCCTATCCCTGTCCTCGTGGTCCACCACTTTTTCTTCAAGGTGCTTGAGTTTTTTCTCCATAGAGGAGAAGGCCTCAGCTAGAGAATTATGGGAGTCTACGATCTCTTCCGTTCTGTCCTCCAGTTTCACCATTCAGCATTTGGATGTCGGTTCTGATATCCAAGGCAATCTTCATAAGATCGGAGTGCAGAGAGCTTTTAAGCTCCTGTATCATAAGGTTTACTGATGCGTTGGTGGCCAGGCGTATCAGGCTCCCGGATCTATTGCCGCTCTCACTGATGTCTGAGCAAGAGGTCGAGGAGACAGGGCCATCTTGGTCTGCATGTCATAGCAAAGGCGAGGCCGTAATGTGCATATTTAACGTTTTTTGTTTTAGCTTTTTGCAGGATTTTGTCGACATTGTCGTTAGGCAAATTGTCTTTGCCGACCGGGGCTGCGTCTCCGGTGTCACGGCTGTATAACCACGCTGTAAGAATCACAGGCTGGGAGCTCTTTAATGTGATTTTAATATCTGTGTCCAAAAATTTTCTCTCAATGGAGCAAATAAAACCACATCCAGTGGGATGACAAACATATTAAATGTGAAATCATTGTCAGAATATGCAATGCTTCAAATAAATGACACTTATAATCATCAACCTGATCATCAACCGTGATTCAGTGGAATGGAATGATACCTTAATTCAGACATAGAACATGAATGCACATTTACTATCTAGATAAATTATGGAAAGAAATAAAGATACTTGGTCTGCATCAATAAAATGCAAAGAGGGCCATAAAAGCAGAAAGCCAAGGCACATCGTTTATAGGAAACGTAACCTTATATTATAGTCTCTAATTAGTCAAAATTTTAGGAAACCAGCACAGGTAGAAGTAGTTTGTGGTCATAATTATGAGCCTAACTATTAAGTTGATTAACCGGTCTAAACTCTACACAGTTTGTACGCAGACACGCATGCAACTATTAATTTTTCTTTATTGAGAGAGCGAACCTGTTGTGGTGCACTAATATAAGAGGTCACTCTACATATCTATTAATTTGAAACAAGAGGCATCAAGTCTCTGGTCACATGCGTTTAAAGTGTAGTAGGAAGATGGTATGGATAAGTTACTTTGCAATTACGAGATGTTTATGTGACTGTACAATATAGGAAAATATCCAATGCTCTATGCACACAATGTTCGAATCAAAGAGGTGCATTAGGCACAGTGTTCAAAATATGTTACATAGATAACATACATTTAGAAACTGTTCAAGGAAATAAAAAGAAAAAGGGTACAGATCTCAAACAATAATATAACAAGTTAAACTACACTTGGAAGTAGTTTTGAGGTCCAAACATTCTCCAAGACAACTATATGGAAGAATCTCCTGTCCTTAAAACAAGATGCTGACAAACAGGGTTCTGTTTCCAAGGAATTCAATACCTTAGTCATCAATGGCAATTATAATATAATTAGAACATGAATGATTACAATGTGATTTCACAGTTAAGCTTTTAATATGGAAATGTCTCCTGAGTGCTGGAGAAACTGCAACTACTATAACCATAAACACAGAAATAACTTAAAAGGACACTATAGTCACCAGACAAACTACAGCTTAATGTAGTTGTTCTGGTGAGTATAATCACTCCCTGTAGGTATTTTCATGCAATCACTGCCTTTTCAAGGCAGTGACACTTCCAGTTGCCTCTCCTCAGATGGCCACTGGAGGTGCTTCCTGGAACAGCGCTGCACAGTGTGCCATTTATCATCTTAACGCTCTGCATTGAGACGCTGAATTTTCCTCACAGAGATGCATTGATTCAATGCATCTCTATGAAGAGGTGCTAATTGTCCAAGCCGGCCTTGTGCTCCGCCGCTGTCCTACCTCCTTGTGGATTTCAGCCATGTCAAATGCTTTCTCTATGGGAAAGCATTGGATTGGCTAAAAATAAATAAATTCTGATTATGTCAGCAAGGAGGGAGATCGGGGGCAGATCCTGCGCTGGGGTACCCGCGTGGCGCTGGAAATAAGGTATGTTTTATTACCTTATAAGGGAATGAAAGTGGGGCAAGCCACATAAACGGTGGTTTTAACACTATAGGGTCAGGAATACATGTTTGTGTTCCTGACCATATTGTGTTGCTTTAACACTTTCCTCTTCTAAGAATGGCAATTTAGAGTGTCTTTCATGCTTTCATCAGCCTGCACACAGTCTCCCTAAAATAAAGCTGAACACTTATGATTAAATTAATATTTTAACAGAATACTTTTATTTACGGGTTATTATACTGTTATAAGTACAGCATTATAGAACTTATAATGTTATTTTCATGTTCTTTTATTTCATTATTTCTGAAGAAAAATAAAAAAATAAATTTAATTGAACAAGGAAATACAAATAGCTCAGTAACTCTTTATGAATGAATAAGCCACTTTGGCAACAAAATGTAAATTTAATTTGATAAGCCAATCCTGTAGATGGTCAAATTATGAAATGCTGTAATCTGTCAGGCTAAAGAAAGATTAAATTTAAGTAAAGAACTCTACTAATGTTCACTTGGTGCACCATTTTAATTTAATTTTCCTTTCACCACCTGTAATCGCAGCCAGAATTCTTTCACATATATTTCAACAAATATGATGGAGGCCAAAAGTGACAAATCAACTTTCCTTACAACAACATAATAACATGAAATGCGTGATACAAGGGGACAGTATAAAGAGGTTTTGTGACTATAACATGTCTACTGGTCATGCTCCTACAAAATCACTAAAATCACTTCTTGCTTGAGAAATGTAAACTTTGTATATCATGGAACAGAACTGATTTATTAAATGTCTGCTGCCATGTTTTGTTTTATTTTGAATACAATGAAGAGCATTAACCAACATAAGACAAAGTGGCATGTACTTAAATGGCTCTGTCAGCAAAAGTAAACTTCTAATCTGCTGCTAGATAGCTTTTTTTTCTAAGCTCTCGAGTTTTCAGAAAATATATAAGAAAATGTAAGGACTACTGCAGGTTGACAAAATGTGGCAATGGGCAGAGCCTAAAGCAAGGTTCTTTTTCAATTGCCAATCAAACTTGCCAACAATTCATCAGTATAATCATTTCAGTACAGAAGGAAAGGATTAAAAAAAAAAACAAAAAAACATATGACAAGGCAACCTTGTACCCAAAGGACACCTTTGAAATGTTGCCTGTTTTGACTTAAAAAAGTATGTAGAATGGCAGAGCACTTATTTATTTCTGTTGACATGCCTGAACAATTCAGAGTACTAGAAAAGAATTTAAGTAACCCAACTCACACATTAACCACAATCAGAATTTGTAAATAAGCCTAATGATATAATGAGTATTACAGGCTCTTAGGGTGACTAGGCTTAACACAACAACTTCCAAGGAGGTGATAGAAGACAAAATAGAGATGCAAGGCCAAGCGTGACTAAGGCAAGGATATTTAAACAGATCATAAATGTTAGCCAAGCAATCCAGAAATATTTCTGAATGTTTAAAAATTTCAGGGGTCAGGGTACAAGATATAAGAATAGTCATTGCTACCCATGTCAATAACATCAAACTAATAATAAAAACACCCAATAACTGTGCTAACTGGCTTCTCGAGCTAATACAGGGCAATACGAACCAAGTGTTTTACAGATTATATAGTATACACCGTTATCAATTTAACTGTGCCAAAAGATACAGCTGTGCATGTTCAGATAGGATCCTGCATGACCACATTAACATGAATCGACATGGATATTAGAAAATGAGCTGAGCCGGAGATGCCATTTGTGCTGCTGAGACACGAAGAAGTCAGGGCAGTAATGCTGAAACACTAAATGAAATACACAAGTTTCCAAGTGTGTGCTTTTTTTTACAGGTGTTGCTGTAAAGGAAATCATTCAGTTCAGTCAATACTGATTTATACAAAATAGACTCATATAGTTTCAATGCAGGTAAAACCTGAAAAAACAGGAAATACATCCCTTAATTTCCCCATAAAGCCCATATACACCTCAATCACCCATCACATCACTCCAACCGTTCTATTTTCCACAGATCCTTGAACCAGCTGCCATGTTATTCAATTCCTTTTAATCCCCCTCACCTGTCACCTTAATCCCCTAATAACCACGAGTCACATTACCACATGTCTATAATCTGTTTATCACTCTCAGGCCAATCACATGCCCACCCATGTGATATGTATCTCGTACTACCATAATCTCACCCCGTCGCTTAATCTTCTCACCCAGTTCCATTCTTGTTATATTATACCCATGATATCATCCCTATAATCCAATTGACCAAATTTCCTTAATCACTGCATTACAACCCCCATAAGCACCACACCTCAGCCCCTTAACGAAGAATCACAATGAGTTCCATAACCACCTTAATCTATTCCCATAATCTACTCCTCATCACTCCCAGCCCTAATCACATTATGCCATCCCATAATCCCATTTACCCCATTTCTGATTACATTACTCATCCCCACAATCCCAACAGCCACCTAGCCCCACAATCCCAACACCCACCCAACCCCTCAATAATTGTCTGATTCCTTTTCAAATAACATTAACCCCAGATAGATAGGGCCTTATCCCTCACGTCCCTGTACCACTTCATCATTCTCAATTAACCCTCAGTCCAATCATAGGTATTCCATAATCTCATATCCTCCAGTCTAAAATAAATTAGCCTATCTTCATAATCCCCTTACCCCACACCCTAAATACATAACACCTGCCAGATACAACCCTCATACACCCATCACATCAATCCTCGATCCACACTTTTAATCTCAAACTGCCCCCATATCTGGTTGTCTAATTATGCAGCCATCCTCTAACTCCACAGACTTGGTCCAAAGATCCCTGTGTGCTGTCGGAGGTGAACCTAAAAAGGTCCTCACTACACCACCTTTCAAACACACCGAGACATACGGTCAGTTTTCATTTGCAACCACGAGACAGCTGTGCAAGCTATGAGCTGTCCTCACAGCTGTCCTTATCTGCACACTAATACAACCTGTTTTCCTCTCGTTAGGGTCCCAACGTGAGCAAGACCTTAGACATCCATTATTTAAGCTAATGCTGGGTCATCTCTGCACAGACTGAACTCTACTTGAAAAGCTCTAACAATTGAGATAATGTGAGTATGATCAAATCTTACTGGAGCCACCCAAGGTTATAATTTCCTTATTTCTGCCACTAAAGGTCAGGGATCTTAGATTACAAATTAAATCTATGTAATTTGCTAGCCTTGTCTATAATAAATTCATCCACACGTTTTTTTTTTTTTTTAAATGTAATGAAACAGAGACATATATGTACACACACATACACATGCACAAACACACACTTGAGGAGGAATGTAGTATCCTGTTTAAGAACATAGCTTTATACATTTTAACATAACATATAAAACTTCTTAGTAATGAATTCGGGATTTGATTGCCTACTTTTCCTTTTATGGTTCAAATGTCCCTAAAGCACACATGAAAACACAGAAAAAAAATAACAATTAATTTTTCCATTTGTGTGATTAACTATTCAAATTATGCAATGCTTTTTAATTATTTTGTATGTGATTACAAATGTCATGAGGCAGAAACAGTATTGTAATCAAACAAAGCATTATAAAGAATTTTACAAGCATTGCAAGACATTTATCAATTTCCTTCAACCATTTACTCCCTAATCTGTTGAAAATTAATAATATAGCTGTAAAACATTTTACCAGTGTTTTCTTGTAAAATTCTCTGAATATAGTATAATTTAATGTGCTTTGTTATGATGTATGATATAGAAGCCCTAGCCAAAATACAATAAATGCAAGTGTATGATGCTGCCAACTTCAACTTAATCCCCTACCATCGTATACAGAGCAATAAATCCCATGGGCAGATGACAATGAAATATGGCTGCTTTTTAATTGTTAGTAGGCATTAATCCAATTATTCACATGCAATGCATCCTTCCTGAAAAAGACACATGAGCTATTGAAAAGCTAACATGCATGGTGGAACTGATTAGAGCATTAAATCAGGGCAGGAGAGGCTTATGCCAGTATTTCTATCTATCCAGAATTACTGCTTTATAATGATAGTTAATTTTATTATTATTAATATTTTTGGCATTTATATAGAACTAACTTATTCAGCAGCTCTTTACATTATTATTAGGGGGAATTTAACAAATGAGACAAATATAAATTTTGGCAGAAACAATAGGTTAATCAGGGTCCTGCATAAATGAGCTTACAATTTAGAGTGGTTGGTGTCTAAAAAACACAAAAGGGCAGGGTGGGGGATAGCAACCAAGTCACAGGATGGAAAAGTAGCAGAATTGGAAAATGAGAGTGAAGTAGAAAACGGAACCACTAAATTAAGTTGAGAGTGTAATGACAGTTACTCTGTGAGTCAGTTCTTAAAACAGCATGTCGATATTCAAAGGAATAATCGTCAACAGATGTTATTCAATAAACAATGACTTTTAGCTAATTGAAGCTGAACTAAAATGTCAGAGTAAAGTAGCTAAGCTTTGACTATAGATGAAATTGAGTTTGTTTCAGTTTTGCACTCTTTACATACATTCTGCAATTCAGTTTTCCATTCTAGTCCACACAAATTAGTGTCCAGTGGATAAATACCTTTGTGTCAAACCTGAGAATCTATTGTCATATATGTTTTGAGTTTATACCTACCAGCTAAGTGAAGCACTGATTTCTTATAAATAAAGATAAAGACACTACACCAAATTCAGAATGTCCCTAATGATTGCTCTACTTTTTGAAATTCTGCCCTAAATTGCTCTCTATTTTTATCAGTGAGTCTGAATCAATGTATCAAAATTAAATGTAAAAGTGTAAATCTTTGCAGATAAGAAATCCTGGTTTGTACAGCTGGCACCACAGCATGCCACTCTCTCTTGAAAATGCCAGGAGATATAACTTTGTAAAATGTTCATCATTTTTGAAATCTAAACTTAGTATTCATATCCCTATGAAATCAGAATAATAAAATGAACTTCAAGGGGAATACAATTAAAAAGACAGTTTTCCATGATTTAACATAATGTGGTTTCTTACAATAAAATCTTTATTGTAAGTTGTTTTAATGGCCAATACACCAACACTTTATGGAACTATTTCGCCCCTTGAGGACCGGAATTTACAGCAACTTCCTTTCATTGATATCATTTATTGGGCTGACATCATTAGCTTAGTTAAAGCAATTTAGCCTGCTGGAGTGCTTTATGTGTGAACAGAGAGTCCTCCCAACAACCCCCTCCCCCACCCCCCCATTTTAAAAAAGTGCAATTACAACAAAAATTGACACTTTCATAAATTGAACTTGTTACATTCCATTGGCTGTCAGTCAGACAGCCAGTCATGTTACTTCCTGGTTGTTTAGCTGAGTGAAGCTAAACTCACGAGGCAGACAACTGCACAGAGCACCTGCCTTGCAAAGACTTCTCATTGAGCTGCATTGGGAAATATGTGATTTGACAGCCACAGAAAGTCTGGGTAGGGAAATAAAATGGTGGCTTGCAATGGCTTCAGACAAGAGATCTCTAGTCTTTGTTTTAGATATACTCCCAATATATAAAATGCATAATTAAATGCATGCATGTTTTTCATGGGGTATGTCTACAAAATAATGATTTTTTTTTACAATTTACCCTTGTATTTTGGCAGAGGACTGACCTTTTAAAGTCAACCCATGAAACGTGAGAGTCACACACGGACCAAAATATAGGGATTCTATATGATGAGAAGGTGTAATGAATCTGTGGCTTATGCACTTGATAAATGTGATATCTCGTTTCTGGTTTCATATATGCCAGAGAATAAACCTGGCAGTTGTCAATTTTAATTATCTGTAAATATCTTTTACTATGATATATTATTTTGATTCACATATTACCATAAACCTCTTTTATTTGACTGTTACATTACACTTATTCTATGCCAGGAACTCATCAAACACATTCCCAGTGAACTTGTGGGACAAAGTCAACCCTCGTGTTGCAGCCTTACATGAAGTATATCATGCAACACGTTAGGTTCCAGACAATTTAGAAATATAATGCTGCTTATCTGCCTCTCTACCCTCCCCAAATATAAGCTACTTCTCTATTGCCTCACCTATTTTTCTGGCACCATTGACGGATCTCCAAATCAAGAAACAAATGTAAAAAGGTTGTACATTGCTTGTTTCATATGTTTTATAATGCGTCCATATGGAGTTTCAGAGTTGCGGGATTTGGACAAGTTGCCCATCGCCCAAAATTCTGCAGAATCGATTTTCAATCGAAAACATATATATTGTTCAATCCTGCAGCTTTCACATAAAAGCATCATCAGGATTTGTATACTCCTAACCTTTGATTAGATTGTGTAAGTGTGTATATATTCATCTATTTCATGCAATGTTTCCATAAAGTCATCTTTGCTACAATCCTGTTCAATTGAATAGCACAGTGGTGCTAATTGGCACGTTACAAAAAATATAATGTTTGCAATAATGGTCACTTCCTTTCCATCAAACTAGTGGAAATACCTCTTACAATATATATCCAAGACCACCAGTGTAAATTCACTTGTTAGAGCCATAGTCCTAATAGTTTATTTTTACGAAATATATTTATGTAAATTAAACCCATATTTATTAAACAATAAAAGCTCAATAACACTGTTAATAAAGACTGCCCTAACCTGCCTACGTTTACAGAACAAGAGAATGCATGTTACATTTGTTGGTGCTCTAGTAACATATGCCTGTGTGAATGGATTGTCCATCATGGGTGGGTTGTATACTTATGTTGTGATGCATGTTTGTATACTGCTTGTAAATGTGTGCATTGCTGCTGTACTTACGTATGTCTTACCTGCTACTCCAACAAATATCTCAGCATCAGGGACTCAAGTTAATTTTGCTAAAATACAAGTCATATAAACAGTCTCATATGTACACATACGCTCTGACCACTGGGCTTTATCAATAGTGCTGTGCTAAACATATGAGCATTATTTTCTGCTTCTTAACAATCAATCTCAATAATTGCAAGAACATTTTATTGTTAAATTATTTGAAAGTTCCAATTTAAATCAATATTTCCGTAGAGCTCTGTCATCACCAAATGAGTGGGGCATTATTATAGTATACATTTCAAGGCAGGTGGGTATTTCTAGACAAGTCTGGATGGTTTTATATAATGTTAGCAAAACATTCTTTAGACTTGATTAATATTGGTTGTGGTGCAAGGATACATCATATTTGTATCTATCTTTGGTACCATGCAATGTTGTTGGCCCACGATTAGTGAAAATACTAATAAAACTTTTAAAAATTGAGCCAAAAAATGAAATAAATAGTTGCTTGAGAACAGAGATTTCACTTTGAAGGAGCAAAAATATATTTTTCAATCAAAGTTGTAACTGGTTAGGCTGATTGCAACTTTTGGAAGCAACCCAGGGAACAATGTGTAATTGAGCCGTATTAAAGAAACGCTAATGCCTCTCGGTTCACAGATAATATGCTAAAACGGAAGCTCTTTAAATATCTAATATTTAGGTACACTACTCCATATGGCGTCCTCTCTTACAAAGTAAAGAACAGTTTGTTTAACATGGTTCCATCAGCCAAGAAATGTATCCAAACCAAAATAACCACATGAGTTTTTAATTCCCCTTAGAGGCATTTTAAGTTGTATATTTGGGTTTGGATTCATGTGCATTGAGTTCTAAAGTTAAACAACTATGGTCTGTAGCAAATTAAAAATTTCCCTAACAATTGGGGAGAAAGAGTTTTTCTTTTTTTTTACTGAAACCAGACTGTCTACCTTAAATATATGTGTACCACATTTACTGAAATGCACATCAAAGCTTACTGGTAATGAATAAGTAGAATGGATTTACTATATTTTGAATCTTCCCCTCAAGAGGATACCAACAAGAGTAAAACAGCTACTTTTCTTCCATGCTAAGCTGTGTTTTGTGGGATGGAAATGTCCAGCAGAGCTACAGTTGCTTAGCCACATTATCAGCACTAACCACAGAAATGCCTGCATGTTATTCTGAATAAAGAAAATGACTGATCGTTGTCCACAGGTTTGCACATTATTCAGTCACATTTGTCCCACAGGAACGCTGAAACACAGGTAACATTGAATTCTGCCCTATAGCAGTGTTTATTTTATAAGAAATGTATGCATTTAATGTAAAGTCATGAGAAAGAACTTATAGTAAATTAATACACTGAAAGACAATCTATGGCCAAAGTTACTAAACATGTCACTAGAAAGGGATGAGCGTTTATATTTATTTTAACTTGATGAAAAAAGTACCAGAGAGAAAAAAACAGAGACCAAAAAGAATGCAGGGCAAAAAAAGCCCAGAATGGGAAGAATAAGAAAACAGAGAACATAGCTGGGGAATTGAAAGATTGAAATAAAAAGTTTGAGAGGTAGTTGGGAAACACATGAAAGGGGCACACATTAATGTAGAGGGGAAAAAAAGAAGGGGATAGGGAAGGGATCATGTTTTAGCAGAGAAGATGATTAAGAGGAAAGGTAAACTGAACTAAAATAAACAAAGTAGCAGGGAAAAATTTAATAGCTTGGATAAAATCAAGGAAAACAGAGGAGAGATACAAAAAGGGTTTGGAAAAAAATAGACATGGGTTTCTTCAATATGATTATAATAACTTGTTTAAGGCATACTATGGACACCAGAACAGTTATTGTATTTATTCTGGTGAGTATAATCATTCCCTTCAGGCTTTTTGTTGTAAACACGGTCTTTTCAGAGAAAAGGCAGTGTTTATGTTACAGCCTAGAGATACCTCCACTGGCCACTCCTCATATGGCTACTAAAGGTGCTTCCTGTGGCAGTGCTGCACAGTGTACAGCACTGACATTGTGTCTCCACCCTCTGCATGCAGACACTGAACTCTCCTCATAGAGATGCACTGATTCAATGCATTTCTATGAGGTGTTTGGCTTGTGATGGCTCTGCCCCTATCTGCCTTCTTGACAATGCTTTCCTATGTGGCTCAGAGAATTACTTATGTTGATGTCAGCCAAGCAGGCAGATCAGTGGCAGAGCCAGCGGAAGCAGCTGACTGGAATGAAGGTAAGATTTTACTATATTAGGGGGACAAGAGGGATCGATGGTGTTGTTAACACAATAGGGTCAGGAATATATATTTGTGTTCCTGACACTACAGTGTTCCTTTAAATTTGCATTTCCAAAATATTCGAGGAAGACTTCAAACACTAAACTCCTCCATGAACCAGAGTACAATTCTGGGAACAAGAGCCTCCCCCAAATTTTCTAAGGCTCTGTCCAGAATTACATGCTTTAACATATACTTACAAATCTTTAAATATATCTTTCTTCTAGTCAGGCATTTAATGTCCTTCTTGAAGGACATCACCTGCCACATGACATACAAGAAGCAACCACTGTGGTAATTTGCAAACCTGGGAAAGAAAAAACAAACCTCTCACCAATTTTCCCTTTGGATCTCATACACCATACGTCCATCCATGGAGTCAAAGCATTGCTCATTTCTCTTTATGCAGAAAATGCTTTTGACAGAGTGAACTAGGGCTTCATGGAAGAAATATAGGTTTCAGGGACGCGTCCTACAGGCCATATTAACATTTCTGCATTTTCAATCTGTGGTGGTTCAGAGTGTCAGTCATAAATTCTGATACAGCATAACATAAGGCAAGGTTAAAACACCAGCTGTTACCATGGATGGGAGGGGGGATTGTAGTAGGAATCAGGTTAGTCAAGCAGAAATAAAAAATTTACTCTTTTAAAACCAACAGATAACTTATACTGACTGATCCCATGTGCTATGTATTGCTTGAAGTGTTCAGGGATATGTTTAGATGATTTCAAGCTACAGCCTGAACTTAGAGAAAACTGAACCACTGAATAATTCGCTAATGAAAGACACCCTTCAAACTTTAACATTTATTTAATCAGAAAGTTAGAAATTTAGATAATCATAAACTAAAGTCCACTTATAGTGGCAAACTATCACTCTACTCCCCCTCATTTACAATCTGGTCCAAATTCCAAATCTCACGACTGTAGAAATTGGCAATAGTAAAAATTACATTACTGCTCAAATTACTTTATCTATTCCATGCCATCCCATTCCTAGTTAGACTATGACTCTAAACCGAATCATGAAATTTATCTAGAGCAATAGAAGACCCACAACAGTGAAAGAGGCAATTCTTTGGCACAAGTGTGGAGTTGGACTGGGCTTCTCCTATTACACATGCATTGTCATCAAGCTGACTTGTGAAACACATGGGACAGGTTTAGAAGTGTCTACTATAGCATGAGCTGTTCCCTTTGACTCACCTTCGCACCCTATGGGTACTGAGGAGTTCCTGAACATCCAAAGACGATCGATATCCAATTATGTCCTATACATTGTCCCTTTAGGATAACACCAAAAATGCATATGACCTTGTTCACAAAGGTTTTATCCTTAAAGGATCACTATAGGGGATAGTGTTAACACCACCATCTAGCGCCCCTGGGCCCCTCATGGCTCCATAAATATAGCAAAATTTTACTGTATTCAAGCCTGAAGCTGTAACACTGCATGCTTTTTGCCACAGAAAAACAAGCAGTCGGCTGACATCATTAGAAGTGGTAGCCTGATCCAATCACAATGCTTCCCCATAGGATCGGCTGAGACTGACAAGGAGGCAGATCAGGGGTAGTGCCAGCATGATTCAAACACAGCCCTGGCCAATCAGCATCTCCTCATAGAGATGATTGAATCAATGTATCTCTATGAGGAAAGTTCAGTGTCTGCAAGCAGAGGGAGGAGACACTGAATGTTTGAATGCATTTCAGGCAGCCATGACCCAGGGAGGATCTCTAACAGCTATCTGAGGAGTGGCCAGTGAAGTTATCACTAGGCTGTAATGTAAACACTGCATTTTCTCTGAAAAGACAGTGCTTACAGTAAAAAGCCTGAAGGTAATTATTCTACTCACCAGAACCAATTCAATAAGCTGTAGTTGTTCTGGTGACTATAGTGTCCCTTTAATCTCACATAATCCTGGATCTGCCATTGGTATGGTATACATATTACATTCTCTTTGCATGTAGGATTAAAGACCCTTCCCACTAATAGACAGACAGACATGGACTGACAGCCCCTTCAGAAGAGGTGTTAGATATGTTTACCTCTCTGGTCAAATACATATAAATTGTATTAAATACATGTAAAATATTACACTGGCTATATGTATGTTTATTGCTGAAAATGTTACAATTTTTAACAGGATTGTTTAGCTAACAGTACTAAAGAATACAAAGATGTGATCTATTTTTTTTAATCAAATATGTATATAAGATTTTGACTTGACAGACTATAATGCACCATTGGAAACAAAAGTAGACAACATGTTAAAATGCTTATTGCTTCATGCCAGACAATCCTCAGAGCACCACTCTGTTAACAGGCAATTAACATCCTAAAACCTAGCAACATTCATTGTGGTGAGTGATATTAGTGATTGAATAGGGTTATAAAGAGACATATTTCAACCTTTTGTGAATTGTACATCCCATGTAAAAGAAAAAAAGAATTGTGTCTCCATGGAAACCCTAATGTCCTTAACCTTTTCATTGCCAAAGAGATAAAGCATCTTTAAAATATTATGTTGTAATAATCTTACTTTCACAAAAAGTGTGAAAATAAGCAATTTTCAAATTAGTATGGTGATTAATATAGGAGACACTGGTATATATAAAATCTAAATCTTTTGTCTCCTAATGGCCTACCAATATTAATTAATTTTGAACAATGCTATGTTGATGCAGCCACAAACCTAGTAACAAGTTGTACAATATGCAATGAAACAAGTACCTAATATTTTCTTTACCTAGTCTAAATTACTTTTATGTTATTTAAAAAAAAAACAAAATACATAAGCCAGAAATAAAGAAAAACACGTTGGTACCAAAAACTTAAACCAGATACTGCAAGAATTCCCTATGGAAAATAAATTGTAACTTTTACGAATAGTAATACAAGAAGTGGTCACACGGTCTTAATGTGATCTGCTCTCTGGAGGGGACTTTTCATAATTTGCTTTAATTTAATGATGCATGAGACTCCTGACTGGTGTTCTTTTTTTAAGGTCATGCCATAAATCACTAGGAAATCACTGTTTAAAAACAAAATTCCGATGAAGGACATTGAAGATGAAATTTCAAATTAGCACCATTAGAACAATTCTCTAGACTAGTACTTTTCAAACAGTGTGCCATAACACAATAGAAGGCTGCTTCAAAATGTGCCATAAAGACAACTTCAGGGCTGTAATTGGTTGAATTCAGTCCTTAAAGGAGAACTATAGGGTCAGGAACACAAACATGTATTCCTGACCCTATAGTGTTAAAACCACGATCTAGCCCCCTTTGCCTCCCTTCCGATAGTAAAATCTTACTTGTATTCAAGTCTGAAGCTGGTGCCTCTGCCAGTGAACTTCCTCTGACATCATCAGAAGTGGTGGCCTCATCCAATCACAATGCTTCCCCATAGGATTGGCTGAGTCTGACAAGGAGGCAGATCACGGGCAGAGCCAGCACAATTCAAACACAGCCCTGGCCAATCAGCATTTCCTCATAGAGATGAATCGAATAAATGAATCTCTATGAGGAAAGTTCAGTGTCTCCATGCAGAAGGAGGAGATACTGAATGTTTGGATGCATTTTAGGCAGCCATGACCCAGGAAGGATCTCTAACAGCCATCTGAGGAGTGGCCATTGCTCTAAACCATAGTTTAACAGCTTAATGTCCTATTATGTAATTATTCAGTCATGTATGTCCTTCACTTAAGAACACATGATATAATAATTCTGTCATGCAGTATTTTATCCGCAGGAACTGTTTACCTGCTGATAACATAGGAACCTGAACACAGCGAGGAGATGGCAGAAAAATACTATGTAATGGTTTGGCTTAGAAATCCCTCAGTATCGATATTAGCAGAAGGAACCCCTAGTGATTAGATTAAGGATTAGATTTATATTTAGGCTTTGGTCGTTCATTAGGTTTAGGATTAGATTCAGATTATGATTAGGGACAGCAAGGAAAAGCCTCTACATCAAGGGAATTCCACTACTGACATTAGCGGAGGAAATCGTTCTAACTCTATAGCTAGGGTTAGGATTAAGATTAGGATTTGATGAAAAACAAATTTGATGAAAATATACACCTCAGTAAAGATCCATGATGTCGATATTTGCAAATTGTATGCATTCCTGGAGTAATTTAGATATGTGAACTACTAAAATACACCAAATGTATTTATTTTGAAAAAAAATCTACTTTCACAAATGGTAGCCCTTACTGGGGAAATTTAAACAAACTGCTATAATACCCCCAAAATGAGACATAGACCCCCAATCAAAATTCTAACTGTAAAAACTCAAATGGTCAGGTGCCTTATATGGCACTGTGGTTTTTACAGGAAAGTAGCTGGGCACAATGTAAAGTTTTGTAGAGTAGAAACACACATCAGATTTATGAAATATACGCGTGCATGTTAAAAATCAAAAAGCTAAATGTTTTTTACACATATTTAGCAAATATTGTCAGTTAAATGGCGATGTAAAAAGTAATACCCTCTGGTAAATAGCTTGTTATGTCTACTAAATGTAAATATATACTTTGTATACTTTTGTGGCAATTTTGCTTTCTGTGAAGGCTAGTAAACTTAGAAGACAAATGTACTGAATTCTAAAATTGTTCTACTTTGAAATGGTATTTCACTCCTTGTATTTTGTGATCTTTATACCAAAAATAAACTGAAATTGTGGTTGAACACACACACAGCAAAAATGACAAAATTGCTTGTGCGCTTAAGTACAAAACAAATAGGGTTTAAAATGTTCTCTCATATAGTTGCAGTTTGCGAGTGGAAATTATGATCCTGAGAGTGAAGAATGTGATGTAGGCTTTCAGAGACGTTTTGTATTTCCACCCCTTCTCTTACTCTGAATGCCCCACCAAGAGTGTTTCAATCTCTGTCCTTGGTGTATGCAGAGGTTGATAGCCGTATTATGTTTTAATCAGCAAAGTGGGAGCTCCTGGCACATTTAAACAAGTTACAGTGGCAGTCAGCCCTCTAGCCCCTCCAACAAAAGAGGCATGACATCTTACACTTCAGAAGTTGCTACGGGAGCAGCGAGTACAGGTCAGAACTGTCAGATTTAAAACAGGAGAGACATGTAAATTGTTTTCCTTATCCACTATACATTTATTTAACCTATGTGCAAATACAAAGTATTACATAAATAAGCATAGATGAGCATATAAACTGAGAAAAAAACAGTGATCCATCTCACTGAAATATAAATAATTGATTGATACCCTAACTTCCCTGTAATTAAAACTTTACTTATACACTAAAACTATTTAAGCCTCTTATTTCCCAAATACTCGGCTATTTTCTATTCTATGACCCTTAATACAGTTCTCACTTTCTCATCAATTGTTCAAATTTTCACAACTCATTAAGCCTCTATATGCCTTTTTGTCTTATTAACCAGTCTTCCTTTTCATCTTATTAAACCTCTGTAAGGTTTTTACACTTTTACTACAAGCATTTTAGCAAACATGCTAGTTGTGACACGGGGTGTAATAGGAGAACAGTAATGACTGTAGGGAAATAGGGGGCTGCTAGTGATTTGGGGAGGAAAAGGACTTGGCACAAGGTCCAGGTGACATATGATGGGAGAGAGCTTGAGGGAGATTTTTCAAGACAAAACAAGGTGCTATTCTGGGTAAAAGTGCTAAAGGAACAATTGAATGTTTTTAAAATTTAGCACTTTACACTGAAAATAACACCCGTTTTGCGATGATAAGTTACCCTCATTCTCTATTCTTTAATAACTGAATAATACGTGTAGGTGGTGGCTCCCAAATACAATAAAGATATGGTGGGAACGAAAGGAGTGATTTATATACATAATAGCTTTAATGACTACATTTGAGGCCTGGCTAATGGCTTGAAATCTTGAACCATGATATACAAATCACATAATAAAATCTTCATGATAGTCTATTAACGTGTTCATATCTTCATTTTATAGTGGGCGTTACAGGCAAGAGACTAAAGTCCACAGGCAGGGTTGTATCAAAGTGTCCAATTGTTCTGCATAGTTTATAAAATGCTCTGGATAACAGGGCTCTAAAAGAATTCTAAAATAAATTAATACATATGAAATTTATCAAGGTAGGGTCATATACAAACACATGGTAAAGGCCACAAAATTAACACATTTGAATGAGAAGTTCAGTGCAAAAAGAGTATGCAAGCCATTGGCTACTCTCAAAATATTACATATACTAATTTTAACTGGTTAACGGTCTATGACTAATTTTGCAGAACCTCCACCGACTAGATGCAGTAAGAGTAGATTAAACACCAATACATTTTTGAGTTTTACTGATATCAGCTGTGTTTAAGTTGCTCAGTCTACATTTCATATAGATATAGGCTGAAAATGAAAGCTTGGAAGCAGATAAGTAAAATATGATCTGCCAGATGCAGTTTTGACAATTCATATTCTAGAGAATTATGTGACTGTAGATTTACAGATGGAACCTAATTTATTTGTGTATTAGGAACAATTTAAAATACATATTTTATCAAGCACACCAGCATATCCACAACAGAATGGCTAAAAAAGAAAAGAATCAAGGTGTTGCAATGGCCCAGTCAAAGTCCACACCTCAACACGATTTAAATGGTGTGGCGGAACCTTTAGGGAGCTATGCATAAACAAATGCTAGCAAATCTCAATGAATTGAAGCAACGGGTGTAAAGGAGAGTGGGTCAAAATTCCTCCACGACGACATGAGAGACTGATAAGGTCATACAAAAAACAAGTAATTGCTGCTAGAGGTGGTTCTACGAGCTATTGAATCACAAGGTGCACTTCATTTTTCACACACAGCTTCTCCATTTTGGCTTTATTTTTATTAAATTAATCATGATGCGGTGTAATGGGTCGTGTTGTTGTTCATCTGAGATTGTATTACATAATGTTCAGATCAGGAACAGATGATTGTTATTATGTCCTGATATGTAAAACCATAGAATTCAAAGAGGGTGTACATTCTTTTTCCTACTACTGTACATATTCTCTAATGTACTTAATTTTAAATAATAAAGATGAACTCTATACTGAGAATATTGAAATCAAAGTGGACAATTACTGTCTGCAATGATAAACTGAAGGACCTGTGAATACTAGAGATAGGAATGAATATGAGATTATGTTTAACTTGATCATTGTAAAGAGAGTAGACATTAGTGGGCACAGTATTGTAGTATGGATTTAGAAAAATAAAGAAGAGGAGTAAATAGAAAAAGCCAAAGTTCAAAATTATTATTTTTTTCTTAATTTCCAAAATAATCAACACACTATGATATTCCCTCCTATATTGTCTATAGCAGGGCTCGAGTCCTGCAGAAAAAAATGCCGCCCCCAAATGCCCCCCATGTTCCCCCTGTCATGAGGTAGCCACCTGATGGACACCACCCCCCCCTCCTGGCAGGCACGTGTCTCTCGGTCAGACGCGGCGAGGGAGCTGTGTCCTCTCTGCTCTGCTCCCTCGCACGCCGTTTGCTCATGCAGGGAGTCAGAATATGATGTCATATTCCAGCTCCCAGCATCAGTATACCACCCGCGCAGCGAGAGGGAGCAGAGAGAACAGGCGCCCGCCGCACTGAAGACCCACTGGACCCCAGGGACAGGTCCACGCCAGCTCTCCAGGTAGGGAGGCTGGGTGGACATTTTTAAATTTTAAAAAATAATAATAATTTGTGTGTTTCTGTGTGTGTGTGTGTGTGTGTGTGTGAGTGTGTCTGTGTGTGTCTGTGAGTGCATGTGTGTGAGTGCATGTGTGAGAGTATGTCTGTGTGTGTGTGCACCTGTCAGTGCGTGTGTTCACGCGTTTATATATGCATACACGTGGGGGTTTTTTTTGGGGGGGGGAGGAGGGGATGGGTGAGTTCCCACACTTTATTCCCCAGGACTTGACCCCTGGTCTATAGTACTCAAGGTATCACATAAGTAATGAGTTTTACTCATTATATAATTTCTCAGTAGTGCACTAACAGCAAATGTATATAACTAAATGACAACTGAAGTCATTTGTTTGCAGTGGCCATATTGATTCTGGTATAGATTCACTCAAAATAACCATAGTACAGAATCTTGTCAAAGCACATGTATGCAGTATTGGCATTATTGTACTCTATTCTGCACTTTGGGTTTTTTAATATTCTTCAATTCAATAGGACCTCTTACTCTTATGACGGTTTATTTTGATCAAACCTGATCTAGATTAATGTTAAAGTTAATGTATTAAAATTGCACATTTTCAGTACAGCCTCCAAAGCATGATCAATAAATGTCTGTTGGAGAAACATAGTTTTAGGCCACAACAACAAGTAGATCTAGAATAGAGAAAACTGCAAAATTTGTCGCCAAAATAAATAAGACTATAACTGCTAATTCACTTAAATGAATACTATAGTGTTAAGAATACTAGAATGTCCTATTATCAGGTTTGTTTTATGTATCTACCTCCCCCTACAGCCCATTTCTATTCCTAATCCTAAAAAAAATTTTTTTTACTTATATTTACTACACCGCCAAAACCCCCTAGATGCGGAAGGCCATATCATCTGGGTTTTGAGCCGATTGGTTTGCATGCAAGGTGAGCCCGCAAACTTTTTCTAATACTTGGTCAGTGCCTTTGCTGGCTGTCAGGAAGATAGCCACTAGAGTTTTGTTTAACCCTGCAATGTTTAGATTACAGGGTTAAAATATCAGAACTACTGCACCCATGCCACTTCATTGAGATGAAGTTGTCTCGATGAGTTTAGTGGTCCTTTAACATCGAATTTTCACAAGTTACATGCAAATGGAAAAACTAAGGCAAAAGTAGCTGATTTGGAAAAACTCTCTAACCTGATCATAGGAGTTTAGTGAATAATGCATTGATGTATTTTAGACAGTCTAAGACAAGTTTTAAATTTTACAGCTAAATAGCAAGAGTTGAAGAATTGGGCACAATAATGAAAAGGCTGATCCACAAGTGCTTTTTTTTTTTTATACTTCTAGACTATATGAAGATATACACAAGGGTTAAACATACAGATCAGTCGCTTGACATTTTTTTATTTGTTTGCCTTTGCCGTTGCCATAAAGGGCTCATTTAATAAGTAGTTTAACAAGTATGTTCTTAAGCCAACACCTTTGTTGCAGAATGTTGTCTGTAAGCACTATACTCTGTAGCTAGACACAAAAGAAATAACATGCAAGACATCAGGGACAAAGGAAGCCACTGATTTAAGGAGCAATTTAATTAAAATTGAACAACGGGCTGCCACTCAACATTTAAAACGCTCGGGTTCATTAGACAGGCTAAAAGACTTCCAGGCGTTTTGGAATTCAATCCTTTTTACGGCAAGCTACATGCCAGTGGAAACAATAAGTGCTAAAAGGATTGACATAATATATACAAGAGCACTTTAGTTGGATACAGAGAAAAGTCTATATACCTTAAATAATCACTCTTCCATAAAGTTTACAAGTGATGCTTTTCAGTGTTCCCCTTGGAAAACCACCTGTTTACAAAGACAGCACAAAAAAGTGACTACATCTTGTCTCATGATCCCTTCCAAATTGAGAACTGCTTTATCAGTGGTCAGGGGGTTATTTTAATCCCATGTTCTGGACAATTAACTCCAACCTTTGCTTTCTCAACAGCTATTTTAAGAATGTATGCAAGAGGAGGATGGAGCCGGAGCAAGAAGGCATGATTGATACAGGGATATAGGGCAAAGCAAAGAACAGTGACAAAGTTGTAAAGCATTCTAGCATTTTCTTTATTATGAAACAAATGAAAAAAATGAAAAAAAAAAGCATTAAAGTTATACAAATTATTGGTATGTTTAAAGGACTAGTACTATAAAATTACAGGCTAAAAGATTAACCCCAATATAATGGTAAGGAAAATGTATTCTGCATATATGAAATTATATTCAAAATGTAAAACCTATTTTGGATAACTTAGTTAATTTACCAGTACAAAGTGATTTCAAAGTACACATTTTCCTGCAATCCTGTAATCTTGAAATGGTAATTCCAGACAAACCTTGTATTAGCATGCAAAATATAGACAATTTTTCTTTAAATGTTTATTCCTTTCCATTCTGCAAGTGACTATAATTTGGAGAGGCTGAACGCGTGTTATGGTATTTCTTGATAAGACTTAATGGTACACTATCATATTCTATTCTAGAAGTGTAATAAGCATCCAAGCACATGTATGAGTTAATAAAAGGAAAACTGTGGCAGATAATTCTGGAGCAGAGATAGAGGCATGGAGTTAATTAAATTAAAGGTTATTAAATTGGTTAGTACTACATTTCAATGTTGCACACCTCCAAATATAGACAATGCTTGGGGCATAACCCTTCGTAATGACAGCCACAGGCAAATGAGCAGGCATGCACAAAAGACCAATGTCCAGTTTTAATATTCACTTTCTCTATTTTTCTCTAACATCTTGCAGCAGGTTGTGGGGTGAACATGGAACCAAACTCTAAAAGTAGGATGGTTTTTATTTAAAGTATAATAATGTTTTACATCTTACTAGAATGATGGGTCAGTAAGGTATAGTGCACTGCAGTAGTCATTTGTTCAAGGATGGCTAATGATGGGGTCAATCCGTGTAGACAACAGGCACCATGGCCACTTTAAATCAATGAAGTTTTCATGGTGTTTGTAGTAACCCTTTAAAGTTGCTAAATAAGCACAACCAAGTGTTTATATGTGTGTATGTGGAAAGACATGACAACAGATGACAAAGAGATTAAAAGCATAATGTACCCTTAATAATGTAACACTGATTAAGAGTTGATTGTCGTTTGTCAGAATACTTATCAAAGCAAACATATTGTGGGGTTGTGAATCCCGAGGGGAAAATAAAATAACATTGTATACAGAAAATTACATTCTGCAAAGAAAATGTGTCAAAGTGTGTTAGAATAGAAGAGCACCAAATAAAGAATGTATTGAATGCTGTAGCAAACGTAGAATAGCAATACTGTGCTGGAAATTTCCTGTTCTTATTAGTCGATTGGATGGTTTCCTGTTTTAATTGCTCGCTATTCACTTCAGTCACAGTGCTGTTCAGTCACTAATGTTCTTTAGCCAGCTCACTAGATATTTTTATGAATGAACACAGCGCACAGCCTCATTTCGGTCCATTCTCTAGGCCTTTCATCCATGCTTAATTTCAACAGAAATCAATTGCTTCCAAACATTTTATGACCATCTCCCGTCTTAACCTCTGCATTCTACCTATGACATATTGCATTATAACCCTCTGTTGCAGTTTTCTATACCTCTTTACATTTCATTTAAATTGGTTTTATAGTCAAAGCTCATGCATTACTGGTTATTTATGCTTTGTTTGAATAGAGCAGTTTATTAAATTAGAACTGAAAAATATACAACTCTTCTGCTTTCTATACAGTCCTGCAGTAGGAGCAGACCTTAAAGGGACACTAAGCAGAAAACCAAACTTGCACCAAAACAACTAGCTTAATTAATTTGGTGTATAGACTGCAGCTGCAATCTCACTGTTCAATTCTATGTTTTAAGAGTTCAATCAATTTGTTTATGCAGTCATAGCCGTAACTCACACAGCCTATGTACATTCTTACTGAAATGTGTCCAAATTATGTAGCTTTTATTATGGCACAATGAGTTTAATTTATCATCTCCTGATATGAGTTGCCTACTAGAGCCTGCAGGAGACTTTGGTGTGTGTGATTACATTTTAATTAAAAGAGCAGGAGATAAAACTTCTAAAGTAAATAAACACCGCTGTATGATCTGATTTAAACTGAAATAATTTCTTCATGGGTGCTATGTGAGTCACAGTCAGGGGAGGCTTGGCTTGGGCTGCATACAAAGAAGAAGTTATTCAACCCCTAAAAGTCAGATAACCGAGCAGTGACACTGCAGGGACATGATAAACACACTAAAAGGGCTTCATTAAGCTAAAGTTGTTTTGGTGCTTACAGAGTCCCATAATAACCCTTCCAAATGAAATAAGATCAGAACTGCAAGGCTTACATTTACTCTATTAGAGAGCATTTAATAAATTAGAACTACTAATTTCACAAAGAGATAGACAGACAGACAGATTAATATTCAAATATAGGCCTATATTATTACATTTCTGTTGACAATTTGCATAAATGGGCTTTTATCCTGATTAGCCAGGCCAGATGTGAGAGCTTTCTTCAGCATTTCGCCTCCAGTAAATACTCTGTTCTTTCTCGAGCCATGCTCCATTGGTCACACAGGCTATGCCAGAAAAGCTGTCATCAAGCCTTCCAATATAAATATGATCTTTGTACATAGCCTTTAAATTATAAAGACTTAAGTGCGGAATGGCTGTACTGGGCAAAGCTGCTATTCCTTTTTCAATGCTGTACTGTTTCCTTTGCTTTAGATGGATTCATTTGTAAAGTCAAGTCACAATTCCTTTACACCAGGGATTAGGAAACAGGCCATTTTATACCAGTAAGAACACTTGCATTAGTGGCAAGGGATATTTCAGTGACTGCTTGACTAAAAGTCTGTCATTTCCTATGTACACATTACATATTTTTCAGAATTTGTTTCTGATTATAACAAGCAAAAATCTAAAGTTATCTGGGAATAATCCGATTCACTAAATATTTGTTTGTAATCTGCAGATAAGATTAGCATGCTATGCATTACCGCAAAGGTGGATTAAGTGCCTTCTTTTTGCTGATGGAACTAAGCAGAAACAAATGTATCTCAAATTTTGGGTAATCAACACAACCATTGTTCTGACATATGTTCCTGAGATATGTTTAAGGATTCTGTTCTGGGAATCATGGGACACATTACACAGGATATTTTTGTTTATATTATTAGTCAGATTGCAGGGATTAGAGGGAACTTCACATCTTCAAAAAAGTTAGCACTAGAAAAGTCTTAAAAGTGTGATGATATTCAACCAGAGAGACCAATTCCTAAGGTTGGTGTCACCCAGTGGAAGAACCTCCATAGACCTAGAAGTCAATATGTAATTTATGTGTAATAAAAATGGTGTCAGAGAGCAGAGAAAGAGTGTCTTAATAAGAAGACCAGGCATAGGCAACCTTCGGCACTCCAGATGTTTTGGACTACATATGCCATGATGCGTTGCTAGCATTATGGGTGTAAGGGCATTAAGGGGGATGTAGTCCACAACATCTGGAGGTCCGAAGGTTGCCTATCCCTGGAGTAGACTCTGATTCCATGCAAAATACTTTGCATGCACTAAAGTGTCCATGTGAGCATTATAGCTTGTATAACATCAATTCTTAAGGTGATGCTGTGGTTTTTTCATTTACTTAATTTAGGCATAAACATTCCCAAGGTTATTAAGTTACCTTGGAATTGTGGAAAATTTACATGGGAATTGCGATTATTTTCAGCCAAAATAGTCAAGATGGAAAAATAGCTGACTGTTAAATTTCTTTAAATTCTATTTTGCTATAAAATTTGCAATTCCCTTGTCAACAACCCTGGCTTAAAACCAATATTTTCCTTCCTTTGTGAATGACAAATGTATTTGTTCCAGTATTTCTCCTGACTAAGATTGACATCTCACATGATATTAGAGGTCTCTTTCTTGTGTTCACTACTTTTATATAACTATATTTCTTGGACACCTATTAAAATTTCATACTCAGCAAACGTTCAATATTTTAAAATTGTCGAAATAAAAATACTCACATGCCAATACTGGCATCTGTTATAGGAGAACACACTGTTGGTGGTGAGGAACAAATTCACCTTGATGGCTTAATCCAACTAATTTTATTAAAATACAATTTTAGAATATGCCTTACTGGCAGGGTCCATCCCCGAAACAAAGAAATAAAGACTTATTTGCGATGTTTTCCGTGAAGCCTGATCCTACTCTGGTGACATTACAATCCCTTACTGCAGGGGAGGGACATCCCAGAAGATGGAGGGGATCATCTATCACCTGCAAGTTATGCATGCCTAAAGCAGATGCCAATATGCACAGAATTAACATTTTGTAAGCCCAGAGTGCTGCCACAAATGAGTTACACCACCGACAGATTTTTGACTCTTTGCGTGTCACATTTCTTCTGCACATACTGACTCTGAGCACCAAGACCACTTAAGATAACCACTCCACTGAGTGGCTCGGTAATCCATGTATAAATTAACTATATTTTCCAACTTTGTAAAAGCTGGTTGGTTTTCTAGATTACAGTTCTTACTAGCTTTTCCATTAACATTTACTGAAATATAGACTGTAAGTAAGAATAAACTGACACATTGGTATATTCAGAGGAACAGGAAAATCAGTGCTTGAGTGTAATTATTTGATATACTTCACTTTTTCTCTAATAGATACGGTGCTACCATCAGCTCCACCACGCAGGCTCGCTGCCTAGGTGTTCTCTTTGACTACGACCTCTCCTTCAAGCCTCATGTTCAGTCTATCGCCAAATCCTGTAATTTCCATCTCAAAAACATAGTGCGCATTTGCCCCTACTTAACGCCAGATGCGACTAAGATGTTGGTCCATTCCACTGTCCTTTCTCGCCTTGACTACTGTAATCCACTTCTCAGTGGTCTTACATGCTCCCAACTTGCGCCGTTACAGTCCATAATGAATGCGGCGGCGAGGCTCATCTTCCTGTCCGCCCGCACCTCCCATGCCTCACCCGTCTGTCAGTCCCTACATTGGCTTCCTATAAAATATAGAGCTCAATTTAAAATTCTGGTTCTTGCTTTCAAATCGCTACATAATGCTGCTCCCACCTATCTATCCTCCCTTATAAACAAGTATGTCCCATTTAGGCCCTTACGATCTGCTGAAGACTTACGTCTATCTTCTGTCTGTACTCCCACCTCTGATTTCTTGAGGGCTGCACCGTTCCTGTGGAACTTGCTTCCCTCCTCCGTTAGATGCTCACCCAGTCTCCACTCCTTCAAAAAATCGTTAAAAACCCACTTCTTCATAAAAGCGTATCAATTAAACTGGTAATAGCTCCTGACTGATTCCTCTTCTGCAACTGTCACTAGTCTAATACTATCCTTACCTTTTGTGTCATTTACCCCACTCCCTCTAGCATGTAAGCTCATTGAGCAGGGCTTTCAACCACTCTGTTCCTGTGTGTCCAACTTGTCTGGTTACAATTACATGTCTGTTCGCCCACCCATTGTAAAGCGCTGCAGAATTTGATGGCACTATATAAATATCATAATAATAATAATAATAATATCACAAACGAGTTGTCTATTGAATAAGAAAACTAGTCGACATGTACCCCTCAATCACTCATTAAGTAAATCGTAGCAGCCCTATTGGCTTTAATTTGCTACTGTTTGTACTTCTCCATTTTATGTAGGAGTTGCAGAAAAATGTTTTGGTGTGTCACACATTTTTATATATATATATATATATATATATATATATATATATATATATATATATATATTTACACAGACATACTTTTAAAAACATCTATTGGACACATGCTAAGCACTACACACGTCATATGTTACCATTTTTATATAGAGAGAAATCATTTTTTTTTTATTATTCAAACTTTGTATTGTTTTGTAAAATATAATAAGGCAAAAAGGGGGGAGGGTTACAGAAAATAAGAGGGGAGGGGAGGGGGAGTGATGTATCATTATTTTTAGTCAGTAAATTTACAGGCAAATTGGTTGTCAGGAATGTAAAACTGTATTCTCATTTACTTTGAGTGTTGGAACAAAATTTTAAGATGACCTGAAGAGCTTAAAATCATTCAGGTTATTAAAATGCATTTAATAGACTTTAATAAGCTCACCTACAGACGCCATGAGGACAATTGCTTAGGTAAGCGTTGCTCTTAAAACATGGCCAATTTATAAACCATAGGGACTGATTGTGTGCATCACTATTTTCCATTTTGCGGCAAAACTCAAAGCATGTGATGGCTAAAAGCCCAGTGTTCACATACAAATCCTAAAAATAATGTCTAGAATGTATTGTAATACAGAACACTGACGACCATCAAGAGATCAAGATCCAGGTTTTGTCAATCACACCAATAAAATCAAAACAAAGAAGAACAATATCTGGAGTGCTGCTGACATAACCAAAATAACTATATGTAGCAGAAGCACAAATCTATAGTATTATAAAGAGCAACTGTCACTTCTAACGATATTACACTATTAAGTAAAACACTGAAAATCACCTATAATTTGAATTTATTTTTTCTTATGTTTTGTTTTGCTAACATATTCCACGGTGCTTTATAGATTAAATATGTAAGATTTATAAATCCCCTTTACATGTCAATTAACTCCGGGTACAACAAGGGCACACAATGCATCAGGGGAGGAAAAACCAATGGTGGATATTTATTGATGTGCTTTGAAAGGGGATGGTTCTGGCAGCTCATGGACACAGACGTGTGAGCTGTTAGCTCCGACGAGGGTGCAACAAACCGCAACGAATTGACGAGCGCAAACCACCCAGACCGACTCACAAACGGCTTATTTGACAAGCCCAAGCCATCATGTCCCAGAGAGCTAAAAAAAAAACGAAATTACGCCCTACAGCCCTCCAAATATCGGCTCTCACACCGCCGCGCAACAGAGCACAAGATGGCGCGGGAGGCCCTGACTCACCCACAGCATGCTCTGAAGGGAGTGACAGCACATCCATTTCCCATACTAACGCAGCCCCTGCCTCAGAAACGGCTCTGCACCGCATGCTCCAAGAGCTACAGCAAAATCTCCAAGCAGAATTCGCTAAATTGGCCCGGGACGTCCGCGCAGACATTAAAGAGATAGGTGCGCGCACCGCCATATTAGAAGATAAAACAGAGGAAATTATTGACGCGCATAATAACCTAGCCGCAACCTGGGAAACCCTGGAAAGCCGACTTACCTTCCTGGAAGCCAAGATAGCAGACCATGAAGATCGCGACAGACGCAACAATATTCGTCTGCGCGGCATTCCAGAAGAAATCAAACCCTCTGAACTAAGGGACTATGCCATAGGCCTATTCAAGGCCCTCTGCCCACAGCTCAGCGACGCCGACCTGTGCCTTGACCGTATCCACCGCCTGCCGCGGCCTAAATTCTTAGCAGCAACTGCGCCCAGGGATGTAATTACACGCATCCACTATTTCACCTCTAAAGAAGCAGTACTGAGAGCAGCAAGGAACCCTGACAGCATCCCAGCTGAATTCCGAGGAGTGAAACTATTTGTGGACCTCTCTGCAGCAACCCTGGCTAAGCGCAAAGCACTGTCACCAATCACCCAAGCACTCAGGGATGCAGATATCCTATACAAATGGGGCTATCCAACACGCATCATCGTGAGGCGAAATGGAGTGGAACATCAAATACAATCAGTAGATGAAGGAACCCGACTACTAGGCGACTGGAATTTACACATCAAACCTCCAGACGTGAAAGATTCAGCAAGCAGAACCACCAAGTCGCCCACAAAAATCTCTAAGGACTGGTCCGCTGGGACAAAACATAAATGACATGAGACTAAGGCTAACATATCAGGCTGCGCAGTCCAGCCTAATGCATCTTCGTACCGACTAGATACGTGAGCATGCTACATGTCTGTATAATTGTTTGCAATGTTTTTTTTTGTTTTTTTTTGTTATATATGCTTAGTATGTGGTTAACAGAATACCTAGCATAACAGACACATAGCCCTCAGTCACAAACTAATGTGTAGAGGATAGACGGTTACCAGTTTCCACTTCCTCAGAGGCGGGCTATATGGCATTCCAAGCTAATATCTACGCCAATATGGGCGGTTAATACCCACAAAGACACCCTCCCCCATTGTGGCTCCATAGGGCCGACAAAGACCTCGTCGTGGTCTGATATACAGTATCTGACCAATCTTTTGTACATAGTTCCCCGATGGGGAGTTATCCCTTTACACCCCCGACCCCCCTCCCATACCCCATTTAATACCAATAACTGCAGGTTGCTAACCTTAGATACTCGCTACCATGATATAGTTAACGTAGGCGAGATCGCACTACATAAAGACTTACTCAAGGCTATCCAGAACAAGACTCAGACTCGAAGAGCACACCTTACTTTTCCCACATCACACTGCGGGCAGAAGAGAGCCCCCGCTACCTCTCCATGGCGTTAGTAGTTCTCTCACTTAATGTAAAAGGCCTAAATACACCTCACAAAAGGAGGCTAGCTCTCGAAGAAGCTAAAAGGATGAGGGCCGCTGTGGCTTTCTTTCAAGAAACCCATTTCCTAACCTCCAAACTACCCAAATTCTCCTCAAAAGACTACCCGATAGGTTATCACACTGGTTACTCAAAAAAGAAGAGAGGAGTCTCCATTCTCTTTAGCAAAGATGTGGCTTTTTCCTTGCACAAGAAAATTGGGGACAAAGAGGGACGCTTCCTTCTGCTTCAATGCCTTCTAAACAACGTTCCATACACCTTTATAAATGTATACGGCCCACATGATAACCAAAAAACATATCTAGACAAAATCCTAACACTAGCAAACACATACCAATTTGGGACGACAATCATAGGGGGAGACACAAACTTTATTTTAGACGAACAATTGGATACCTCCTCTACCCTCCACGTTACGCAAAGAACAAAGACTAAACGTACCACATCCTCGACCACTGCCAAAACACAGTTGACCAACTCGGGATATGTGGATATATGGAGAATCCTACACCCTTCCGAAAAGGATTTCACTTTCCATTCCCAAGTACATAACTCTTACTCAAGAATAGATAGATTCCTCATACACAACACAACAATCCCAACAATACAATCCACCAACATAGCAACCATTACGTGGTCGGACCATGCACCGATTACCCTTACCATGTCAACTCGATTCCCCACCAAAGGGCGCGGTTCATGGCGCCTGAATGAATCTCTACTGCGCGATCCCCAAATTACCAGACAAATAAAAACAGAACTAGAAGCGTATTTCAACACAAACACTACCGCAGATATTTCCGTAGATACTCTGTGGCGTGCACACAAAGCCGTGCTCAGGGGCTTGTTCATCAAACACGCTAGTTACGCCAAGAAGCAAAGACTACACACATATAATACCCTGATCCAACAAATAACAATCCTCACACACACAAACAAGACGAACCCATCGCCAGAACATTATAACAAGTTGAGAACTTTACAAGCACAACTGAATGAATTTGAACTAGACAAAACCAACTACATCCTCCAGAAGTATAAGCATAAATTCTTTGCACAAGGGAATAAATCGGGCAAACTTCTTGCGTCCAAGTTAAGGGCCCGTACGGCCAACACTAAAATAGCTTACATTAAGACACAAGGGAACAAGAAAATCATGAACCCACAGGACATAGTAGAGGAATTCGCGCAATACTATAGCTCATTATACAATCTCAAAGATGATCCCACAACAACCACACCGACCAAAGCACAAGTTCGAGAGTACTTAGATACAGTAACACTACCTACATTAACCCAGACAGAAATTGATACAATTACTAAACCAATCACGGAGGAAGAACTGAGAAACACAATATTGAAATTACCCCCTCACAAGTCCCCAGGCCCTGATGGTTTCACCAATTTGTACTACCAAACTTTCTCAGAAACCCTCACCCCGCACCTCTCCAAGCTCTTAAACCACTACTACACCATAGGCGAAATGCCTCCTGAAATGCTACAGGCACACATATCAACACTCCCGAAGCCAGGCAAACCAGCGACGTTCTGCCAGAATTTCCGACCCATATCTCTACTCAATTGCGATACAAAAATTTACGCAAAAATTTTAGCTAACCGCCTTACAAACATACTAAATCGCATAGTTCATAACGATCAATCAGGCTTCACCAAAAACAGACAAGGGTCAGACAATACGAGGAAAATTCTTAATATCCTAGCCCACATGGAAACACGCAAAACAGAGGGCCTCCTGCTGGCATTAGACGCCGAAAAGGCCTTTGATAGGCTCAATTGGGAATACATGGAACAAGTACTTCTAAAATTTGGCTTCCCAAGCTCGTTTACTACGGGCATAATGGCACTATACTCCAAGCCATCCGCTAAAGTCACGAACACAGGCTTTATCTCGAACCCCTTCCACATCACCAATGGCACTCGCCAAGGATGTCCACTCTCACCTCTATTATTTATACTCTCCCTTGAACCTTTGGCCTACAAGATTAGAACCCACATAGACATAGAGGGAATCCCTGTAAAACAAGCAAACTACAAATTGTCCATGTTCGCTGATGATATCCTTATTTCCCTTACGAGACCAGAGCATTCCCTACCGCACATTCTGAGCACATTGGAAGAATACGGCAAAATTTCCTATTATAAATTGAATCAGGCCAAAACCCAAGCACTTCCCATACGTCTTCCTGTCACAACCATACAAGCGCTAAAAAAACGATACTTGTTTGACTGGAGACAGACCCATGTAACATACCTAGGGGTGAAAATAGCCGCCACATATAGAGGAATTAACACACTAAACTACTCCACAATGCCACACATGTGCAAACAGATCTTGCACAAGTGGAAAGATGTCATGCTATCATGGCTAGGCAGGATTAATGCCATAAAAATGATTGTACTCCCGAAACTGCTCTATGTATTTAGGATGCTTCCAATACCTCTCTCCCCTACATTGAGCAAACAAATCCAAACGATAATGACAAACTATATATGGGAGAACAAGAAACCCAGAATACCATCGATTCTTCTACAAACACCCACTAAGGAAGGCGGACTAGGTTTCCCTAACATAGCAACTTACCACAAAGCAGCGATTCTCGAAAACGCGATAAAATTACACGCACCACCCCACACACTACAATGGGTGGATCTCGAAAACAATTATGACCCCGCGGGGTCAGCGGTAAATTATATGTGGACGCCTAAACAAATTCGGGACAAACGCAAAGACATGTTACCACTTACCAAATACCTGATACAGACCTGGGACCACTTACACCGTACACGGACAACGGAGAGCAAATTTTCACCCTGGGCTCCCATCACAGCTCTCACCACTGTGTCACCCTGGCTATCCCTAGATAAATGGAGAGAACTTGGAATAACCCGCATTATGGACATATGCCAACAAGGAGCTATACTACCCTTCCCGGAAATTCAAAAAACGCATAACCTACCAGCATCCTATATCTTCCCATATCTCCAACTTAAAAGCTTACTTGCTAATAAAGTAGCACCCCCAACATCGCAAGTAAGCCCCACAGACCACGACCTACTATTACTGTACCATAGGTGCCACAACTCACCGATTAAACCGAAGATGCTCTCATTGAGCTACACAGCTTTAAGAAATCAAATTCCGCCTCCAGAGTTCAAATACAGATTGCACTGGGAACAAGAATGCGCACTGTCATTCACAGACAAGCAATGGACAGCGTCGCTCCAAGCCCTAAAGGGTATCACTGCCTGTTATTCACATGTCGAAGCACATAAAAAACTACTCTACAGGTGGTACTACACACCTGACAAACTCCACAGGATCTACCCCCACACCTCGGCCAAGTGCTGGAGATGTGGGATGGAACGAGGCACAATGACCCACATCTGGTGGAACTGTCCGAGCATTACGCCCCTATGGAAGGAAGTCCATCAGACATGGCAAGAACTGGGGATCACACAACTATCACTCACACCCCTGCTGACTCTCTTCCTCCAATACCCCAACTCAATACCCTACAAGGACAAACACCTGACAACGATGATGATCCTAGCAACCCGCAATCTCATAGCGTGTCACTGGAAACAAACAGAATGTCCTACCACCACAATGCTACACCACAAAATTAGGCAATACCTCCGATATGATCTGCTCACAGCCCACACTCACAAACAGACCTCCACCACACTCCTTAATTGGCGAAGATGGACAGAATGGGTAACTCTTAAGGGGAACGCAGACGAGGCCATAACTACTACTGCTAATAGAGATTAACTACTACTGCTACTAGAGATTGACACAATAGATTGAAGCCAACGTCCATAAGTTGTTGTCACCCTAATTTCTCGAGGCCCGTAAACAGACTTACACCACGATGAGAGGGCACAAAATAGGACATATTGTACCACTCACAACAAAACATACACTCAGAATAACAACACAGCATAAATTAGCGTAAAAGTACTCAAGCGATAACAAGCTACGGTACTATACAACCACACAACAATGTAACCAACTGCACCCTTGTATCTCTGTACCTATGTAATATGATACCTTAGATCAAATATGTATGCGTGCCAAGCTACGGTACTATACAACACACAACAATGTAACCAACTGCACCCTTGTATCTCCGTACCTATGTAATATGATACCTTAGATCAAATATGTATGCGTGCCAAGCTAAACTGTGTATATATACATGTGTACTTAAGAAGATCTAACAAGCAACCTGAAAGAAATTTGTATTTGATTATCCTCCACCCCCCCCTCCCCTCTTCCTTTCTGTACCCCACCCTACCCCAGACTTTGTTCAATAAAATAAAATACGAATTGAAAGGGGATGGTTAAATTCCATCAACAAATTCCATCACTTTCCGTGGAAATATCCATTTCAGATTACCACAAGATTTAGAATGGTGGGAAAATAGAAAAGTAAAAAGAACCATTTTCTGTCTGAGAAAAAGTTGCAAAAAATTGATAATTCAGTTATATCAGCAGACAAAAATTTACATATTAAAGAATGACATGGCACAAAAAAGTAACAAAAAAAAAATACAATAGGATTTAAGAAAGTATGCCAATATTTGCTGAAAATTACACATTGAATTGTCAGGCACACTTTGATCCATTTAAACATAGAATGTGAGGGCAGGTAAGAACCATTTGGCCCATCTAGTCTGCCCAATTTTTAAAAAATACTTTCATTAGTCCCTGGCCTTATCTTAAGTCTAGCCTTATGCCTATACCACGCATGCTTAAACGCCTTCACTGTGTTAACCTCTACCACTTCAGCGGGAAGGCTATTCTATGCATCCACTACCCTCTCAGTAAAGTAATACTTCTGGATATTATTTTTAAACCTTTGCCCCTCTAATTTAAGACTATGTCCTCTTGTTGTGGTAGTTTTTCTTTTTATATAGTCTCCTCCTTTACTGTGTTGATTCCCTTCCACTTGTTGTCACTGACAGAAAATAGCAGACCTTATAACAGCTGATAGAAAGCCATAGGACAGAGGAATACACTGCATTGTGTTTCTTAAATACAGGGTAGAAGTAAACTATGTCTCAAAAAATCTAAAACACTCACTTTAACAGAACCAATGGCCATCTAAAATATACCTGAATGTATAGGTATAATGACTTCGTATTCCCAATGACTATTAACATATTAAACCATTAATCACCATTCAGCAATATAATCCTTACTTAACCTTTTGTATTTTTATCCTTACATGATCATAGTACTGACTGCTAGAAATTAATGGTAACGAAAAAGTACAGAAAATCTGATGTAATGTTCTGTTTATGTAGAAACGTAAAGAAAAGAAAATAGGGCAATCTTATTTTTAAACATTATTTCACAGTTCTTCTGTGAATGGTTAACATTTGTAGGTGCTGTAATTACCATATGTGAATGTTTGAGTTGATTTAAATAATACATTCCTAATTGTAAGGGTGTAATCAGCTCAGCTTGTTCGCAAATAAGCAAAGCATTTTCAATTAGAGACTTCAAACTAAATTAAATTAACAAGCTTTACTGGAGAAATGTGAATACTCTTAAAAAGGATGAATTTGCGTTAAACGTAATGAACCCAAACATTAGGAAATCAATATTCTCATTTAAACACAAATTATACGTAGTTCTTGAACTTAAGGCTCCACCTTGTGGTCAAAATTGTATCTTACCCATTATGTTTTTGAACAGGCTGCAGTACCAAAATAAGTAAAATTTTCTTATAGTAGGTATAATTTAGGCATCTAGTAATTATGTAAAAATTTAAATGATTAAATCAGTTTGAAAATTATATTTTTTCTAATATTCATATGCCTACAAGGACACACTATTACAAAATAATACACAAAAAAAACAAACAAAAATAAAAAACAAGGTTATTGTATCCACAAAGTTGTAGCTGAATGTATATCCATAATTGTTGTAGAACTACAATTTTCCAATTGGAGATCTGTTATTGGCTACCTATAACTTTGACCTTGATTTAATAAGTTTTCTATATGATTCAATACTGTTGGAAAGGTTTCCAAGTGATTTATCTACAGAAGTCTCTATTAAAGTCTCTATGGAAATTTTGTAAATAAATAATTTGGACATTTGTCTAACAGTATTGAATCATTCCGGAAGCTTATTAGTAGCAATCTTTCAAAACCAAAATCATAAAAATGAAAGTCTAAATTTAAATATAAAATAAATAAAAACCTAAAGACTACATTACTATCCCTATGTGAACTTTACATTAGACCTTACATGAATTTCAATTCCTCCAGCACAGCTTTCTAAATGTTTTAAAGAGTTCACATAAACAATTTTTTTCTTTGACAATTAAGTAATTTATTAATAAAACAGTTAATGCATGTTTGGAAAGTAACTGCAAACATTTAGGTTGGGAAGAATACATTAGTTGGGGAAAATGTATAGTACTGCTATTTTGTCCAAATGTTTTAATTTCATTTTAGCCACAATTCACCCATAAAACCCCACCACATATAAGCAATTCCAATGCAATCTTCAAATAATGTCCTCGATTTAATCTTTTTGGGCAGCTCTTTTCAAATGATTTAGTATTTTTCAAAATATTAACATATTCAAAAAAATATATCACACAGAAAATATATCAATATATCAAATATTTTTTTCAAAATATAAAATCATATGAAAAAGTTTAATGCAAAAGTATTAAATAATTTGAAAAGCTTATCCAAAAATATTAAATGAAAGTCAAAGTTTTAATATAAGAAAAAAAAAAATCCTCTTAAATGATAAAAGCTTACCGGTTTCAATATTAAACATGTGGGAATATTTACTAAGCTCTGAACTGTAGTGAATTGAATTGAGCATGGCAACATTTAGGAGATTAAAAGCTGAGCTATAGCTACTGAAATTCCTGGACGCGGTCAAATGTTATATTAAGACAAAAGGAGGGTCCCGGGCCGTCTTGAACACAGGACAAAAGAGGCAGCTGCCCTAGGCCCTGTCATCCAAGGAGGCCCAAAGCAGCTGCCCCTTTAGCCTGCCGGCCATCGTGCTGCATGCGGCCCATGAGGAACTACCACCACCAGGGCCGGATCAAAAAAAAAAAAATAATAATCGCACCAGCATAGTGTGTAGATACAGAGTTAGAACAGATAACTTAAAATTAAAAATTATTACTCCAACGTAAAAAGAGCACTCATAGGCTTCAAAATAAACAAAAGTGCAGATTTATTTTAAGCAGATGTGCCTTTGCATGTAATCAATGTTTCAGTCCGACTACCTTGACATATTAAGGAAAGCTTGGTAATGGGACTGAAATGGTGAATGTATGTAGGGCACAACTGTAAAAATGTTTATTTTGAAGTCCTGTGGGTGCGCTCTTCACTTTAAATATGTTATTGTGCTGGAGTATGCACCTAGCAAAAAGACTGGGCCAATATCTGCTCATTACATATGGTACATATTAATGACATTCCTCTGTGTATTATGCATATATAAATGTACATTAATATGTGTAAATATAATAGGCATTATTCTACATCTATATATATATATATATATATATATCTAATACACACATTAATATACATGTCATATATCAGTGGCGAATCCAGAGCCTGATGTCGGGAGGGGCACTTGTAGATTATTTAAAGAAATATTCCATGCACAATAATCACTACACCTCTGTGTAGTGGTTATGGTGCCAGGACCCCCTCCCAGAGTAAGTAGTCAAACCGTTTAAGAACAGTTTGACAACTTACCTGGAGTCTGTTGGGATATGGGGCTGTAGTAGGGTATAGGAGCAGTGCTGCAATGTGTGAGGGGTGCAATGTGTGTGAAAGGTTCAGTGTGTGGGTGTAGGGGGGGACAGTGTGTGAATGTGTATGGTGTGTATGTGGGGGGGCAATGTGTGTATGGGGCTAGAGTTCACTCTCACTACCGCGACCACCAGGAGTTCACCCTCGTGAGAGCCGGAGCGTTACCGTGGTAATTGTTACCACGGCAACGCTCTGTGCTCGCGCGAGAAGGACCCAGTGGAGCTGCAGGTTGAGCTCCCGGGTCTTTCTTCCTCCCTCTCCTGCCGGCTGCCCGCACGGTGCCTGCGGAACGGGGAGAGAGATCAGCCAGCAGGGGAAAGCCTCATGGGGGGGTGGAATTGCCCCGTTGCCCCCCCCATCCACCAGTGATATATACAGCCCCTCTTTTTATCTTCAGCCCCTCTGTGTGCCTTTTTGTCTCCCCCAGTCACTCTGTATGTTTCTTTCTCCCCTTCACTGCTCCTCTGTGTCAATGTCTCCCCTCTCCTTCCCAGTCTCCCCCCTTGTGTGTCTCTCTCCTTTCTCCCTCTTTGTCTCTCTCTTCCCCTCTGTCTCTTTCTCCCCCTTTCCCTGTGTCTCTCCCTCCTCCACATCTCTCCCCCCTTTCCCAGTGTCTCTCCCTCCTCCACATCTCTCTTCCCCTCTGCCTCTTTCTCCCCCCTTTCCCTGTGTCTCTCCCTTCTTCACATCTCTGTCCCCATCTGTCTCTTTCTCCTCCCTCCTCCACATCTCTCTCCCCCTCTGTCTCTTTCTCCTCCCTCCTCCACATCTCTCTCTCCTCTGTCTCTTTCTCCTCCCACCACCATCTCTCTATTCCTCCCCCTCTGTCTCTTTCTCCTCCCTCCAACATCTCTCTATTCCTCCCCCTCTGTCTCTTTCTCCTCCCTCCACCATCTCTCTATTCCTCCCCCTGTCTCTTTCTCTTCCCTCCACCATCTCTCTATTCCTCCTCTTTCTCCCCCTCTGTCTCTTTCTCCCTCCTTCCCCTGTGTCTATTCCCCTCTCTGTTTTATTCAATCCCCCCCCATTTACCTAGTGAAGTCAGGGGCCGGCCGCATTCCAGACTGGAGCCGCCGGGCCGGGTGGCAGCTTCGCCGGTCCGGCGGCACTTCTGTCACTGATGATGCTGAGGGCTGAAGGAGGAAGAGCATGTCTATCTACCATGCTTCCTCGCGGTTCCCACAATCCCCAGCACAGTATACTGATACATCCATACATCATACTGTGCTGGAGATTGCGGCAACCGCGAGGGAGCATGGTAGATAGACATGCTCCTCCTCCTTCAGCCCTCAGCATCAGTGACAGAAGTGCCGCCGGACCGGCAAAGGTGCCACCCGCCCGGCGGCTCAAGTCTGGAACGTGGCCGGCCCCCTCTAAATGTGCCATCGGAACGGCCACCCGGTGGCACATACATGCGCAGCGCAGCCCCAGGTGCCACGGCCCACGGGGAAATTTCCCGGTATCCCGGTGGGCCAGTCCGGCCCTGACCACTGCGGGCCACCCATGATCTAAGGGCCACCCGATGGCAATTTACTTTTGGAAGCCCGGTCTGTGCTGTAGCGCTTTAAGAACGCGACCAGGCCCCCTGTGAAGATGTCACAATGCTGGGAGGAGGTCACTACCTCCCAGCATTCACTGAGCACCGCGCGGGAGGAGAAGAAGGAGCGTAGGGAGGAGGGAGTCAGAGCTCACACTCATCAGCCTGAGGCAGCCACTGGACCCCAGGGGAGTCACCCTTCTGCATCTATAAGGTAGGACACAGGAGGGTGACTACTAAATTTACATTTTGCATGTTTGTATGTGTGTGTGTCTGTATGTGTATCTGTTTTTGTGTGTCTGTATCTGTTTCTGTATTTGTGTATCTGTATGTCTTTCTGTGTGTCCGTATGTGTGTCTGTATGCCTATCTGTGTGTCTGTATGTGTATCTGTGTCTGTATGTGTATCTGTGTGTCTGTATGTGTATCTGTGTGTTTGTATGCATTTATGTTTGATAAAGACCACACTGGTCGAAACGTTGTTTTCTGGTGACAATCAACTGTCTGAAATGGAACCTTTGGAGTTCCCTTATTCTTTCTTTTGATGTATGCATATGTGTGTATGTATGCCTATTTATGTCTCTGTATCTGTTTGTATGTGTGTAACTGTGTGTATGTTTATCTGTGTGTGTGCGTGTGTATTTTTCTGTATGTGTATCTGTGTGTTTGTATGTGTATCTGTGCGTGTAAATGTTTGTCTGTATGTGTGTCAGTGTATCTAAATGTGTATCATTATGTGTGCCTGTGTATCTGTATGTGTGTTAGTGTGTGTATCTGTGCATATGTGTGTCATTGCGTGTCTGTGTATCTGCATGCATGTATGTGTATGAATCTGTATGTTATTGTGTGTATCTGCATGTTTGTCAGTGTATTTGTCTGTTTATCTGTATGTGTGCTAGTGTGTCTGTTTATCTGCATGTTTGTCAGTGAGTGTATCTGTGCATCTGGATGTGTGTAAATGTGTATCTGCATGCATGTCTGTGTATGCACTTGTGTGTATGTGTATCTGTCTTTGTATGTCTGTACCTGTGTATGTGTGTATCTCTATGTATGTCAGTGTCTGCATCTGAATGTGAGTCAGTGTGTGTGTTTTGTAAAAATGAGTGTGGCTAAGTATGTGTTTGTTTGTTTTTTTGTGTTGTTTTTTTTTTTTTTGTGTGGGGGTGGAATCCGTGATTGCATGCTAGGTCCAGGGGGCCCAAGCAAATGCCTGTCCAGGGTCCAATCAGTATTAAAGACGGCCCTGGGAGGGACAACTTTGTTTTAGCAATTTTCCTAAGCTTGACAAAAGGCAGAGATACCCTTACCATTTTTTTTGACATTTTCACTAGTGATGGCTGCAGGGTATAAGTTTCTGTTAATGGAGGATCCCACTGTCTCACAGGATCCTCTACAGACCTAGTGTTGCACTCTTGCATATGTGTGAGAGTACAATAATGATGTGAGCTTCTGGCAGCAGCCATGAGCCACAGGTTAATGAAAGTAAAACTTATTTATGCAAAGACCCCAGGCAGTAACAGAGTCGCTTAAAGGACCACTATAGTGCCTTGAGGGTTTCCCCACCCTCAGGGTCCCCCTCCCGCCGGGCTCTAGGGGGAGGAAGGGGTTAAACTTACCTCTTTCTCCAGCGCCGGGCGGGGAGCTCTCCTCCTCCTCTCCTCCGCTTCGGCTGAATGCGCATGTGCGGCAAGAGCTGCGCGCGCATTCAGTCAGTCCATAGGAAAGCTTGCACAATGCTTTCCTATGGACGCAAGCATCTTCTCACTGTGAAAAGCACAGTGAGAAGCGCGGAAGCCCTCTAGCGGCTGTCAATGAGACAGCCACTAGAGGCTGGATTAACCCATAGGTAAACATAGCAGTTTCTCTGAAACTGCTATGTTTACAGAAAAAAGGGTTAATCCTATCTGGACCTGGCACCCAGACCACTTCATTAAGCTGAAGTGGTCTGGGTGCCTATAGTGGTCCTTTAAAAGGCTGCTAAATGCTTACACAATATTAAAGCAAAAACAACTTTAAACAATAGTAGAGAACAATTTTGCAATACATAAAATGTATTTATTTTCCAACATATATGTAGTTGTATACATAATTTTTGTAACCTATGTGCTGATCCAGTTCACATTCCCGAATTCAACACAGTTGTTTTACATTAAAATATATATATATAGCCTAAATAATCGAGCAGGCAGAGTTAAAAAATTAATTTAAAAACAAAAATGCAATTTCTAAAATAATAATTATAATTAATATAAAAACTGATTAAAAATATCTTGGCTGCTCCCTGTTTAACTTTGCTGCACTACATAATGCAACAAAAAACATGTTATGTTAGAGGCCTAAAATAAATGAAAACAGAACAAGAAATTAAGTGCAATTCTAAACACTGTGGGGATATCTAATTTCTAAATTTATCATTTTCAGTTTACAGGTGTTTACATGCACATGGAGATTTTTTTTCTTCTTCAGATCAACTGTAGATATCCTGTTGGGCGCTAAGCCTTCTGTAATGCCGTGTAAGTGTGATCTGGTTTCAGCAGAGCAGCAAGAGTCAATCCTGTCATTCATTTATTGTCTGAGAGCGTCAGCTGAGTCCTCTCAAACAATGTCAAAACATGTTATTGGATTGCCAATGAATGTTGGGGATAGATTAATGAAACACTGCACATACAGAGTTCTTGCACCATGACTTCAACTTTAAAACTCTAAAGTGGCCATGGTGCTTAGAATAACCCTTAAAAAAAAAGTAATGGTCAATTATTTAGTGCATACTTATGTATACACATTTGCCATGGCATGACATCATATAACATTTTAACTGCACATTCACTATTCCATTTTGAAATATGGTCTAGAACAAGCATGTTAAACTCGCGGCCCACAATGGACCTCCTTGTGGCCTGGCGAGCTGTGAGTACATGCCTAGTGTAAAAGCCAAATAGACAGACCCACATTGCAGGTGCCTACTCTGCTATCATTTACCCGGCCAGAGGAGAGGAAGCAGGACACGGGCGGCAGCAAGGAAGCTCAGTGTTCCTGCTCATCACTGCTCCCTCGCACCGGCTGTAGTGATGCCGGGCGTCGGAATATGACGTCATATTCTGGCATCTGGCATCACTAAACTGCGCGTGAGGGAGCAGTGAGGAGCAGGAACACTAAGCTCCAGATAGAAGATCCCACTGAGTAGTGTGTGTGTCTGTCTGTCAGTGAGTGTGTGTGTCTGTCAGCGAGTGTGTGCGTATGTCAGCGAGTGTGTCAGTGTCTGTCTGTGTGTTTGTGTGTCAGTGTTTTGATGGCTGCGGCTTGACAGTGGAGTACCTGGAGGTGCATGGAGGCACGCCATGTCACATTCCGACATGAAGTTGACGTGTTCCATCTTCACAGGGTTTCAAGAAGTAGCAGGAGGATCCGCTTTGGCACAGGGTGCGGACGGTGTCTTTTGGAGAATACCAGAGGCCGGACTCCGGAGTCGCATACTAGCAGCGGTAATGTAAGTGGAGTCTGCTTGTTGGCTAGAGGGGGTTGCTGGGATTTAGTAGAGGGGTGGGGGAAGGACTGGGATTTAGTATAGGGGGAGGACTGGGATTTAGTAGAGCGGGGTGCGGTATAAAAATAAACCTACATTTCTATGAAAATTTAAGTAGTTTTTTTTTTTTTTTGGCCCACATAAACTTAAGCTTTTTATGTGGCCTGTGCTAGACTTTAAGTTTGACATGCTTGGTCTAGAAGTACTGCATCAAAATAAAATAAAATTTAGTTAGCACTAAACAAAAATTGGATTTTTAGTTAAAAATCAAATGTCAGTAGCAATGAAATAACTAAATAAAAAGTAATCATTTTATGTAGCAGTTCAACCAAGAGCAGTCAACTTTGGCATAGCATACCGGTAATGTCTCAAACCAAAACCAGAGAATGCTGCCACGATTAATATTACACACTGAATTAAGTGACAAATACAATAATGCTGTAGTCATAAAGCCTCATTTTGGAACCTTGTAGAAATTAGGCTTTACATAATGTATATTTTGAACAGAACACTGGAGCTAATCACTGCACAGACCCTATCCTTCCGTTTCTGCTATTGTCATTTCCCAGGAGCAGGAAACATTCACAGCATCTTCAGAAATGTGTTAAGAAGATCATAGTACTTAGTGTCACCTCATCTGCGTTGATACGTCTCTGCCTAAACAATAAATGGCATTCTGCAGGCTTGGTGAACTTCCCTGCTAAGAGGCAGACTAAAAATCCAGAGATTGCAGATTGATTTATTATTTATCCTACAAATTGTGCAAATGGCAACAGTAAGGGATTATTTGTAAACAATACACACAATCACAAAACCACTATAACTTGTAGCAATACAGTTGCTGCTTTTTTCTTTCTTTTACAAATTCCAATTAACCCTCAAAACATGATGGATATAAGACACATATATACTTTTATTGTCGCATGCAGTTTGCCCTCTGAATCATTAACTTAGTAATGAGTTTTAGAATGGATATCTAAAAAAGAACATTTTTCTACAATGCAAAAATTAGAAATACTTTGAATAAATTAGAAAAGTAAATCACTGGTGATGAGCACTCAAACTGCCCCATTTTCAGCCAAATGGACAAATCAACACAAAACACAAGATTTTCACACTGAGCAGTACTGGTCTTCTTCCCGTCTTTATTTTTACTACAGAATTACCACCCAAACAGAAATCTTGAAACTGCTATGTTTATATAAAAAAAAAATAAAAAAAATAAAAAAAAAGGGTTAACCCTAGCTGGGCCAGGCACCCAGACCACTTCATTAAGCTGAAGTGGTCTGGGTGCCTATAGTGGTCCTTTAAAGGTGGTAACTGGGGTGGCAGAAAATAGCAATAGATTTAATTTTAATGAAAAAAGTGAAATGGCATTATTCTATTACATATTTTTTTTAACAAATCCCTCAAATTACATCATATATTATAAACTACACTTTTCTCACGGTCTCTGGTTTATTGGTGTGGAAAAGACCCCCCTCCCCCAGGGCATCATACTGATGAAATAAGTTTTGGGTTTTTTCGGGTGACTTTTAAAGAAGCATTTAAAGTACTCCCCAGGATATGGATGTCCCCAAGCATATGTTTGTTTCCTTTATGTACATGTTTTGCTTTGCAGCGTTCACAACAGCAAAGTCTCAATCCCCAGAAGTACTGTAATTGATTAACTAAACATCTTGAAGTAAAGACATTTCTCTGGTTTACATCACTAAGGCTCCTGACAGGTTTTCCCAATTGAAGTTGTCCTTTTCTATCAGACAAGCAAGTATTATGGACTATATAAAACTCATTTTTGAATAGAATTATAGGCTATTGAACATGTAGGTTCTTTAAAAGCAAACTACAGTAATAATCACAGCTGATGAAATAAAGAGAAATTATTGGGAGTGCATAAGTAATAATTATTCCCAAAAACTGTAAATATGACCAGGTATATTCACTAAACAGTGTACAGTAATTCATTGAAAACGAAATAACCATTTTCAGCCAATATAGCAGATTTGGAAAAATAAAAGTCCATTAGTCATTACAGGTGTATTAATATAAAATGTTCTTTTTCGGTTTACATAGAAACTGGATTATAACCTTATTTAAGAATTTCAAATTGAATAGAATACTAAGTAATGTTTTTGACTTACACTCATAATAGCAATTCCTTTAGATACTGAAGAAGAACAAGCATCGAAACCTTGCATTGTATGGGCTAACACCAATAAAGTAAAACACAGTTTCAACATAGTGGAGATTACAGCAGTAACCATACATATTTGATCTTAAACATCATGACTACTCGACATGTTCTGCAGGTGTCCTATGGTTCAGACTCTATATAAAGACTGAGTTACATCAGAAGAGAGTTTTAATAAGCAACTACATGAATGCTTTGCTTATATCACATCTATCCGGCACATTGTACTTGTTTATTGTGATCAGTACATTTATTGTACATACAGCCTTTAGTTTTTTGGGGTTTTTTAAGCTCAGTACTTTCCCAAGCAGCATAAATTTAATTTGTATTCCCATTCATATACTAAAGACTCATATTTTTCTCCTTCAGGCACCATGTGTTTATTCTTTCACATACCACCATTTTCAGTGTCCCTCGTTGGACAATACATCTCATTCAACTATCCTCATAAGGACTGACTGATTTTCATGCTAAATAAAACATTTGACACTGGATTTCTTGCAAGATTTTACTAATAGTAGTATTATGATTTCCAAACTTTCTTAGGCAAATAGGTTTATTTGTTTGTTTTTGCTAGAATATATATTTAAAAATTAAATAAAATAGAATAAATAAATAGATACATTATACTAATAGATATGAAACTCTGTTAGAAATAACTAATGATTTCTCTAACCTAATGGAAGTTAACTTTATGCACCTCTAAAAATACACTGGTAAAAAATTAAAACAATGGAAAGGTAGAGAGTTCTTCAGGTGGGGGCAAAATAACGTTATTAATTCTTATATTTACCCAAATGAATTTATCTTTTCCGCATGATTCCTGTTTATTGCCCAGATAGCTGGTTAAAATTAGCCCAGTCTTTATTTTATAAATTCATCTGGCTAGGTAAGCATCCTCGTATTAACGCTAAACATCTGGCCCTGAAAAGTAATCAGGGAGGATTAGGGGCACGTCAGCTTAATACCATATGGTAAGCCTGTAGCCTATCCCATGCCATTATCACCTAATTAGACTGAGTAAAAAATTAAGCTTGGTATAGGATCGAGATGTTTTTGTCTAGATCCAGAAGGCTACATTCGCTGGAGGCCAGCTTCTGGCTGACGGATCAAAAGGTAAAAAAATACCTAGAAAGGGGGTCTCCAGATAGCATAATAATTGAAAATCTTTTTAAGATCTGGGATAAATTTAAAGTCGATTGGCATCTTAAGAATAAAATTATTGCTGAACTGCCTCTTACCTATCTAGCGCACAATATAGAAGACCTAATTATAAAGAATTGGATTTCTTTTGGGCATTAAAAATTGATAATTTATTGAAGTACAATAAAATCCAAGATTTCACATCCTTAGTTAAAATTTATCAACTCCAGAAGTGTGAAATATTTAACTACCTTAGAATTAAGAGTTATCTTGAGGACTACCTGAGTACAGAGAAGTCATCAAAGATGCTACTTTTAGAGAAAATCCTTGAAAAATCATGATTGAAGGGTATAGTGGCTGACTCCATAAAGCTGTTAACCAGTAAAGTAGACCCATATCTTTGATCAGTGATAAAAAAAAATGGGAACATGATCTAAACATTAGAATTGAAACAAGGGATTGGACTGAATCCTTAAGATGGGTTAATAAGAAAGTTCATTGTTGAAATCTAACAGAAACTCACTTTAAACTTTTAAACAGGTGGTACTTGGTTCCCAGCAGATTGTCAAAGATTTATCCCAATTACCCAGACATAAGTTGGAGATGCCAAGCTCGAAAAGGTTCATTTATCCATATCCGGTGGGAGTGTCAACCGCTCCAAATAATCTGGAATATGATTTATATATAAATTCAAAAACTATTCAAAAACTCTTTCAATTTGATTCCAAGTTGTTTCTACTTCATATCAACGTATATAAAATCTCTGGCTTAGACTCGTTTATTATTATCCATCTTCTGACTGCCGCTAAACTACTGGTAGCCAGAAATTGGAAGACCGTTATAGCCCCGTGCTGGCTAACAGTTAGGTAGCAGAAAGATCAAAATGGAGATGGGTACAGGCAGACTGAATCAAGAGGAACTTGAGCAGTGGATTAAACGAATAGTTATGATATAATGGTTGTTACCATTTGCATAAAATAAATTTAGCCATCTGACATCTAACTCCTTTTATCTTCTATCAGCATATTAAACCAGGCCTCTTCTATCGCCCCTTGATCCATACCACAGGGACACATTTGAAGTTGTGCTTTATTTTTATTTATTTTCGCATATGTGTAAGAGATGACCTACACAGGCACATTATGTAATGTATGTTATTAAAATAATAAAAGATTATACATAAAAAATAAAAATAAAAAAAATAAAAAGATATGAAACTCTGGGGCAATTTGTACAGGGGATTTCAGCATTTTCATGGGGATATTTCTTCACTAATCTCTGCATCTAAAAACACACATTTGCGGAGAGATATTTTATTTAGACTGGAGAAACTCATACTTAAGAGCAGCATTGCTATCAGTAGTTAATACTGTTTTAACATATTTTCTTTTAAGTCTGTCCATTTTGTAGATTTATTTTTACATTCAAATTTGCCATCTGCAATTGTCTATTCTGTAGAACAAAGCCTTTTAAGCAGACATTAAAATTGGGATTGATTGAGGATCGTGACGACGAAATGCCTAGAAGCACTTGATATGTATCATGAAATTATCCCAATTTGATTCTGGCAGATTGCTGGCTCACTTGAAACCAAAGGTTATTTTCTGAAATTAATATCTGCATAAGACATTCACATTCATTATTTAGATACAAGTCAATTTACATGTAAGGAAGCTTGATTTCAAGAACACTTGTGTGGAAAACGGAATATGATGTAAACTGACAGCTATATAAAAGGAAAATTACTTAAAGCTGTGTTTAACCTAAATATGATTAGCCAAAACATTGATTTAGATCACTGTCTCCAATTATCACATTATCTGGTTCTCACCAGTTTCCAAAGGATTTACACCAACTATTTAGTTAGCAAGAAAAAAAAAAGTTACTTTGCTAGGAAGGTTACTGTGATGTGGAAAGTAAATGATAGGTTTTATGGATAATGTCATAGGGCAACTGACATAGCTAAAATACAGTTCTCATGGAATGCAGAACAAATTAACATTTTAGGATTATAGTGCTCTCCAACTGTGTAATGGGATTATGTAAAGGTGTCACAGAAAATAAATTAATTTACCACCCCGGGGTAATCCCATAAACCACTCTGAATCATGTACTCTAACATTATAGGCTTGGGAAGCTATTGTGCCATTAGCTATTGGATATGTTATACAAGGATGTATACACTAAATAGTGAGTCATGTTGATTTGAAAATGTAGACATATTAGAAAATATTAAAGGAACACTATAGTCACCTAAATTACTTTAGCTAAATAAAGCAGTTTTAGTGTATAGATCATTCCCCCTGCAATTTCACTGCTCAATTCACTGTCATTTAGGAGTTAAATCACTTTGTTTCTGTTTATGCAGCCCTAGCCACACCTCCCCTGGCTATGATTGACAGAGCCTGCATGAAAAAAAAAACTGATGTAATTTAACTTAAATAATTGTATCTCAATCTCTAAATTGAACTTTAATCACATACAGGAGGCTCTTGCAGGGTCTAGCAAGCTATTAGCATAGCAGGGGATAAGAAAATCTTAATTAAACAGAACTTGCAATAAAGAAAGCCTAAATAGGGCTCTTTTTACAGGAAGTGTTTATGGAAGGCTGTGCAAGTCACATGCAGGGAGGTGTGACTAGGGTTCATAAACAAAGGGATTTAACTCTTAAATGGCAGAGGATTGAGCAGTGAGGCTGCAGGGGCATGTTCTATACACCAAAACTGCTTCATTAACCCCTTAAGGACAGAGCCAAATGTACACAGTGTGAACGAAACAAAATGTAAACAAAACCTGGCATTTGCGCTACATGTCTGTCCAACCGTAATACACCTCTTTCATAGTAAATGCACCCACCCTTATTATATATCATTTTATTCAGGGGAAACAGGGCTTTCATTTAATATCAAATATTTAGCTATGAAACATAATTTAATATGAAAAAAATGGGAGAAAATAAGATTTTTTTGATTTTTTTAGTTCTACATGACATTTTAACGGTCAGTGTCATAATACTGTTTGCTTTTACTGCAATAAAATACACATATTTGTATTCAGCAAAGTCTCACGTGTAAGACAGTACCCCCTATGTACAGGTTTTATGGCGTTTTGGGAAGTTACAGGGTCAAATATAGCACGTTACATTTGAAATTGAAATTCGCCAGATTGGTTACGTTGCCTTTGAGACTGTATAGTAGTCCAGGAATGAAATTTACACCCATAATGGCATACCATTTGCAATAGTAGACAACCCAAGGTATTGCAAATGGGGTATGTCCAGTCTTTTTTAGTAGCCATTTGGTCACAAACACTGGCCAAAGTTAGCGTTAGTATTTGTTTGTGTGTGAAAAATGCAAAAAAATGCCAATTTTGGCCAGTGTTTGTGACTAAGTGGCTACTAAAAAAGACTGGACATACCCTGTTTGCAATACCTTGGGTTGTCTACTATTGCAAATGGTATGCCATCATAGGGATAATTTTCATTCTTGGGCTACCATAGGGTCTCAAAGGCAACGTAACCAATCTGGCGAATTTTAATGTGAAAAAAATGAAACACAAGCCTTATATTTGACGCTGTAACTTTTGAAAACACCATAAAACCTGTACATGAGGGGTACTGTTGTACTCGGGAGACTTCGCTGAACACAAATATTTGTGTTTCAAAACAGTAAAAAGTATTGCAGCAATAATATCATCCGTGTAAGTGCTGTTTGTGCGTGAAAAATGCAAAAAAACTTCACTTTTACTGGCGATATCATTGTTGTAATACATTTTACTGTTTTGAAACACTAATATTTGTGTTCAGCGAAGTCTCCCGAGTAAAACAGTACCCCCAATTTACAGGTTTTATGGTGTCTTGGAAAGTTATAGGGTTAAATATAGTGCTAGCAAATTAAATTCCCTATACTTTCGGCATGGGTTGTCAGGCAGGTCCCGCTAATTGTAATTAATTAGGATACCTAATTATGTAAAAATATTACATAAATATATGTGTAGAATTAATATATGTATATATATACATATGTGTATATATACATATATATATATATATAATTTTTTAAATATTTTTATTTATATATAGGTGTATATATTTAGTGATATATATGTATATATTTATGTATATAGATATATATATTATTTCGTTCTACGTGTATTTTGATATAAATATATATATATTAATATCACAATACAGTTAGAACGAAATAACAAACATCTATATATTTTTTTATTATTTATTTTTAATTATTTTTTAAATTTTATTTTTTTTACGTATTTACATTTTTTATATTATATATAAATATATATATATATACAATAATTATATATATATATATTTAATCAGTATTAGTCTACGTGTAATTTGATAGTAATATATATAAATAATTATATATATTAATATTTAAATACACTTCGTGTATGTGTAAATGTGTGTGTGTGTGTATATATATATATATATATATATATATACTTAGATCATATATATATATAATATATATGATCTAAGTATATTTTATATTTAACTGTAATTTTTTTTAACTAATATTTTATTTTTATTACAGGACAGGGGGCAGAGACAGTGTCAGCCAGTGATTTTACATCACTGGCTGACACACAGGATCAGTGATCACAGTGACTGCCTGTCACTGTGATCACCTCCTGCAGATTGGGTAATTGGCCACAGGGGGGAGTGCCTGGGTGGTACAAGCACTCCCCCCTTCCAATCTGCAGGGGGATCTTTGTGCCAGTTACATGTGTCAGCCAATAGGCTGACACATGTAACACTGATCGCAGTGACAGGCTGTCACTGCGATCAAGCGCTCTGAGATCGCAGTGACAGCCTGTCACTGCGATCTCAGAGTTAGCAGATCGCGGTCACTGACCCCAGGGGGACTGCCTGGGGGGCCAGGTAAGTCCCCCGACCGCGATCTGCATTGCAGAAAGCCGCCGGCCACGTGTGTCAGCCGATTTGAAATCGGCTGACACACGTTAAATACTGATCGCAGTGACAGCCTGTCACTGCGATCAGTGACTGCAGATCGCGGTCCCCGGCCACAGGGGGGGTTGCCTGGGGGGCCGGGCATCCCCCCCGACCGCGATCTGCAGCGGGCGAATAGCGCCAGCCACGTGGGCGGCCATTAAAGTGAGGGCGTACTATTACGCCCGCCGGCGTTTAGAGCCGGCTCCTGCAGGGCGTAATAGTACGCCCTCCGTCCTTAAGGGGCTAAGCTAAAGTTGTTCAGGTGACTATAGTGTCCCTTTAATTAGGAAAATGCTTTTCAGATTCAGCAAAGTTACATTTTATCCTACTCAGCTATTTTAACCTTAATTTTCCATCTCAGTTCTCACTTCACCACAGCTCTCTGTTTAGTGAATAAACATTATACTGTATAATAAACTAAAATTATAAAACTGTCAGAACATATCATTACCTAACAAGATGCTAACCACTGCACACGTGACCAAATTCATGTGGCAAACCGTAACTATACTTTACAACAGTCTTGTGTGATCAAAGCCAAATCCTTTCAGTTTTGTACCTTTTTATCTAAAACAGACAACATTTAACCACATAGTAGTATGCAGGCTGCCCTGCTAAATACCAAGTGATTTATAGACTGGAAGACAAACACAAGTTTTCTTTACTTTGCTGAAGTTTCCTGATATTCACATATTTAACATTGCTAGGAATTATGTTTTCCAAACCATAACAATGACTGAATTACAGTGACAATTCTAAGCCAGATCTTCAAACACAAATAAGGACACTGAGGGAGTGGTCCATGATCATCAATACATGGGACCAAAAGCAGAAAATAAATTTGTGGATTCCACACAATATATACACTCCCTGCTTTTTTTCTTCTCATTCTGAAAACAACCCCATCTGCCCCAGATTAAATAAGGCAGTTCTAAGTTGGGGGCTCAGCATTCAGAGTTTGTTCCCTGTTTTTTCAGCAAAGTGAGAGCATCTTTAGACACCGATGTACTGCATGAAACAAATTAAAAGCCCATAAAGGAGCGTTCAATAATGTTTTGTGTAAGGGCAAAGTTGATTGGGATAAAAAGGTTTCCTCCGCTATTTCACAACTGATGCTAAGTGTTTTCTACCAGTGCATACTCCCTCCACCCCTGTCAGCAACTTGTTCTGCTTTCATGTCTCTTAATTTTAATATGTATTTGATAAGCCTGCGGACAGCTGTACACAGTAGTATATAAGCATATCCTAAAGCAGGGGTAGGCAACCTACGGCACTAGTGCCATGCACGGCACTCAAGGTGTCTTTGCATGGCACTCAAGGCTGCTAGAGCCAAACAGGCTCTGGCCTATCAGGAGTACCAGTAAAACTTCAAATATCTGCTAATACGAAAAGATAGTGAATCCTCAATTTAAGCATTACAGCACATAGAGGAAATGATCTCAGATCACTTACTCCAAGCACTTGTGAATGGAAATCCACAATGTAGTAGAGCAGCCTGCAGCTGCTGTTGCAGCTCCTGTCTTTGGCCTGTACCAGGCCAGCCTGGTCCCCACTGGAACCCAGGGAAGCCAACCATACTGCTAGATAAACACAGATATTGTGGATCAAACCAAGTGTTTATCTGAGTATCTGCTCCTTTCCAAATTGTTAAAATAAATGCGTGCATGCTCTGAAGTAAATTACACTGAGACACAGATATCAGGTTAATGAAAAACTTTGGAATGTTTACTCATGGGGCGGCAAGCCCCTTATAAAGGCAAAAATGCATCATATGCAAAAAATGGAGATAACAGAGAGAATACATCTTTAATTGGTTAGGTGTTAAGTGTCTTATCTAATGCACATCTTACGAGGCGTGATATCATGGTGGGAGGGGGTGCTTTAGCAGCCATTTTGAGTAGATATTGAATACAGGTATACACAGTAAATAGACATTTTACTATCACTAATTTACATTCATAACATAGAAATGAAAAATAACCATCCCCTTATACAAATAATACGAACAGCCCATACACAAACATACATACAATCTGCACAAACGTAACCCGCTAACAATCCACATACATGCACACAACCCCACATGCAGACTCTCACATGCAATACCCCAAACACCAAACACACAATGTGACATATCCATCCACACACAATTCCACAAGCAGCCCTCATACACAGCCCACATTCATATGTATCATACACAATACCATAAAATACTAATGAACATATACAATATAATAGCTTATATACGCACAAATACAATGATGCAAAGCAACTCCAGTAAAAATAACACAAGCAGAATACGGCAGCATACATACTTCAATTTAAAAAAATAGGACCGGCACGCTACGGGACACAATCCTATATCGGCACAGTGCTGCTAAAAGGTTGCCTACCCCTGTCCTAAAGCAAGGGCGCCCAGGAGGAAGATCCCCAAATGTTTAAAAACTACAACTTCCATGATGTTTTGTCATTCTAAAGGCAGGCATCAAGAGGGGTTGTAGTTTTACAACTTCTGGGGAGATTTACCTATTGGTCACCCCTGTTCAATAGTAACATGTAACACAGCTGACATGGATCTCAATGTAATAGCAATACACTAAATTAAACAAATTATTTTACACTGATATTGTGCCCCTAAACATTTATTTCACTAACATAAAGCATAAGCTCTTTATTCTTATTATATGCAAGACATTGAAACCTGGCTCACTCTGCCAATTATCAGGAGGATCGAGGAGTGGCTGGTTCATGATAAAGGATGACCAGGTGTGTGACCCTCTCCCGCCCCCGCCCCATGTTCATTGACAGATTATGAGAAACTACCCTAAAAGGGAAATGGTATATAAGAAAAACCTAAGTGGCTCATGTAAACAGTTCAACTCACAATAGCACCCTTATGGCCATAAGGAGTATGATGTCTTTTAGACTATTTAGTATATGTGATTTGTTTAGATTTTTGTTAATCAGCCTGCAGAGTAGATTTAGAAGAGCTACATTTAAAGGAACACTATAGGGTCAGTAACACACACATATATTCCTGACCCTATAGTGTTAAAATCACCATCTAGCCCCCCCCTGGTTCCCCATGCGTCCCTAAACATAGTAAAATCTTACTTTTATTCAGGTCTGCAGATGCGGCCTCTGCCCCTGTCTGCCTCTGACCTGCCTGCTCTCTGACATCAAAAGTGGTGGTCTGAGCCAATCACAATGCTTTCCTATAGGATTGGGGGAGACTGTCAAAGAGGCAGATTAGGGGCAGAGCCAGCACAAGTCAAACACAGCTCTGGCAAATCAGCATCTCCTCATAGAGATGAATTGAATCATGCATTTCTCTGAAGAAATTTCAGTGTCTGCATGCAGAGGGAGCAGACACTAAATGTCAGTGCTGTATACTGTGCAGCACTGCCACAGGAAGCACCTCTAGTAGCCATCTGAGGAGTGGCCAGTGGAGTTTTCACTAGGCTGTAAACACTGCATTTTGTCTGAAAATACATTGTTTACTGCAAAAAGCCTGAAGGGAATGATTATACTCACTAGAACAAATACAATAAGCTGTAGTTGATCTGGTGACTATAGTGTCCCTTTAAGTTGGCCCTTGTAAAAGCAAATTCATATTATTGAGCTTTATTTTGTGTGCTTGTGTCCTGTGTGATCAAGTGTACTTGCTCTTATTAATTTGTTACTTAAACTGTATTGCAAGTTCTCAGGAATATTATAATACATTATAATATATTGAGGTGGAAGTTATTGCACTTTAAATGAAGTTTCAAAAATGTTTTATTTTAGAGCTATTTTTTCTTAAAACATCAATTGCAAACTAAATATTTAATACAGTTGAACTTTTTAGAGAGCATTTTTTCTGCAAATGTTAAACATTAGTTCTTGTTATAGTTCAAAATAATATATGTTTCATAACTTTCAATAGAACATTTATCTGAAAGGGACACTAAGCACCAACTTACCTTATACCCTTAAGGTCTGTGCTGAAAAACAGTGCAGGCCTTTAACTGGCATGGCTTTAAAGGTACCAGTACAGCTAGACCACAGCTCGCACCAAGGAGCCCCAAGTATCATTCCATGCCTGAGGCTCCTTTTGTCAGCGAGGGCAATAATTAGTGGTTCCAGACTGACAGATAAACTATATACAGCGCTCAAAAGGGAAAAAATAATAATTGCAGCACTTCCAAGTTTTGCTTACAGTATGTTACAAATAAATTAATTATTTTAATTGATTATTACATTGCCTTTCTGTTTTCATAGTGGTATTAAAGAAAATATCAGTTGTATTTGCTATGCATGGGTCTACCAACAGACAGAACTATCTTCCTCCTTTTCTTAGGAATTTTAGATCTAATTCTTAACTGGTTTATTATATATAGGGTGAGGTAGAGGCAAAAAAATGCCTACAGAATTCAAAGTATAAACAAAGAAAATTAGACCCGTGCTGCAGAAACTCCACACTGAAGTCCCAAAGGTGTATATACAACAGCCAAAAAACAAACAAGAGCCCTGCGCATCCAGTATAGGTATGCACACCCAGGTGCTACCCCAATTTATAAGATGACGTCATCATGCATATTTTGGCCGATCCCGGAAGTGACTGGAATCATCAAACATGCCAGAGTGATGGAAATGTACTGCACATCTGATCCTGCTTCTAGATCTGATTACCTGGGGGTGGCACTTTTGGGTTATGTAAGCACTATTTTTTGTATGTATTGTTGTTATCTTGCATTTACTGTAGGACATTAGCATTGAGAAAGGGCTGCTGCCCGAAACGTTTGCTGCTTAAACTTTGTCCTCAAATAAATTGTGGTAGCACCTGGGTGTGCACACATATACTGGGTGCGCAGGGCTCTTGTTTGTTTTTTGGTTGTTGTCTTAACTGGTTTAGCAGTATTTGGTGTTAAATTTCTGGAACCTTCCAAACTGTCCAGTTGTTCAATTGCTCCAACAAACTGATTAAATTGTGCATTCATTTTCTTTGTGCTTATTGTGAAGTTTGTTTTCATCATCAACCTAGTGAGACAGGATTGCTGTTTAGAGCTCCAGCAGCAGAACCTGTATCTCAAGGTTATTCATGGCAAGGCTCAACCAGTTTTTCTCCTTTCCAAGATCAATATGAGTTGCAGCAATATTAACATTCGTTTTCAGGGCCCTGATTTGTTTAAATCCAAGAGCATAAATTAAAGACAGCGAACCTGACTATGATCTAAGCACTTCATAAACATGCCATTATCAATACATTTAGCGGAGTTCGCATATATAATATTAATTCCAGGTCTAAGACTCGTAAATGCAGTCTCACAACATTAAAAAGATAACTGCCTTTTGACATACAGAAAATTAAAAGAGACATGAGATGAAGAAGGCCCTGCTCAAACCAGCCTGCATAAAGGCTTTTGGAGAACTGTAAGCTCAGCCAAGTATACAAAAGCTATAAATATAAAATGTTACAAACTTCTAGAACAGAAAATACATTACACAATTGCAGGTCTTGTTAAACTATACATTGTGTACAACGTGTTGATGGGCTCCATAGGGCAACGTGCTATAAACCAAGGTCTAAAATGTATAATTTAAAGTATGTATGCTACAACCAGGTAGCGACAGAATTGCAATCAAGTAATGCATATGATACCTGCAATAAAGTAGGAGGCTGTTTTGTGGGTATAGTAAAGCAGAGGAGGAAGGGGAAGCTGGTAAAATTAAGGTACAGTGATTGATAAGGTACACAGGAGCACTATGTCTTTTTTTATTTACAAGAAACCTAAAGGAACACTATAAAGGAAAAGAAGACTACTGCCATAGAAATAAATAAGGTTAAAAATTAACTTTTAATAATATAGTTAAAATAAAATTGAGAAACAAATTAATTTGATAAAACTCTCAATATGCCAAAAGGGAATATAGAGAGATACACAACAAATAAATGATTATAATATCCAGATTGTTATAAATTAGTCACTTGACACATAATCAGCAGATAGATAGTATCTAAAATTGTTGCAATATTTGTACTATCTGTAAGAGGTAGACAGGAACAAAGATTAATTAAATTCCCAATGTAAACTTATAAAAAGTATTCCAAAAATCTAACTGTGCCTTCATGGGCACCTACCTCAAGAAAACCCCACTAAATTAGCTAACTATCCAAAAAGATGAATAAAGAAGTGAATCTACTAAACGTCTTAATAAGCATATACTGTGCACAGTTCCTTCGTGTTCTAATCAAAAAGATCACTTGTTATTACTTGATTACTAAAAGTAAAATAAACAAAAAGCAGTTGCTTATATATAGATCATGATAATTACTGTCTATGCAGGCAAAAAACATCTAACTGTGCCTTCATGGGCACATGCTGCTACTGAAAACACTAAGCTAGCTATTAGTCGGTAGATAAGCCCTGATAAGCGTACCCAAACCCCAAAAAACTTTAGTCAAAATAATTTTTATACTAAGCGGTTCCAATTAACCCCACTTCGAATATATAAAGATCAATGGTAGATTCAGATTAAGGTGGTTTGAAAAGAGGGAGCAATCTCCCAAAACCCCCGACGCGCGTTTCGCCGGTAAGGCGCTTGAAAATCACAGTGAGAGCACGCAAGCGTCCATAGGAAAACATTGATAATGCTTTCCTATGTGACCGGCTAAATGTGCGCGCAGCTCTTGCTGTGCATGTGCATTCAGCCAACGGGGAGGAGAAGAGGAGGATCGGAGGAGGAGAGCTCCCCGCCCAGCGCTGGAAAAAGGAACGTTTTACCCATTTTCCTCTTTCCAGAGCCGGGCGGGAGGGGGTCCCTGAGGGTGGGGGCACCCTTAGGGCACTATAGTGCCAGGAAAACGAGTATGTTTTCCTGGCACTATAGTGGTCCTTTAAGCATTTGTGGGATAGGCTATCCTAGATAAAGGATAAGGCCAGGGACTAAGTATTTAGAAAATTGGCCTAACTAGGTGGGCCGAATGGTTATCTGCCGTCACATTCTATGTTTGAATGCATTTTTTTCCTCCCTTAGCGTTTCTTTTATGGTTCAAATGCTCTCCCCTTTCTTTTTAATTTCCATAACAGCGGGTTTGTGCCACATGCATATTCATCTATACTGAAAATTGACTGACAGGTGGGGGGGGAGGGGAGGGAGAGAAATATCTTTATTATAAAATATATATGTTTGATGATACAATATAAAGATGAAATATTATGCAATGCCATTTAATATAACCTAATGTTTATCATAAAAAGCACACTTTAATGCTGCCTCACCACTTCATCAGAATCTTCATGCTACTTATTCATCCAATTGCTAAAATGACAATTAACACAAACTTCTTTTGTTTTGCTATAATTAGATTATTCTACTATATATTAAGTTCATACAATCAATTAAGCCTGTAAGATTTAAAAAAAAGAACGCACCAAAAAAAACCACTACAAAATACACACACACACAAATAAAAAAAATATCAGATAGGCACTCAAATGAGAAAAGAAACATAATGCAAATAAAATAAATAAATAAAAAATCGTTAAGGGCTTGGTTTTAGCATGTCTTTGGCTCTAAGCATTGGAGAATAATAGGCTAAAGTCATATTAAGTGATGTTTCCAAAACCACAACCGTTGACTGTATATTAAACACTGATGAACAGCAATTCCTCAATTTCCAGGAAAATATTAGCATGAACGTTAAACAAATTCTTTCTACAATGTCTGTTGTGCAACAAAGCATAACTATTCTGTGCTGAAACGTTAACCACATTTTAGGACCCTCCCTAGATATATCCATGAGTTTATCTTTGCCCAGATGTAAATCCCTTAAATTCCAATGTAGAGCTGTAAAGGTGTTCAAAATCATCAACCTGAGTCTTTTTTGAGGCAACCTTCTAATGGCTTGGCTTTCCAATCCCGTTTCTGATGGTCACTTGTGTCTTGAAGTATAGGCCTACAGCACAAATACTCCCAATCAGGATTCAAATACAATTAATTTATCTCAAATGGAATGATGCAGAGATGTCTCCTGTCGCTATTATTCTGTTTCATGGATCTGGACCCCCTGGTAGCTTTAATTAGGGAATGCATTGACATCCGTGGAATCATAGTGGGTCATAGTGAAAACACTTACAACCCCTTACAAATTATAAGCCATTAATATCATTGCCAAGGGCATAACTAGGACTCACAGAGCCCCGGTGCAAGAATCAAAAAGGTAACCCCCTTGTACTCTCACGGATACACATGTACTGACATACACACTGTTTTACCACACATTTTCAATGACCAACATTAATATTCCTTCTGACAGACACACATTCTCAAATTCATATACACTAACAGACACAATCTCGCTGACAAACTCACACTCAATGATTTGACACACTCTCACTGATTTGGCACACTGAAGACATACACTCACTAATTTGACTCACACTTTCAGTGATTTGACATACACACTGGCATACATGCACTCATTGATTTGACACACATGCTCAATGACACACATTCACTCTTTTGACACACACTGCTCACAGACACACACTCTCAATTGCAAACTCACTGACATAAACACACTTATTGCTTTGAAACACTCACACATACACATTTCTCCTGGAATCACTATCGGGCATGCGATACAGCCTCCCCCCAGGCACACTGTATTTAGGCAGAGTAGGCACCTGTCGATCAGATAAGCAGTTGACTACTCTGCCTTAGCAAACAATCAACCTCCTACTGAGGGACCCTAAGGTGGCCAGCCGGCCAACTCCTGGATTTGCGATCTCAGCCACCCTTTTAGCTCCACCACTGTATGTATGCAGGAATCAGCAGGGGTAGACAGGGTATCCAGCCTCCTAAAGTGATGTGCCTGGTCGCAGCTGCAGCCCCTGTTACCGTGGTAGTTCACCCACTGTCTTTGCCCAATTTTCACAAAATCCTTCACGAATAAAGCAATTTCTTCTACTGCAAACTAAACCTAACATAGAAGCTATACATTTATATAACGCTGAAAAATTATTTTAATTATGATTGGCGGTCAGACTTCTTTCTTAGGTGTCTACTTTCCTAGAGATTTCACTGCCATTTACCATAATAACTATCATATACTTGATAATGAAATGACAACTATGGTTTATAATCGGAAAGGGAAACATATTTCCTGGATAAGACGAATAGCATCTGTGAAAATATTAATTCTCCCTCAGCTACAATACCTATTTTGCACTATGTCCATTTTTTTTTTTTGTAACCCCTTAAGGACAGAGCTTCAAAAGCTTGTCTTTCACTTAATGACAACGGCATTTTTTTCATTTTTTGCTGTTTGCGTTCAACTGCAATTTGCATTTTACTTATTTGTTGCACCAACACATATTATACATCGATTTTTAAAGGACAGAAAGGGCTTTAATTTGATGTAACACACATATATATAAATGCTTATTTATTATAAAAAAATACAGAAAAATTTAAAAAAAATGGAAATTTTGTGTTTTTTTTTTTTTTACAGTTTTTGCAATAATAATGTGTGCATAATTAGTGCAGGTTAAGAAAAGTAATTAAAAATAAATTAATTTAGTTGTTCTGATTTACAGAATATACAATGTGTCTGGGATTTTAAGTTTTTTTTGGTAGTTACAGGTCACAAAGCACAAGGAGTAAAATAGACTTTTAATGTGGAGCGATTTTAGAATTTGGTATGTTTGTCTTGTAAGCTTAATAGCCATAAAAGAAAACAAAATTGCCACACAAAAGTATATATTTATATAAAGTAGACATCACAGGCTATTTACCTAAGGTTGTTTTGACACTTTCTACGTAGCCATTTCACCGCCAATCTCTGCTAAATATTGGAGTAAAATTGTGTTTTTTTTGGTTTTTGGCACACAAACTTATAACAAAGAAATTCTCGTGTATATTTTGTAAAGTTGGTGTGTGCTATTCCTGTACAAAGTTTTATTTTGTGTTCAGTTACATCTGCTGAGTAAAATGACACCCCCATTGTATGTCTTTGGCACTATTTTGTGAAGTTACAGTGCCACACAGGATACCTGTCCTTTTCAGTATTCACAGTAGAATTTTGAGAGATGGATTTAATGAGCCTTAGCTTCCATTTGGGGTATTATAACAGTTTGACTGTTCAAAAAACCCCCACAAAGGCCTACCATTTGTAAAAGTTGACACTCCAGGGTATCTCATAAGGTGCATATTGTGCCTTAACATGCCCCCATTTTTTCACCAATATATGCCAAAGTATGTGGTAAAAAATAATTTTGTGCATTTTTTACATACAGATTGCATTTTTGCTGGGCGTTTTGTATATTTCATATGTGCCACTAAGTTCAAACCCCCCAAATTATGCTCAGCTAAGTCTTCTGAGTAAAATGACACCCCATATGAATGTCTTTGGCACTATTTCGTGAAGCTACAGTGCCATATAGGAGACCTGTCCTTTACAGTATTCACAGTAGAATTTTGAGAGATGGATTTAATGAGCCTTAGCTTCCATTTGGGGTATTATAACAGTTTGACTGTTCAAAAACCCCCACAAAGGCCTACCATTTGTAAAAGTAGACACTCCAGGGTATCTCATAAGGTGCATATTGTGCCTTAACATACCCCCATTTTTTCACCAATATATGCCAAAGTATGTGGTAAAAAAATTATTTTGTGCATTTTTTACATACGGATTGCATTTTTGCTGGGCGTTTTGTATATTTCATATGTGCCACTAAGTTCAAACCTCCCAAATTATGCTCAGCTAAGTCTTCTGAGTAAAAAGACACCCCCAATGAATGTCTTTGGCACTATTTCGTGAAGCTACAGTGCCATATAGGAGACCAAGCCATATCCATTTTTACCAAACTTTGAATTTTGACGCTGGGCCTATGTGCAATTTCCAAGCATCTTCGCAGGTTTTAAATTCAAACTACCCCACAAAGGCCTACCATTTCTTAAAGTAGACACCCCAGGGTGTTTCAAAAGGTATATTTTGAACCTTAGCGTGGGATCATTTTTCCGCTAGCTTGTACCAGATGTAGTGGTAATAAGCGTTTTTTCTGCCTTTTTGACATACAAAGTGAGTTTGCACAGTATATTTTGCAAACCTTATGTGTGCTACGACTGTATAATACTTCATATGTTGCTCAGCTATGTCGGCTGAGTACAGCAATACCCCCGTATGTACCTTTGCCAGGTATGTGTGGACATCGGAGGGGCACATTTGGGACACAGCCATTCCAGTTTTTTTCAAACTTTGAATTTTTATGCTGTGCCTATGTCCCATTTTAGAGTATTTTACCAGGCTATATAATCCAAATACCCCATAAAGCCATACCATTTCTTAAAGAAGACATCCCAGGGTATTTCAAAATTCATATTTTGAACCTTAGCGTGGGATCATTTTTCCGCTAGCTTGTACCAAGTGTAGTGGTAATAAGCATTTTTTCTGCCTTTTTGACATACAAAGTGAGTTTGTGCAACATATTTTGCAAACCTTATGTGTGCTATGACTGTATAATACTTCATATGTTGCTCAGCTATGTCGGCTGAGTACAGCAATACCCCTGTATGTACCTTTGCCAGGTATATGTGGATGTTGAAGGGGCGCATTTGAGACGCAGCCATTCAGTTTTTTTCTAACTTTGAAGTTTTACGCTGTGTCCATGTTCCAATTTGGAGTAGTTTAGACAGTTGGTTATTGAAACTTCCCCACAAACACATACTATTTATTAAAGAATACACCCTGGGGTAATTCAAAAGGCATATTTTGAACCTTGGCGTGGGATAATTTTTTCTCTAGTTTGTTCCAGGTGTAGTGGTAATGAGCGTTTTTAAAATGTATTTTTTAACTTTTTATAACTTTTTTACTTTTAAAAACTAGTTTTTAAACTTTTGTTTTGCGTATTAATTTTTTTTAAACTTTCCTAAACTTTCTTAAAACTTTTTTACAGATTTAACATTTTTCTAAGCTTTTTTTTTTTACCGTTAACCCCTAACTAGCAGTACGCAGCACTAACAGTAAATTCCCCATTTTCCCATAACTCCCACCCACCCCAGCTAGCAAAATACATAGTTATAAAATATTTTAATTAATTAATTAAATAAATTGAACCCCTGAGGGTTAAAAAATAAATAAAAAGTTAATCCTCAGGGGTTAAAAAAAATTAGATCACAGTATAATACTGTGATCTCTATTTGATCGCTGTAGGCAGTGATCGACTGGCAGGGAAGGGGTTAATTTTTATTTGGACTAGGTAAAGGGTTTTTTTTTTTTTTTTTACTTAAACGTTATTAAAACATTTTTTAAGCTTAATTTTTTACTTTTTAAAGGTTATTTTAAAACTTTTTTTAACGTTAACCCCTAGTTAGCCTAACGCCAAATCCCCCAATTCCCCACTAACTTCCACCCACCCCAGCTAGCTAAATATATAATTTTAAAATATTTTAATTAATTAATTAAATAAATTTAACCCCTGAGGGTTAAAAAAAAATGAATTAACCCTCAGGGGTTAAAAAAAAAAAAAATCAGATCATAGTAAAATGTAATCCCTGCCAATTGATCATTGTAGTCAGTGATCAATTGGCAGGGAAGGGGTTAATTTTTTATTAAAATGGGTAAGGGGGGGGGGGACTTTAAATAAACTTTATTTTTTTTTCCAGTAGGGGGCAGGATCAGCACTGATCCGGCTCCCTGCACTTCACACAGAACCCGGAAGTGCAGGGAGCCGGTAGGTGAGTATACAGAGCACATGTGCTCGCTCTGACCACAAGTCAGAGCGAGCACATATGCTGGGGCAGCCTGACCGGGTGCTCCCGGTATGCCTCTAATGCAGAGGCATACCGGAGCACCATTAACCCCGCAATCGCCGCAATAGCGGCGATCCAGGGTTAATTTTACCGCATGACGGACGAGGTCCGTCACTCGTCGTTAAGGGTTTCCCCTGAGTGACGGACCTCGTCCGTCACTCGTCCTTAAGGGGTTAAAGACTGTGCAGAATGTTTTGAGTAAATTTATGTGCGCAGGTGGACTACTGATGGTATCAGTCAGAACTTTATATTTACTGGTGCGGAGGGCTTCTGTTACCAAACATCCATTTATACTACAGACAGCAGTATCATAAATTCCCATTTTCACCCTGAGACACCTCAATGGGTTCATACAGAAGCCTTTTGGGCAAATAAAAGTAAAATTTCTTATTTAATTTGGTTGCCTAAAAGTTTATGTTTCTAATATTTCTATGGCTCTCCTAAATACTCGACTAACAACATACCTGGATACCACACAACATTTACCTTATGCAGAGACCACGTTCCCTTTTCCTATATCCCTGAGGGCTAGTTCACAAACAATGAATTCCTTTAAACACTGTGTGTGAGAAAATGTTGGTATTTCCGTTATATACAAATTATTAAACGATACGGTCCCCCTCACTTCTATTCAGACATGTGAAAAAGAGCTGAGATGTACACTCCCCGATAATAGCTGTCAAAGCGCTTTTAGCATTTTTAAAGTATTAACCCACTGCCATGGGCGTCCACAGGTGGGATGTAAGGGGGGGCACTTGCTGGATTTTTCAGCTTGTGCTGCTCTTTTTCGTTTGTGTGATACTAAACTGGCGCCGGCCAGTAGGTGGCGCTGTGAATAGAGAAAGGCAGGGATAGGAAGCTACAGCTTATCCCTGCTTCTCTCTCATGACTGAAACCGCAGGGGAGCAGCAGCCAGCAACTGCAGAGACAGCCTACAGATCAGGTAAGTGAGGGATGGGGGGGCAAACTAAAGGTCAGGTAAGTGAGACATGGGGGGGCAGTCTACAGGTCAGGTAAGTGATACATTGGCGGGGACCTACAGATCAGGTAAGTGAGGCATGGGGGGAGGGGGGGAGACAGCCTACAGGAAGGTAAAGTAGAAGGAGCAGGAAGGTTCTGCAAGGGGCAGGAGGGGTCAGCAAGGAATAGGAGGAGCAGAAGGGGCAGCAAGAAGCAGGAAGGGGTAGGAAAGGTTTGCAAGGGGCAGGAGGGTGAAGCAGAAGGAGCAGGAAGGGCAGCAAGGAGGAGGAGGGGTCAGCAAGGAGTAGGAAGGGTCTGCAAGGGGCAGGAGGTTTCAGTAAGGAGTAGGAAGGGGCAGCAAGGGGCAGGAGGGGTCAGCAAGGAGTAGGAGGGGCCAGCAAGGAGTAGGAAGGGTCAGCAAGGGGGAGGAGGGGTCAGAAAGGAGTAGGAAGGGTCTGCAAGGAGCAGAAGGTTTCAGTAAGGAGTAGGAAGGGGCAGCAAGGAGCAGGAGGGGTCAGCAAGGAGCAGGAGGGTTCAGCAAGGAGCAGGAAGGGTCAGCAAGAAGCAGGAAAGGTCAGCCAGGAGTAGGAAGGGTCTCCAAGGGGCAGGAGGGGTCAGTAAGTTGTAGGAAGGGGCAGCAAGGAGCAGGAAGGGGTCAGCAAGGAGCAGGAAGGGTCAGCAAGAAGCAGGAGGGGTCCGCCAGGAGTAGGAAGGATCTACATGGAACAGAAAGGGTCAGCAAGGAGCTGGAAGGGGCAGCAAGAAGCAGGAAGGGTCTGCAATGAGCAGGAAGGGGCAGCAAGAAGGAGGAAGGTTCTGCAATGAGCAGGAAGGGAAATCAAGGAGCAGAAAAGGTTAACAATTATCTGCAAGGGGCAGTAGGAGCACAAAGGTAAAGTAGGAGAAGGAACAGAAATGAGCAGCAAGAAGCAGGAAGGGTCTGCAAGAAGCAGGAGAGCGCAGAAAGGGGCAGCAAGGAGAAGGAAGGGTTTGCAAGGAGAATGAAGGGTCTGCAAGGAGCAGGAGGGTGCAGAAAGGGGCAACAAGGAGCAGCAAGGAGAAGGAAGGGGCAGCAAGAAGCATGAAGGGTCTGCAAGAAGCAGGAGGGTGCAGAAAGGGGCAGCAAGGAGCAGGAAGGGTCTGCAAGGAGAAGGAAGGGTCTGCAAGGAGCAGAAAGGGATCAGAAAGAGAAAGGAGCAGAAGGGTGCAAAATAAGCAGGAAGTAGCAGAAAGGTAAAGGAGCTGAAGGTGCCAAGGAGGAGAGAAGACAGTGTCAGAAGAAAAAAAGACTGTCAAATGTAGAAGAAAATGAGATTGGAGCAGGAAGGACAAGCGAAGTGATCCCTCCACTTCATTCTGGACACCACATCATAAGGCTTTGGTAACTGGGCCTGGCAGGAAACTTTGGACCTTCTCGACTCCCCAGGTAAAAAACATATTAGTTTTAATGTGTTCACTTTTATTTACGGAGTGTCAGGAAACACAGAGTGTCGCTGGATAGGGGTGTCACTGATTGACTAGACCATTCAGCTGGCACTCTAAGCCAATCAGTAGCTCCCCATTCATAAAACATAAAAAAATGTATGAATCGAGAACTAGCGATTGGCTTAGAGCATCAGCTGACCACTCTAGCCAATCTGTAGCACCCATGCCTGACGTCAATCTGCACTTCCTGACACTCCGTTTCAGAAGCCAAATACCACTGAGCGACCTGGAGCTGGATGAAACCTTTGGGGTTAAACAATTTGAGAGCGGTTTCACCCTTTAAAGGAAAAACAGCAGCCAGGGGCCTCCTTGCATCATAGCATTTTCATTTAGATTAAGTTGTTATGATGACCAGAATGTTCCTTTAATTTGATTAAAAGAACACTGTAGTGTCAGGAAAACAAACATGTATTCCTGACACCATAGTTGTGAAAACGCTATTCACCCTGGCTTTATGTGATAATGACTATGCTCCTCCCATTCATGACATTGTCAAAAAGGGACCAAGCATGTCTGTCATTACAATTATTTCTCCCCCCCCCCTCCCACCCTGCAGACGCCCATGCCCACTGCGTAGCTCATATTGAGCTCCATAGGAGTTTACCATTGGTACTTAGTCTCCACTCTGATGAGCAAAACGTATTCGGCCTTGTGCTAAAGATGCTTTGGGGACGGTGCCGATGTTGCATCTGTGGTGGAATTGGCCTGAATGCTGACATTGTTGGTATAGGGAGTGGTTACATTATGCAACCATTATACTACAGGGCCGGTGAATGCTTGAATCTGATTGGTTGACGAACGTTCTAAGGTGTGCATTATTTTCAGGGAGACGCATGGCTAAAGTAGTTCCAGACAGGTCTTGACCGCATTACAGTTCCATATCATTTTGCGTAGTCAACTGTAATAACGGAAATTATTAAGAAGCTACTGGGCACCTTCTGCTACAGAAAGAAAGAAATGGAGCTTTATCCTCTCAGGAAACAAAAGTACAAACGAAAATCAAGCCAAGGATCACCAGGAAAAACAACCCTTTGCTAACATGCAACCCCATGCGCTTGATCTGCCATTTTCGATGTCTAACTTCACAATCAATGGAAATGTGCAGTTTAATTGGAATAAATAAAGTATATAGTCCTATCTATAAATCAATAGAAAATTAAAATGAATATATATAAATAGATAGTCCAGCTGCACGGGTTTTCGTTACAGCCTACTGCCAATAATAGAAAAATAAAATTAACAAATTAATTAAAACTAATGAATAAATAAATAAATTTTCTGTCTCATTATTGCAACCTCTCTCTGTCTCTCTAATAACTGCACTAACAACTGCATTAGTCTGCTATCAGTGGCTCAAATCTCCGTTACTAACTCTTAAATGACATTTAGGAATTAGCAACGAAGAGATGGGAATTGATGCGTAAGAAATTAGTCCTACATACAAGAGCGTTTTGATGACAAAAACTTGACAAACGTCTTGAAATAAATCATCTGAACAATGTTTCGAGGTGTGGTAACTGTAGTATAAGTGGAATAATTGACTCCAGGCCGTTGAATTATTAGAAAAATTAATGCACACCCAAGATGTAACAGCCACTCCACTTCGCGTTGTGACCGCATTACCACCTTAGGGTGTGCATTATTTTTCTACTAATTCAACGGCCTGTCGTCAATTATTCCTTACTCATTCCTTACCAAATGTTTCAGAGTGTGTGATTGCTTATGTTTCCCAGTAGACTTTCCTAAATATGTGATGTATGTTATTGTTCCACACTTTGATAGCGGCGCTAACATTATTAGCCAAACACTGGAAGTCTCCTGTAATCCAAACATTCAAGCTAGAACTAATTAACCAAGGTTCTTTAACAGGTGCCTACAAAACTTCCGTTAGGAAATATTCCTGTAAAGGAATATTTTGGAGAAAGGCTAGGGACATATGGTCCTTAGTTCAAGTTAAACTGGCATCAAATCATCCATCCCATTTTCTTAACCTCATCTAATAGCTGTGGTCTCTGGTCTTCGAGAAATGCGTGGCTGGTCGTTTCACAGTAATCACTAGGTGCAAACTCTCTAACTATAATAACAAATGTTAAAGGTGCCCCTTACAAAGGTAGTGCTACAAACCATCCCCCCCATTCATTTTTCTCTCTAAAATTACCCTTTCTACATTGATAAGAGAAAAGTCTGATTACATACACAACACCTGTTTGATTATCTCCATATTTGCTGCGTTGTTCGTTTAATACAGATGTATTGCATCAGATGTACATCTCTAACATCTTTGTATACTATTTGTACTATTACAAAATAAATAAAAGTTAATTGTGTGAAAAATAAATATTTAGACCCTGACATATGAGACATTTAACAATCAGGACTTACTTATATGTTAATCTATTTTGAAGTTTTTTGTTTTTTTAAATATCAGTAATAAAGTGGGAGGACCTATTGTCTCCTCCCATGGCTCCACCGATGGGTGGCAGGTGGGGGCCCCGAATATTATTAATAAAGGGAAGGACCTATTGTCCCCTAACCTGGCCACCATGAGCGGTGAGTGGGGGCTCTGGTATTAGTAATAATGAAGGCTGAACCTATGTTCTCTCTCCTGGCTCTCACCTGGCAGGTGTGGGCCATAGTATTAATACTAAAAGCGGGACCAATTGTTCCCTAATACTGCTCACACCCATAAGCGTGGTTAGAGGCCCTAATTAATTATAGAATAGGACATGCCATTATCCCTCACCCAACTTAAGTTGTCCCTACCCGAGTGGCTAGGGGTCCCATTTCCCTTAGCCATCTTATAAAATTGTCCTAATGTCCTAACCTCTCCTCCCTCAGCCATATAATAGTGAGGAGGGGGTTAATTGATTGAAAACCTATTAAGTAAAAATTATATTTACCACCCGAAGTCTTATTTCTTCTTATTCTTCAGCCCCAAAAAAGACCAATAAAAATCCAGAATAACCAATGCCATTAATTAAAATTAAAAAAAAAATCCCAACCAAAAAAAAAGGAAAGCACACACAAAATAAAAGCACAGAATTAGCTCTGATAGCTTTCAAAGACCTTTTTTTTTTTTTTTTCAATGCTTTGCAATATGAACAAGAGCTCTCTGATTGTTTGTTTGGTGCACCAACCAATCAGAGCACTCTGGTAGCCAGGTCTTGAGAGAAGTGACATTTCAAGTAAGAAAGGGGCCAGTGGACAAATAGTACTTCAAACTGTCGATTGACTTGCAAAATTTAACTGTATGATAATTTGTGAATGTCCATTCTCCTAGATGCATCGGTTTATCATCAACAGCCATGCTGTCATTGATAAATCTCTGTTTACAGTGCTGTAAATCCTTATTATATTTATATAGCACACACAAATTCTGTAGCACTTTACAATGGGTGGACTAACAAACATGTAATTGTAACCAGACAAGTTTGACGCAAAGAAACAGAGGGGTTGAGGGCCCTGTTCAATGAGCTAACATGCTAGAGGGAGTGGGGTAAAGTGACACAAAAGTAAAGGGAAGTATTAGGGAAGTAGATTGGTAGAATAGTATTCAAAGAAGACAGTGTGGGTTTTTTTTTTTTTTTTGAGCCATTAACAGTTTAATTGATATCCGTTTGTGAAAAAGTGAGTTTTAATGATTTTTTTTAACGGTGCAGCCCTAGAGAAATCTTTAAGGTGAGCATCAGAGTTGGTAGTACCAAATGTTTCAGAGTGTGTGATTGCTTATGTTTTAGACATGTGCAATTTGTTTTGTTCCAAATGGCAATTCGGATACATCCGAATGTCCGAATAGCTGAATTGCCGAATTCCTGAAGTTCCAAAATTGCCAAATTTCCGAAGTGTCGAAGTTCCGAAGCACAGTATTGCCCAAGTGGTAATATACCCAGTGGAAGAATGAAGAATGTTACACTGTATATGAGTTTAAATAAAAAGTATACAAAAGGGGGGGGACATTGAAAGTCCCATGCTGTGTAAAATGACACAGAGCACTCTGATTGGCTGGATTCCAAGCTAACTAATCAGAGTGGTGTGACAGGTAAATCTAGAGACTTACCTGTCAGAGCACTCTGATTGGATGGCTTTAAACCAACCAATCAGGGTGCTCTGAGCCTAATTGCTTTATAAGCCTTCCCCCGCCCTGCAGAGCTCATTCTGCGTGGAGCCCTCCATGGGTGAAGAAGGATTATTTTTTTTTGCCCTCGGGTTTTGTTTATTTAAAGTGCATCGGTTAATATGGATTTTTATTTGGCCTTTTTTGGAGCTGAAAAAATAAGATTTTAGAAGAAAGAAGACATCAAATGGTATTTTTTTTTTTTACAGGTTCTAGTTTATGGTCCCCCCTTATTATTTTTAGGGTGGGGGGTAGGTAGGGGTTATTTTTTGGGGGGCGGGGGTGACTAGGGGTTTGGGGACCAGGAGTGGGGGCTGGGGGGAAGGACAATAGGCCCCCCTTATTGGTATTTAGGGCCCCCACCCGCCGCTCAGGGGTGGGGGCCAAGGGGGAGGACAATAGGTTCTCCCCCTTATTCTAATTAAGGGCCCCAATCACCGCTCAGGGGTGAGGACAATAGGTGTGTCCCCCCTTATTAATATTTAGGGCCCCCACCCGCCGCTCAGGGGTGGGGTGGGGATGTTTTTTCTAGGTATAGCGAGTAGGGGCATATTATTTACTAACACTAAGTAATTTTTACTTAGTATTAGTAAATGTGGCTAAAAGACCAATTTAGGTCTTTCAACCTTTTTGTAGATAACTCCCTAATACCGTGGGAATTAGGGAGTTATCTACTAAGCGGCTGCAAGAGAAGTCCCGAAATTCTGAAATGCCGAAGTTCCGAACCCCCCCGAATTTCGGAATGCCGAACTGAAAATTTTCCAATTATGTTTCCCAGTGGACTTACCCAAATATGTGATGTATGTTATTGTTTCACACTTTTATAGGGGACCAAGGACTGAACTTGGGGGACACAAACAGAGAGGTTGGGAGGAAAAGGCAGAGCCAGAGAAAGAAACACTAAAAGAGCACTGGGTGATGTAGGAGGAGCACCAAGAGAGCGCAATATCTCGTAGACCGAGGATGAGAAGAAGCTGTTGATGATCAAAAGTATCAAAAGCAGTGGAAAGGTCAAGGAGACTTAGGATAGAGTAGTGACCATGAGATTTTGCAGCGAGTAGATCATTTTAGTGAGAGGCAAAACAAGAGAAGGAGAAAGAGTACGGATGAGATACAAGGGAATATGAAAAGTTGTAGTTGGGGGCGCTTGCTCCGTTTAAGTGTAGGAGGTGCCATGCTGTCTAGTTGAGAGGTGAGGGTGGAATTGTAGAAGGAGATTGCAGAGCTGGGGCAGGTGAGGTTTGAGATATGTAAAAGTAGAGTTTGGTTGGGATGCAGATGTAAGTGATAACTCGTATAATCAAATTTTACAGAATCGGTCAGACTGACCAAATCCTGACCACAACTGGCTTAAGTAAATCAGTAAATAGCCAATTTGGTTGGAATTAGGCCATTTTCACAGGATTTTGTCCATTTGTGTAAAATTCAGTGTTTAATGAATAACATAATATTCAGGGATTTAGTATTTTTTTAATATGAGAAGTAACTGCTTCTTGATCCAAGGAGAGAGCTGACCACCATTCTGGGGTCATGAAGGGATTTTTTTCCTTGTGTGTTGTAAAATTGGAAAACTCTTCAAACTAAGTTTTTGCCTTCTTTTAGATCAACAGCCAAAACAGTTGTGAGATGATGGGTGCATGTCTCTTTTCACCCAATGTAACTATGTAACCTTATCAATGTTGTGTTAGATATACATCAGTGGCTTACACAATCCATGGGCCCCCTCCCCTCCGACAGACACACACACACATACAGACACACACATACATATAGATACATACAGGCACACATACATACAAACAGACAGGCACACATACATAAAAAGACACACACACACAGACACATACATACAGACCGACACACACACACAGACACATACATACAGACCGACACAAACACAGACACACACACAAGACACACATACATAAAAAGACACATACATACAGACACACACACACACACACACAGACACAGACTGACACACACACATACATACAGGCAAAAATAAATACATACATACAGACAGACACACAGACAGACATATACATACAGACACACACACATACAGACAGACCGACACACACACACACATACAAAGACACATACATACAGACAGGCAAAAATACATACATACAGACACACAGACAGACAGACATACAGTCACATACATACACACACACACACACGACATGCATACATACAAAGACAAGCTCACATACAGACAGACACACATATAGGCACACAGACACATACATACAGATAGACACACACAAGACACACACAAGACACACATACATACAAACATACAGGCACATACATGCAGACAGACACACACGTAGGCACACAGACACATACATACAGATAGACACACACACATACAAAGACACATACATACAAACAGACAGGCACACAGACACACATACATACATACAGACAGACAGACAGGCACACATACACACACATATACATATACAAAATGTTTAAGTCACCCTCCTGTTTCCTACCTTTTAGGTGCAGGAGGGTGACTTTCCCTGGGGTCCAGTGGTGGCTCAGGTTGATGGGAGTCAGAGTTCCCACTCTGACTCCCTCCTCTGCTTCCTCCCGCGCGGACGCTGTGTATGCTGGGAAGAGTGACCAGGGAAGTCACTTCCTCCCAGCGTGAGAGGGGGCCCGGTTGCGCTTTTAAAGCGCCGAAGCGCTGATCTGGCCCCCTGAAAATCAATCTCCATGGCTGCTGGGCCACCCGATGGACCCGTTGAACGGCGGCCCCGGTGGTTTGCCACTCTGGCGGTGGGCCGCAAAACATGGTGGCTGGTACCCGGTCGCAGGGTTTTGCAAGGGGACCCCTGCGACCCCTTTATGTATGCCACTGGTAAACATATAGGATATTAAAAGAAAGCCATTATACAATATACAGTATAATAGACAAACCCTTAGATTACAATGGAACAAACGGCAAACCTTCCAGATATTTTGTTTCACTTCTGAAGTTGTCCTTGAGGGGTTAATTTAACATTTGTAGCACTTTTATACAAAGTTCTATGTGAACTCCATTTGAAAGGGATACTATGCACTAAGACAAAGGTAGAAGAGGAGAACAAAAAAAAAAAGTTCATAACAGAGTATGAGAGCTATCAAAGAAAATAAATATGCCAGGGCACTGAAAGAGTTAGTGAACTACTTAGTGTTATTAATAGTGATATCACACAACTGGATAGTCATAGTCTTTAAATTATAAGTCACACAATTTAAATAACATAAACTTGCATCTGCATAGAAGAATTTAAGGTGTTCCTTTCAATATCTTTAAAGGATCACTATAGGGTCAGGAACACAAACGTATTCCTGACCCTATAGTGTTAACACCACCATCTAGCCCCCCTGGGCCTCTCATGCCTCCATAAATATAGTAAAAATCTTACTGTATTCAAGCCTGAAGCTGTAAATCCTCATGCTGTTAGACTCAGAAAAACAAGCAGTCTGCTGACATGTGGTAGCCTGATCCAATCACAGTGCTTCCCCATTGGATTGGCTGAGACTGACAAAGAGGCAGATCACGGGCAGAGCCAGCATGTTTCAAACACAGCCCTGGTCAATCAGCATCTCCTCATAGAGATGAATTGAATCAATGAATCTCTATGAGGAAAGTTCAGTGTCTGCATGTAGAGGGAGGAGATACTGAATCACAGGATGCTGTGCACAGTGCTGCCATGTGCTCTGCTGACAGCAGAACTGAGTGGATGGAGGCATATTATGCCTCCATCAACACTGAAGTCCCCCTGGTTCACTCTGAGTGACTGCAGCTAGAGGTGTTCCTAGCTTTCAATGTAAACACTGTATTTTCTCAGAAAATACAGTGTTTACATGAGAAAGGCTGCAGGGAGCTATAGTTCTCACCTGAACAACCTCATTAAGCTGAAGTTGTTCAGGTGACTATAGTGTCCCTTTAAACTCATACTGTAAACTGTTTTTTTGATGCTGCATTAAAAGCTAATTAAGAATTGGAAGTCCAGGTCAAACATATCATCACCCATAATGCTTGGATGGTGTCCTAAGAAGGGTGATTTTTACTTTTAATGTTGAATTTAAAATTAGAGTCCCCTTATCTCGCTGCATGGTAGGGAACAAATGAACTGTATAACAAAGTTATAATAGACTAACAGCACTATTCACTAAAGTGAGAATTTTGAGGAATTCAAACTTAATTTCAAATGTTATGGCACAATATTGTACATTTTGAAGTTTATTTTAACTTACTCTAAAATTACACTTTAGTGAATAAATCTTTATGTATTTTGGAAAATAACAATGTATTTACCCAAGAAAGATACATTTAGCTTGCTATTAATTTCCAAATATGTCACTGGGTCTAGATGCAATCAACTTATTTGTACACATTTCATTAATCTTGGCAGAACAAACAGCTAAACTGACCATGCCAGAAAATGAAGATGCAGTTTGAGTTTTATCCACCAAGCAATCTTACTGGCCTAAATAGGATTACTCATGCTTCATGTAGTGTTTAATGTGCATGTTTGTGTTTTGTATAATGCTCTAAGTAATGGAGTAGTGGAATAACCTTTCACTTGTATAATTCTAGTATTATGCACTATATTTTTACATCTCATTCGTTTTCCAAATTCATTCCCAGGACTTAATGGTCATTGAACCGTTACTGGTCACTTCCTCGAGTCTTTATTTCAAGCGTCTTTAGAATGATTCCTGAAAATATTTATGTTATAAAATTAAATAAAGTAATCACTCACCTCCAGATCATAATAACTCATTTCACATAGAATAAACATGCCAAATGAAACATATATATACTGTCAATCAAAAGAAATGGTTCTCTTCTAAAAATACAAATTTAAAGCCTGCTTGCAGGCCACCTTTTCCCTTAGCAGCTTATAGCTTTTGCCATACTAAAAAAGAGTCTGTGATGAGATCATTTGACATTTTTTATCTTCTAATGTAATTATTAGTAGTATTTAGGGAATTTTAAAAGTTCATCTTGGTTAAGATCTTTATCTCGTAATATTATATCCTATCTCCAAAATATGTTGTCAACTAATTGACAGATTTTAATTGAAAACGTGCAATGGTATCATGTGATTCATGATATTTAAAATTCAATATGAGCTAACATAGCTTTGTTAATATGTATGGTTTTATAAATGAAATTAAATAACTACAATTCTTTTATTCCAATCCCAAACATTTCATGCATGAACTTCCAAGATCCAAGCTGATTGTAAAAAAATATCTGTTATGACACACAAATACACACACATTTCTGGACTAAAGGCGGCTAAAAATATATATAATATGGTGCTGAGATGAAATAAACAAAGTTGTAACTCAGCTTCTTCTTAATCCTCATCCTTAGAAGCACATGGCAAAATGCCTTTCAGTAATTCCACCCAACTGGCATACGATTATGTGTTAAGTAGCAGTTAAGGGTGTAAGTAGAACGGATATAAATTGGAAGTTCTGACAAGGCATCCTAAAGTCCACAGAGGAAAAACATATTTAGTCAAGATACAGATATATGCCAAAATGCACTAGTGGAACTATCCACTAGTGGAATTATCACTACATACTAAATTTATAAGGAGATAAATAATTTATTTTACATATTGTTATGACAATACCTGTTTGTTTTTTGTAAAATAAATAAATTCGGTATTGCCCTTTCCAGAATAAAACAGACACAGAAAATAACAAGAGGGGTAGAACAGGGCAGCAAATAAAAAATTTAAAAGGACATTCCATGTTTCAAAATTGAGAGGGTGGTGCAGCCCCTGGAATGTCCTTGGAGTGTGTGTATATAACCATAAAAAGGAGGAAAAATAGGAAACTGATAGTGAAGTATGTAGAAAATACATTAAGGTGAGGGTAAATAAAATTCTATGCACTCTAAGGTGAAACTCCAACTTAGACGCTTGGGCAAAATAATCCTTGCCTGACGATATGGTGGAGTACAGACTCTATAGGAGGTTCTTGTGGATGCAGCTTCTCTTGTAGATATGTAGGAGAAATCAGAAATATATAGTGCAATATTCCAGACTCAATATTAAAATATATAGCTATAAAAGATGTGCACTCACATGTACTGGAGATTATAGAGTGGCTCCACAGGTATGGTCCCCACTCTAGGGAGGAGAGACATAGTAGTGTTTCTCCATACACAGCTCACCCTATAGGCCAGCATAGGTATTACAGTCTGATCTCAGTCTTAGAAAAAAAAAATACTGGCATTTGTATTGCCTCAAATACCAGCTGTGCCAATAACATACTGGTAAATTCAGGCTGTCAGTTATCTAACTCAATGCTCACTAAGCACAATTTAGGTTATTTGGTCCTTATGTCTGGATGTAATAATCTGCATAATTGTGCTTATTTTATTGACACTGCAATGACAAAAGGCTAAGATGAGCATGCTGAAAATTGAACTAACAATGAAGATGTGCAAATGGAGTCAAATATACTAGGATTTTGCATGCTTTATTTAGTGTTAAATCTGCATGCTCTTGTACCTTGCAAACTGCACCAGAGTTACAACATTCTGAAACCTACTGCAGATATCTTTTTTTTCGGATATTAATATTGAGATAACACAACTACATAGTTGGTATTGTAAAGAAGCATGTCTGCTAAACAGCTTTCCACATAGAGAAAACAAGTCCAGCAACTTTTGCCTTTCATTCTACAATTAAATATTTGTGTTATTTCTACCCCTGACCGTTAAAGTTACAACACCAATGCAATAATGCAAAAAGTTTAATCTGTCTGTTGTATGCAATTTGATTTATAAAAATGTGAACTATTCTAACTATGAAAATAAAATCAGCAGTGTAAAATAACTTTAGATATGTGGCAAACATGTATCCTGCCAGTGGATTATTTACTGGACTGCTTTTAGAGATGAACACCTGTTAAAACCACTAACTTTCCAAAGCAAGATTGTCAAATGGGTGGTCAGTGTCTTAAATTAGACATATTTACACAAATAGAAATGTAAGGTTTTTGTGGCAGAAGATAAAATCTAAATTAGGCTGTCAGCAGATACTTAGTAAGTATACCCCATGGCTTGTTTTTGCCAGTTGGCATACCTTATGGCCCACACATATTGTAAGCTTTCATCCAATTTGTATTTAACCTATGAACACGTTTCCTTAATATAATAGTAGAACTGTGGGTTTTACATCTTTTACCTCAGTAAGTAAAGGTTTGAAATAATTCCCCTTAAAATAGATTTGAGTCTGAATCAGAAGACAGGAAGGGTTGAAGGTATATTTATATATGGATTTTTTTTAGATGAATAAACATTTCTTCATAAATGTTGATTATGAAAGCCATTGTTCATATAGAATCACTGATTAGAGCCAGGGCCAGATTTCCTATAATGCCACCAAAGTTATGGTCTCGGGACAACAGGCATAAGAGGGGCGCCGCCGGTGGGGAGATCAAACATCTCCCTCACTGGCAGTGTGTGCAGCGGCGAGCCCGCGCGAGAAAGAGATTACAGACCTGCATCTTCTCCTTCCCAGCTGGCTGCTGAGCCACTTCACCAATCGGAGGAAAATGAGTGGGGCTGTGACAACATTCTCATAACCTTCACCAGATCTCCTCCACCTCACATGAGAGGGAGGCAGATGGGACCAAGAGAGGTTAGTCTGCACAGAAGGGAGCAGCCAAGCACATTGTTCTCCTGTACTCTGCACTGCCCTTTTCACCCTTCATTCCAGCTAGAGGCCAGCCCCAGCCACCAGCCTGCCCAGCCAGACCAGCAACAGCCTACCTTACCCAGCCCAGTGGCCAGCCGTCGATGCCCACCAAGGTCAGTGGGCGTGTGTCTGCATGGATCATTGTGTGTGTGTGTGAGTGAGTGTGTGTCTGCATGGTCACATAAGAGCAGGCATTTGGTTGCTACCCAAAAATGGGGTACATTGGATTTGTGGCAGGCCTATGCAATGTATAATCATATGTTCAGGCTAAACCGCTCTTATTATTTGTGGTTAGGTATTTTTAAAGAAGACTATTTAATTATGTAAACTTTGAAATTGACGTTTAGTAAATTAGTGTGCTGGATGTGGTATGTTTTATAAAATATTACACATAAAATAGTATGGCCTTTGCACCATTTAGACGTGATGTGTAGCCACCAATTTCCAATTTCTAGAGTCATTTGGAGGAAATTTATGTTTTGGTCACATATCTTATATATTACTATATATATATATATATACATATATATATATATATACATATACACATATATACATATATATATATATATACATATACACATATATATATATATATACATATACACACACACACACACACACACATGTAACTTATCTGCAGAGTGCTGGTGGAGAGTTATAAAAAAATAACCCCCTTACCCCCACCTCACAAAATTATAAAGTATCCCATTCACTATATGGCCAAACAAAAATGATGTCCAAATTCCTATTCCTCATGTTACTTGCCCTTGCAAATGATGTGGAGTCTAACCCTGGTCTCCCAGCTAATTCTAATCCTAATCTCCCCATTAAAAAAGATCTCTCTTATGTGCACTGCAACATCCGTAGCTTACTCCCTAAACTGGTGTTCTCATTACAAACCAAAAATCATTGTGCTCTCTTTCCTTATACATTTCTGTGGAAGAGATACAGCTATATGCATTGAAAACTGAACCTATGTAAGTGGTTTTGTATCACTATAACACCAAAACACCATAGAAATTTTTGTATTTGCACTTTTTCTTGTTGGATTGCACATAATTGCTATTTTGCACAAAATTGGTCAATTGGAATTATATTCCACACCCATGTAATAATTCATTGGCACTTAAATATTTTAGTCTATATTTAAAGACACAGCACACCTTTTTTCTTTTTTTGTATTGTATTTTAGTGTGGTTTGAGCTATTGCACTTTAAAAGGAGCTGCTTTTTTTTAAAATAAGAATTTTTTAAAATAAGATTTATTCACTATAATTTTTTGATTTTGATCTAGCGCCTTTGTACTTGTTTTTCTTGTGTATGTCTACATTTCTCTCAGAATCATGGTTAGCAACTAAAATACCAGACTCCGCTATTGCAATACAGGGTTATTTATGTTTTTGAAAATACAGAGAAAAGAGAGGAGGAGGCATTGCTATTTATGTTGACACTCCATAAAATATACTCCTTTAACTCCTTCAGGACAATAGTGCACGTTCTGATCAAAACAAAACAAAAACTGGAATTTGCACTATTTGTCTGTTCAACCATAATTCACCGCTGTCACATTAAGTGCACCCACACTTATTATATATCATTTTGTTCAGGAGAAACAGGGCTTTAATTTATCATTAACTATTCATATATGGAACATAATTTATTATGAATAAAATTTAATAAAATGTGAGAAAATAAGATTTTTTTTTTAAATCTGTATTTCTGTCTGACATTTTAGCTGTGAATGTCATAATACTGTTAGGTTTTACTGCAACAATGCACATATTTGTAATCAGTGATGTCTCACGAGTACAACAGTACCCCCCATTAACAGGTTTTATGGTGTTTTGGAAAGTTACAGTGTCAAATATGGAACGTTCCATTTTCAAATTGAAATTTGCCAGATTAGTAATGTTACCTTTGAGACGGTGTGGTAGCCCAGGAATGAGAATTACCCCCATAATGGCATACCATTTGAAAAAGTAGACAACCCAAGGTATTGAAAGTGGGGTATGTTTAGTCTTTTTTAGTAGCCACTTAGTCACTGGCCAAAGTTAGCGTTGGCCAGTGTTTGTGACTAAGTGGCTACTAAGAAAGACTGGACATACCCCACTTGCAATACCTTGGGTTGTCTAATTTTGCAAATGGTATGCCATCATGGGGGTAATTCTCATTCCTGGGCTACCATATGCTCTCAAAGGCAACATAACCAATCTGGCAAATTTCAATGTCAAAATTTTTTAAATGCAAGCCTTATATGTGACTCTCTAACTTTCCAAAACCTGTACATGGGGGGGTACTGTTATTCTCGGGAGACTTCACTTAACACAAATATTAGAGTTTTAAAACAGTAAAACATATTACGACAATAATATATTCCATAAAAGTGCAGTTCGTTTGTAAAAAATGTTGTAATACAATTTACCACTAATATTTGAGTTCAGCGAAGTCTCCTGAGTAAAACAGTACCCCCTATGTACAGGTTTTATTGTGTCTTGGAGAGTTACAGAGTTAAATATAGTGCGTGTGAATTAAATTCTCTGCACTTTCTCCCTGTGTTGTCAGGCATGTCAATCAAATTTTAATTAATCAAATCCCATAATTATGTTAAAAGATTACTTAAATATACATGTAGAATTTTAATATATATGCATTTATAGGTACTTAAATTCTACGTGTATACTAATGTAATCTTTTATTTAATTATATGTATTTATCTATCTATATATATATATATATATATATATATATATATTTTTGCGGTTATTTGTAATTTATATATAGATAGATAGATATATAGAATGTCATTCTAAGTGTATTTTGTTACATATATATATATATATATATATATAAAAATATATATATTAATAACAAAATACATTTAGAATAAAATTACATATGAATATATAATTTATATTAAATTTTGTTTCAATATTTTATTTATTTATTTTATTATTTTATTTATTGTAATTATACGTATATATATATATATATATATATATATATATAAAATATATGTGTATATATCTATTACATATATATAATATATATATATTATATATATGTAACGCCATTCTAAATATATGTACTTATATTAATATTAAAATACACTATGTATGACGTTACATATATATATATATATATATATATATATATATATATATTTTATTTTTAATGTTTAATTTATTTTTCATTTTCCACCAGCAGGGGGACTGTCTGATATTTTAGACAGTCCCCCTGCTGGCAGATCCACAGCCAGCTATAGGGGGCCATGTGATCGCTCTTTGAGAGTGATCACATGGCCCCCGGGGGCCTCATTTGCCAGGGGAGGGCTGCCTGGACTGTTAGGCAGCCCTCCAGAAGAGGAGCACGGCGGAGGTGAGTAAATCCTGGCTCCTGGGGCTGAAAGCCGTTACGACGTTCTATGCCGCCGCAACGGCTTTAAAGCCCAGTTAAAGCAGGATGACATAGAACGCCGTAACGGTGTTAAAAAACTATAACTCCCCTTCAGCCTTTGATTTCCTCATTGTTGCTGGAATCTACCGCCCACCCAGCTCTCCGGTGCACTCCCTTTCCAAACTACTAAGTGAAACTTTAGCTCAAAACCAAAAAAGTGAACTGTTGGTTTTTGGAGATTTTAATATTGATTGACTGAATCATAAAAATAATAAATCATGTTCGCTGTTTAAGACTTTGCAGCTAACGCAATTAATTTCCTCTCATACTCGCATTAATATTCTGGCCGCGCATGTGCATTCGGCTCCACTCGGAGAGCTGACGTCGATGGAGGAGGAGAGGTCACCATTTATTTGCTGCAAAATGGGGGCCTAGTCACTGTTTAGGTGACTAGTGCTCTATAGCGTTAGGAAAACATATTTATATTCCTAACGCTATAGTGTTCCTTTAAGAATCCTCTGAAGAATTACATGTAAAAACGTCCAAGAATGTATTCACGAAGAGCAAAGTGTAACAAATAATAAACAGAATAGCAACATTTAGGACAAAAACAGCTGGTGTGTAAAAATTCAGCACTGAGCAATAGCCACAGCTTTTATAGCCTAAAATTTTGTGTTTAAAGCATATGCACAAAAAGGGTCTATAATCTCTTTGCTTTGTATAAAGAAATCATTGCTGGAAATAGTTAAAAAAAAAAACAAACACAATGAATACACATGCATAGTGTTCAAAAGAGAAACATCCTGAATATATGGCAATAGGCAGACAATTAATTCTGGTCATTTTAACTGAAATAATTGCCCACATTTGTTTGCTTTAAATCATGAGAGGGCTACATTTATTTTCCCCTCTCTTTTTATTTTCTACTATAAGTAAATTGTATGGCAGTCCAGGAATCTGTCTTCTGTTTCTCCTTGAATAAAAGAGTCAGTGTCAAGTATAACCCTAACAATGAGCACTGGTAGATCTAGCATATTCACAACTGTGGGCATAATGGATTGTACAAAAGAAATAATTACACTGGATATGATTCATCTACAAGAATGCAGAGAGGAAAAACAAAAAAAAAAATTAGAAGTTTTTTTTCTTCTTTATATTTTTTGTTGTATACTTCCTTTAGATAAAATACAAGTTTATACAGTAAACATATGTCCTCTCACCTTTATTCTGGGAAATACATATGTTTAACCGACGTTGAGTATACATAAAAAAAAAAAAAAAGAACTGCAAAGCATAAAACATTTACAAAAATATAGAATAGCGAAGGTACCATTTGATCAACTTGGGAGTGTGTGGAAGAATGTTAAGCAATGATAAAGAAAAAAAAAAAGTATTCACATTAAAATACATAACAAATGTTAGTATTCACATTAAAATGTGTAGTTTCGTAACAGACTTGTTAATCTGTAGAAAGATTAGTATTTTGTTTAGTTTGGAAGTTGCAAATGGTTGATCTTAGCCACTGAACAGTGGGAGTCATTTATATTTTCAATTCAGGTATTTTGTCCTAAATTTTTAAATTCTCCTTGGATTCCTGACAATTCACACTTTAAAGAATGAAATATGGGGGAATAATAATTTGTGTCTCTGCACTTAAAGATGTTTTTTACTCCTGAAAGAAAAGGTAAGACCTGTTTAAAAAATTCCACCAAATATTCTGTTGGAAAACAGTAAAGGTGCACCTCTTTTAAACACGAACAGTGCCAAAATTTAAAATGACGAAAAAAAGGGCACAGAACAAAACTTTTGTGAAGGACACAAACAGGAAACATGTGGTGCAGATGAAGGATAATATTGGTGTAAACAGAAAACAACTATGCTACTTTTAGAACCAGCATGTTGTTTGCAATGTGGTAAATGTTATCCATTTGTTCTGGGGATTTATGTGATAATATATAATTTAATGAAAATAATGTAGAGACAGGGCTCTAGCCAACCTTTTACTGTAAATGTTCTGTAGTTGCAAACTGACAAATTTGAGAAAAATAAATATTACATTGCTGTGGAATCACGAAACTGTCGGTGTCTAAAGGATGCTGCTCTCAAAAACTTTTGAGTGAAACTCTTCAGTAGAAATGTTGCCATAGGTTAAGTCAAATGTTTCTGTCTCAAATAAGTGTGAGAACCACTGGAGAGTCAGATGTACCTTAAATGTGCACTTTAGTGCTCTCAGTAAACTCTTTATTTACCAAGCATCATTCTTGACAAATCTGGTCATCAGTGACGTCAGAAGTAAGTCAGAAGGGAGGTATCTAAATCTAAGTAAATCAGGATGATATGTCATTCCACTTTACATTGAACCTAGTTCTGCCCATAGTGCTAATTGTCATCTTGAACTGAGCTCAATTTTTATTAATTTATTTATTTTTAAATATTTGGTTTGATAAATAACACTAGCAAATTACCATAACATGTATTCGCTGGGCTCTCCTTGGGATTTGTAACTGGGTCTTTTTTTTTTTCAACAAACCAACCAAGTATCCTTCTGCAGGAACACAGTTTATATTTTGAGTCCAAATTCCTTTCTCAATATTGTAAAATCAAATTAACCTCTATTCTTGGATCTAAGAAACGTGGTCTGCATATTTGTATAACAGAGCTTCACAGCAATAAAATTCACAATCATTTGTCTTTAAACTACAGCAACTAGTTTAAAGATTATAAATCTGTTTGTATAAATAGGAGCTTTTGGTAAAATTAATAATTAAACAGATTTGGTTTCTAGTAAAAAACAAACAAAAATAAAAACATTGCACTCATGCATAATATTAAAAAAATTTACGTTTTTTAAAGATTAAAGCAAAATCAGAAATAGAGTAGAACCTGAACACATAAAAGGTTTTGAAAGAGTAACAATTTCATTAATTATTTTAAAATTGGGTTTGCAGCTAATATGCATGATATTAAATGTTTCAGAATATCTAGAGAATCACCTTAACATACTCCTACAATGCTCTTGTAATGCTCACAAATACAAGTAAAGTCCTGCAAATAGAATATCAAGTCTATATTAAAAGGGGATTTTATAATCAAACCATTCCCTCTACTGAACTCTTGTCTCACAGTAATGAAAGCCTATTGTTTTTGGATATAGTTTTCAAAGGATCACATAAAGATATACACAAGGGTATTCTTTTACTGCCTGATTGTTCAGTAGGATTCAGGATGACAAGAACTGAGACAGGTGCATATAAATCTTACTCGTACCTCATTTATTAAACAGGTGGTTAACATACCAGTGAAACAGATTGTTATTCAATGCACAGAAGAGTAGTGAATCACATGGGACCAATATCATCCCTTCTATCCAAAATTCTGATTCCCCCCCCCCCCTCTTTTCATTATCTCCGAATGGACAATTTCAATAGAATCCTTTGACAATAACAACAACAACAAAAAAATACAACCCCCAAAGCAGCAATCCGATTGTGTGGTTGTCAGAATTAACTAAATGTGGAAAGAAGTGTTTTAATACAGCAGGGGTAGGCTACCTTAGACACTCCAGAAGTTGTGGACTACATCTCCCATAATACTCTTCAAACCATCTACCCTGGTGGTTCTGGCAGATAATATCCTTAACGTCCTACCGCCAAGTGAAACTTCCTGTGTGGGAGAACTTGGACAGCACCAGTCTGCCATTATTCAGGGCAGGTAACTTGCAGAGCTTTATACATGGATTCGATGTGCACCATCTGGTTTGTGAGTCTTAATGATAAGTCTCACCTGCAGAGCTGTATACGTTGATTAGATATGCACAAGCCAGTGTGTGAGTCTTAGTGAAGACACATTTATGGGTAAGGGTTTTAATTATTTTTATCCATCAATTTTCATACATTTCTGGTAATACACTATGTGCAATTTCAGTCCTTCTTTTTAAGGTGTGCCCATATCATTGGTACCACAGCAGACTTTGGTTGATAGTACAGAAAACAAGCACTGCAGTTAGTGTTCAATTCAATTTTAACATTTGCTACAGTTACACACTATATCTTTGGTTACAACATTTGTTCCAGTATCTGCAAGGAGATGATGTACTGCACACGTCTAGTGAAGTGGATCTAACATTAGAGATATTTGAACTACCACCTAATCAGTTAATGACTATATTGCTGTTTAAATGTTGTTGAATTGGTGCTGTAAATGTTTGTAGAGGTGTATTCCTTTTTATCCTTACAATTTCTTATTCTTGTAAGGCTTTAAATCTCTTTCAAATGGGAAATAACATCTAAACTGATAAACATGCAAAGGACATATATACCTTCATGACACATGGTATAGCTGGGTCCAATATGATTTAATGTGATTTGTCTAATCGCTTGTCATGAAGGGGGGACTCTGCTGCTCTTGTAATCCTGTCGTCAGGATTGTTAAAGTGGCTCTGTCATGGATAAATACTTTTTCTTTTCTCTTATTCCTTCCCGTCACCCCCCCACCTCCCTTGTAATTCCTCTACTTATAACTGTGCCCGTTCCATGATAATGTTCAGGTGTCTATAGAGTACCTTTAAGGTGCACCATTTGTCAAGATTGTCAAGAGTAGGAAAAATAACGGTACATGAGACAAAGTTGTCTCACCTATTTATAGAGAAATAGGTGAGAAATAAAGGGAATAAAAAAAAAAAAAGATTATGAAAGAGGAACTGGATTGAGAAAGGTAACTTTGGGGTGGCAGAGCCGCATTAATATATCTACATAAGAAGAAAAAAAAAAAAAACTAATCTTACCTGCCTGTAAGTGCCATCCAGCAAAGTGTCCAGATTTTGCAGTGGAGTAGGTGTCTTATCTTTGAATCGTGTTAGGAGAAGCCTCTGAATTGCACGAAACTGCACAGCTCGTTCAGATAACAGGCTGTCATACTTCTCTGTATTGAGACGTAGCTAAAACACAATGTGATTGATGAAACCGTGAATTTTGATTCAAGACTCATTTTTCATTCAGCAACTTTCAAGAATTCGAAGCAATAAATGGAAAATCTTCTTAACTAGTATATGAAATATATAGTAATGACAGTTTTTCTTTAGATGAATTTTTATTATTAATTATTATTAAACAATACAAAGAAATTATTAGTCATTTTAAGTTCCTTAAAGGAGAAAGATATATTGACCACCTTTGTATTTACACACTATTTGTGTGATTTTAATAATAAATATGGAAAACACAAGAGGCCGGAAGGTAGGGAGAAAAAACGTACCCACCTCCCGTCTCTCGAGTAAATAAGGTCACCTAGACTGGGTAATAGGGGGTAACCCAAGAAATTATAAAGTAGAAATTATAAAATTTGTGTGATTTTAGTTTTTCATCACTACCATGTTATGGATGAGTGCTATTACTCAGCACCACTATGTTTGGAATCTACCCATTCCTTTGTATGGCTTTGTAAGATTCAACAGTTAATCTTCAAACTCGTTATTTCACCTTCCTGAATTGAAATATTCTACATATAACAAAACACTTTGTTGCAGGACATTCTAGAGTGCATATGTTATATAGTTGTACTTTTTGTTTATCACAAAGCAAAACAAGAGAATCAAGCAGCGCGTAATATAATAATAGAATGACATATACATCAGGATGTGCATGGAAGGATAGATCACATATGAAGCAATAAGGTTGTCGAAAGGACCATGTAGAGAACTACTTACAAACAACGCTATGTCATGTGCAGGCTATGTTGTAGTTAAAGCCAAAAATATTTAAATTCAGACAATAAATATACCAGGGCACAGGTGACAAATGCGTAACAACCTGGTTTAGCCCCTTAACTAACAAATTACAGGTTATGTTGTCATACTAGCCTTTACTATAAGGAGCCACTCAATTATGGATTATAGGATTAGATGCAGTTGCCAAGGCTAAATAAACAAGACTTCCCATAGTGGCAAAAGGAGTTTTATGACCAAACTATTATCATGAACATTATTTTATGAGATTAAACCTTCTAAGTCACAATGCATGACGACTAGTTTTCAACAATGCATGACGCACACCTATAAATAATATTATTCTAAAAACAATTCCCACCAAATGTATATGACACAAACAAATCTACTACTTACAGTGTGAAATAAACTAAAGCTGACTATAAATTCCATCCTCAGATCCCGTACTACAATTTATAACGTCTTTATAAACTATGGGGTCAAGAGACTAGTAAACATACTAGCTTGGGAATTCTTAAATAGATTGCGCAATTATACACCAAGGAATACAATCTTTAAATTTAGAAAATACCAGGAAATATAATGTAATGGGAAATCTCTTACACTTAATGGTTTCTTAAAACATTTTCCACCCCGGTAGATAATGAAGTCACAATCAAAACAAACTTAAAAATAAACTGTGTTTCCCACTAGTAATGAAATAAATTGAAGTTGCTGTTCCTATAAGTTATATTACAACAATGTTTTTTTACTACTCTTAAATGACAGGGCACAATTTAAAAAAATTGCAACAATACCAAGGATGAACCATAACATTTGGTTTTATATTTAGAAAAATGTGGGAGATTTATCAGTGTCCTGATCTATAAATTGGTGCAGAAAAATGGAAAAGGGGGAGAGTCTCCAATGGAATTTGCATGCTGGTCCTACTTGCCCAACTTTTAGTACTTTAGCACAGAACATTTTGAAAAATCTCCCCAATGTGTTTTCTTGGACATAGGCCTATTGTTATTCTTGTATAAATCTACCTTGTCCAGGTAGGCACTCAGAAGACATCGTCTTTAGGTGGTGGTCTGCCTAGTAGTTTCACAGTTTTTTTTTTTACAAGATATAATTAATTAAAACAGGGAATAAATTGTAAATTAAGGGAATTCAAGTTTTGCCAGACTTCAAATGTTATATACCATATAGCCAATAGTTTGTAGTTAACATCATGAATTACATCTAGAATTAAGGGATGATTGGTGTTTGAGAACAAATATTTTAGTCTAATAGTTTTCAGAGAACATTTTTCAAAGTGCAATTTCCAGCTCCTTATATACATGAGTGCTTCTTCTCTTCGGCCTGCAATATTGAGCTCACTGGGAATTTTATGTCAGGCTTCATATTTGCTATAACCTTCTTTACTGAACCTCCCAGCAGCAAAGAAATATTTAAACATATAGATAAAAAAACATCAACCAATCAGGACAAATCTTGGAACATATTAGTCTGTCAGGCTCCTCCCAATGCCTCTTTCTTTGCTGCTTGCCTCCCAGGTGAGTCTATTCCAATTATAGCTCTCTCTGTGTGTATATTTTATTATATTATATATGCATTGTTTTGCTTTTTTTCATAAAATGTTTTGACTCCTTTAATTCGTTTTACCTCTCTGTTGTTAACATGAGGTAATCTGTGTGCTTGCTTGCCTAGCCCTTTATGACACTGACCTTTCTCCGGTCAGCCTACTGTCCAATTCCTTCCCTATGATTTTTGCTTAATCATTGGGACTTGTGCCTCACTGATCGTTTCCTCGGTAAGTTTTCTGTTGTACTCACGCCCGCAATCTGTTTCTGTGCCGCCCTTTTCTACGCGTCATTGATAGACGCGCAGTACCCGCCTTCCTCCTTCTTGCCGGCGATTTGTCTCCTGTTTCGCACGCTTTTTGTGACAGCTCCGATTGGGATTTTGCAGCTCTGTAAAACTGTAAGTCTCCGCTGGTTCATTTTATTATTAACTGTCACTATTATAGAACATTTTACTTATCATAGTCTATTTGTTTTTATTGCAGCTGCCTTCAAATAAAAGTACAGCTCTGTGCCTATTAGAGGGTGACCCCATCTTGCCTCTTTCCTGAGGGTGATGCCCTCTTTCCTTATCTCTGAGGGTGAACCCCTCTGTTGTATTTATTAACTACAGGGTGAACCCCATGTTTTTTGATTAGACAGGTTTCACCTGTCAATATAATACTAACAATTTAACTGCCATAACTGTGGATGAACACCACTGAGTCCCCTTAAAAAGCGACTGAATATTTTGTCTGGGTGAACCCCGATAGAAAGCCCCTGCCTTTGCTTTGTCTTGTCAAGTTTGTTAATATATATTAAAAAAAAAAAGTAATAAATAATAAAAAAAATAATATATATATACCGTATATACTCGAGTAACTTACATTGCCATAATACAGACCAGGACCGCCGGGCTCATTACAAGCCCGGCGGTCCTGTTGGGGGCTGGCAGCGAGCTGTAACTTACCTTTCCTGCAGCTCCTGTCAGCTCCCTTCTCCTCCACTGTAAGTCTCGCGAGAGCCACGGGGTCAGGGCGTTGCCGTGGCAACGCTCCGAGCGGCAGTCACACCGCGAGACTTACAGTGGAGCTGACAGGAGATGCAGGAAAGGTAAGTTACAGCTTGCTGCCAGCCCCCTCCTACACAGCCCATCCACTGGACCACCAGGGAATGAGAGACCCTCTCCCTGGCCAGCTAACAAGCAGGGAGGGAGTACAAAAAAAAATAAATACAAATTAAAATAATATTAAAATAAAATAAAATAGTAATAATATATATATATATATATATATATATATAAAAAAATAAATAATAAAAAAATAATAAAAATGCCCACCCCCCCCCACCAAGGCTCTGCATCACACACACACACACACACACACACACACACACACTGAACTCATACACACACAGTGCATTGCATTCATACACACACACACTGCATTCATACACACACACACTGCATTCATACACACACACTGCATTTTATACACACACACACACACACTGCATTCATTATATACACACACTGTAAATAAACATTCAATTAATATAATTTTTTGGGGATCTAATTTTATTTAGAAATTTACCAGTAGCTGTTGCATTTCCCACCCTAGTCTTATACTCGAGTCAATAAGTTTTCCCAGTTTTTTGGGGTAAAATTAGGGATCTTGACTTATATTCGGGTCGACTTATACTCGAGTATATACGGTATATATAATTAATATACCTGTTGGTATACTATTTCTGTGGTGAACCCACTATTATTTTTTACTGGTCATCATGTCGGACCAACCAGAACCTGCAATGTCTGCAGAACTAAAAGCCTGGCTTCAAGCTGCAATTGCAGACTCTATCCCCAAAGCCTTAGCAGCGTTTCGTAACCAGACAGCCACTACTGCCACCATCACACAATTATCTAACTCTGATGATTCCAGGGTCTCTGATCATGACAAAGCCCCATGTAAGTGCCCGTGGAAGGGTGACAGTGCTTCTGCTGGCAAAGGCAAAGCCCCAGCAAAAACAGCTAAATTGTCTCATGCCAAACCCACTTTAACTAAGGAATTTGACCCCTTAAAGGGCTCAGCCTCTGGCTATCACCTTCAAATGATGGACGATTACGATGCTTATCCAGATGAGGATCTCCCACGTGACCCTTCCTCTTCTGAATTTGTTACGGAGACCTTCCTCCTACCAAAAGACCAGCACTGATCCCATGTCCTATACTAATTTAGATACTATTAAAGATGATATCCTACTGGATACCAATGGGTGTCCACTTTTTGACCCACACTGTATCAAACACCCTCGTTCAGCTGAATGGACACCCCCTGATCACATTGCCAAATATTGCAGATTATGGCTTCGTAAACCCTTAGAAAAAGAAATTAGAGCAAAATTAAGGGCAGAATGTCCGCGGCCTACAATCCCTGATAAGGTGGCTGCCACCCCTGAGCTTGACCCACTCCTGGGCACTTTTCTAACTAAGATGGGCAAAGACATCGAAATAGGCATCGAAAGGCTTGAAAGTCACACAAGATAAACTGATGGATATAGCGGGCCCGCTTATTCGGATTTTTATAATTGCTGACGACATGCTAGCAGGTGGCAATTTCGACGCAAACACGGTGCGTGAATGGGCACAAAGAGCGTTATGCCTGTTGGGCAGCGCCAATGTCGCTATTTCAATTGAACAGCGTAAAGCCGTGTTATATAAAATTGATGCCAAACTGGCAGAACTAGGCACCAAAGAACTTGGTCCAGATGCAAACGGACTTATTTGGGGACAGGTTCATACGGGACCTGAATAAACACGTATCCGTGTTTACCTCCCTCAATAAGGCACAATTATCCCATCGCAGGGTGTTTAGATCCCAGCATTTTCCCTCTAGAGGATCCATCAGAGAACGTGGATCTGCTTTCCTCCGCGGCCGTTCTGCTACAGGTAATCGACTTTACTTATTCTCAACTTCCTTTTGCAGACCGGTTAATCTTTTTTTTTCCCCAACAGTGGTCTCTATTAACTCGGGATATATAGATTTTGCAAACAACCCTCTACAAGGGTCTCCCCCCCACCCCCCTCCTCTGCACATGTCTCAAGAGGACAATGCGACCCTGGAGGCCACACTAAACGACCTTGTCGCCAAAGGCGCTATAGAACGTTCTCTGTCCTCTCACAGATTCATAAGCAACATGTTTCTGGTCAGGAAACAGTCAGGAGACTTTCGACCAATTATCAACCTGAAAGACCTAAACAATTTTATCATTTACCGACATTTCAAAATGGAGGGTATACATCTCCTGCGACACCTACTCTGCGAGGGAGACTGGTTCTCCCGTTTCGACTTGAAAGATGCGTACCTCATGGTTCCTATAACATCGGCCCATTGCTGTTTCCTACAGTTCAGATGGCATCAAGATTTATGGCAGTTCACATGTCTCCCCTTCGGACTCTGTTCCGCACCTTGGTGTTTCACCAAGCTGATGAAACCGGTCATGGCCTTGCTACACTCTCAGGGGATTCAATCCATCATATATCTGGACGATATCCTCCTTATGGCCCAGGCACTCTACGCCTCCATACAGACATGATCAAAGCTCTATTACACAACTTGGGGTTCGTGATCAATGTCCAAAAATCTGTCCTCACACCATCTCAGATGGTTCAATTCCTCGGATTCCAAATAGATTCTGTTTTGGCTATCCTACAGCTTCCTGCAGTAAAGATCAGGAACATCAAAAAAGACATCAGGAAAATCCTAGCCTCTTCGACTATCCGTTTTCGCTCGCATAATCGGACTGCTTTCCGCCTCGATACAGGCAATTTTCCCAGCTCCCTTACATTATCGAGCAATGCAACGTCTGAAGACTCGCTCTTTACGTCACTCTGCATCTTACGATCAACTGATCTCACTGACAGACAAAGTCAGTCTCGAACTGAACTGGTGGCTACACCATATGGATGCGTGGAATGGAAGGGCGATCTTCGGCTCACAACCGGATTATATCCTAGAGTCAGATGCCAGCCTTCTGAGCTGGGGTGCGTCATGTGCAAATCTCTCTACAGGAGGTCGTTGGTCCCCATCAAGATGTGCACTGCACATCAATTGCCTCGAATTAATTGCCTGTTCGTTCGCGATTTGCAGCTTCGCAAAGGACTCTTACAATTGTTCCCTAGTGCTGAGGATGGACAACATCTCAGCTGTTCAATACGTGAATCGTTTAGGGGGTTCCCATTCCAAAATGCTCTCAGATCTCACAAAAGAATTATACCAATTCTATCTGGACAGGAACATCTCTCTTCGGCAGAGTATCTGCCTGGTTCCGACAACCTAGTCGCAGATTGGTTCTCTCGACACTGGAGAGACTCCAGCGACTGGCAACTGGACCCACTAGTTTTTTACCGTCTCCATCTCCTTCAGGGTCCATTCCACCTCGACCTATTTATGTCTCGTCTGAATCGTCAGACAGACGCTTTTTTCAGTTGGTTGCCGGATCCGACCTCTCTGGCAGTCAACGCCTTCCTTCAACCTTGATCCTTCCTTCTCCGTTCCCCATGATCCGGGGACCACAATAACACTTCTGACTCCATTGTACCCACCCATGGTTCCCCAACCTCTTGGAGATGTCAGTGGATTATTTACTACTGCTTCCTGTCACGCACGATCTTCTCAAAGATCCTGCAGGCAACTCTCACCCTCTCGCGTTGCAGGGTCATCTCCAGCTAGTGGCCTGAACTGTTTCAGGGGATCCTGGAATGTCGCAGGACTTTCGGAGACTACTAGAAATCTCTTATGGGACTCATGGGCCCCTGGGACTAGACGATCTTACCTCTCGGCCTGGCGAGTTTGGCATTGCTGGTGTTTGGAAAGGGGTATTGATTCCGTTTCAGCTTCTTTAATTAACATTATGAATTTTCTGTCAGCTCTTTTGATCAAGGTAAATCTTACAGATCCGTTAATGTGTTCCGTTCAGCAATTTCGGCAGCTCATGGTCCCATTGACAATGCTTCGGTAGGTAAACATCCCTCTATCTGTAGACTGTTGCGTGGCATTCGTCTTGCTTGACCTCCTGTCCCAAAATATTCTCATTTTTGGGATGTTGCCCTTGTTTTGTCCTTCTTGGAGGCTTGGCCATCCAACGAAGCACTCTCTCTTCGACAACTGTCTGCCAAGTTAGCTCTTCTTCTCTGCTTAGTGTCTTTTAGAAGAGTGTCTGATATTCAAGCATTTGACTTCCACGCTATTGATCTCACTCCCCAAGGTGTACGTTTCAACATTTCTCGCCGCACTAAAACGAATTCCTTAACGATTACGTACCCTTATTTCTCTGACAAGCTATCTCTCTGCGTTGCGCATTGTATTCAACACTACGTCTCCTCTACATACCTATATGGGCCCCCTATTTATCTCTTATGTACGACCACACAAACCAGTATCTTGTCCAACCATTGCCTGCTGGATTAAGTGGCTTCTCGCTTTAGCGGGCATAGATTCATATTTTGATGATCACTCAATCAGAGGTGCTGCCGCCTCTTCTGTCTTTATGGCTGGGGGATCCCCTTGCAGACATCCTGTCATCCGCTGATTGATATAGAGAATCTACCTTCCGTACCTTTTATTTTCGACAATCATCCCATGCTTCTTTTTCTTTGTTTTCCACGCTTTAAAACAGCAAATATGAAGCCTCCTGTCTTGTCATAAAATTCGGGCTTATTCTAGCTTCAGTGACTGAATAATCTAAATTGTATTAAAGACAGGAGAGAATATTTTCCCATCCTACTGATATCCCATTCCAGATACGTTCGGGTAAAGTATATTCTTATTCTCTGATTTTTCGTAAGACTTTTTATTAAACTACCTGTTTTTCTGTTTGCTCTGGTTAGGTGATTCTTAATCTACCTGGTTCTAGTTTTTGAATTTTATCATTGTATTATACTCGTGATATCCATGGGGTAGATCTGTGTATGTAGATATCTTGTGGACACCCAGTCCAAGTGACTATACTTTCACCATATTTCTCTGTCTGGTTCTGGTTTACATGGTTGATCACTCAAGTTTACACGGTTGACTACACTTATGATCGGCTGCATCAAGAAAGAGGAGTTGGGAGGAGCCTGACAGACTAATATATTCCAAGATGTGTTTAAACCTGATTGGTTGATTTTTTTATCTATATGTTTAAATATTTCTTTGCTGCTGGGAGGTTCAGTAAAGAAGGTTAGCAAATATTCGCCTCCTGTCTTTAATAAAATTTAGATTATTCAGTCACTGAAGCTAGAATAATCCCGAATTTTCACTTTTAATTCTCTTGCGGTTGAAAGTGTATGAATTAGGTTAAATATATCTTTTTATATCTATAGCATGTAATGTTTGTTTAAATATATACATATATCATACATATTGCATTCATTTGACTAAAGTATTCTTTCTCTGAAATGCAGAAATAACCAGACAGATTTTTCTGAAATCCTTTTCATAGACAACGCTGAACACACAGCACAATAATTATATAAATAAAAAAAATTAAAAAAGAGATTACTGGGGCACCAAACAAAATGATGTCTGAGTTAAATAATTTTATACACATACAAAGATAACTCCATTAGTAAACAATTTAAAACTATGCAGACTTTTACATTACTTGGCACAATACCCAGGCCAAAATTTCCAATAAACAGGACCAGAAAACTATTCCTAATGAGCAAAGGATTTGAATTGTATTTCCTTTGGAAACTATTTGCCAAAAAGTAGTAAATGTTTTGAAATACATTACATTCCAGGATTCAGACATGAAGCAACAGATTTATGTTTGTGGATAGTTGCTAGCCATTTAAACAAGACGCTTGTATACACAGTGGGAGCTACAATCTCCCATGTTTAAAATGTATTTTCAACCAGCTACTACTTCTCAAAAGGATGTGTAACGTATAAATCAAAACAAAGCAGGTTAGAGGAGTTCATAACAACAAAATTAGTAATAATAATGGGAATCATATAAACAATTTTCATTTGTGTAGTCAACACTAGTGGCTCTTGTTGCTATGCCGATGTCGATGCAATGTTAATATTAGTGTAACACATCACAGTATGTTAATACAGTAATAATATAATAATAAGTTATTACCAAGGTGACATTTTATAAAACAGGTCAGTATCAATAAAATGTGCATAAAATATTGAGAATATGCATGCAAGAATATTCTCATGCAC